ATAGATTATTATTAAAATAAATACTTCAAATTAAATTTATAGTAATATTCTATTCTAATACAATTAGGAGGGTATTTTATACTTAATTACTTACTTTAATTAATAATATTCCTTGGCCGAATATAATTATAATATTTATAATAAAAAGTTACTAACTATTATTAAATCCTTTAAGGAGTAGTACTCCGAATTAGAAGGGGCTTAAAAACCTTTTAAAGTCCTTACCGACTATAAGAGTTTAAAGACTTTTATAATCAATAAATAATTTACCCCCCGCTATATATAATAATTCTAATTCTTTTCTTATTTTAATTTTATAAATAAATACCGCCCTAAATTATTATAAGTACGCCCTAATGTACTAAGTAGGAAGTTAGAAAATTTGCTTAAAAACGAAATTGATAAGCGGTTACTAATTAGGAATAAAGTTCTATTCGAGTATAATATTTTTATTAATAGAGCTTTCGTTTTGGAGGATAGAGGCGAGGAAATTAATATTAGTATTAAATATATTTATAACCTAAAGACTTTAAATAAAAAATAATAAATAATTTAATAATAGAAGGTTATAAGAAATTAATATTTCTCTAAAACGTTATTATTTACCTATTAGACCTAAATTATTAAATATAATTTAAAAAGGTTAAAAACTATATAAGGAAGGTCCCCTTTATTAAATACTAAGTAATTTAGGGACGGGCGTATTTCTATAGCACCGTCCTTATTAACTCTATTAATATAGAACTTTACTTCTTACTCCTCCGCTATATTTACAATTTACTATTTATTAAGTACCCAAATTATAAAAAACTTAATTATTAATATTATAATCTTTCTTTTAATTAGGGATATACGCCGCCGTCCGGGCGTACTATAAAACTTATTTAATATATACTAAATCTAAACCCTTACGATATACTCCCTATAATTTTTTAAAATTATTAATAATACCCTTCGTACTCTAAAAGAATATTTTTATTAATTATATTACCCTATTTATACCCTATTTACACCGAGAATAGGAATTTAAATATATTGCCGTCGTTATTAATTACCTTACTAAAATAAGGTACTATATCCCTACTATTAGTCTAACGGTAAAAGAATTAATAAATCGCTTTATTAAAAGAATATATAATATTTATAATCTATTAGATTCTATTATTTCTAATTATAGTATTTAATTTATTTTATAATTTTAAAAAGCTTTCTTATTATAATTAAAAATTATATTTAAACCCTCTTCCGCTTTTTACCCCGCTACTAATAGCTAAATTAAGTATATTAACGTAGAAATAGAAAGATATTTTTACTTCTATATTAATTAAGTTCAGGACAATTAAGTAAATTAACTACTAATTATAGAATTTACTAATAATCATTTAGTCTCTAAGACTACCGGGGTCTCCCCCTTCTTCGCTAATTATAATTTTTACCCCTATATAAGTATTAAATTAGTAAAGCCTTATTTATTAGAGATATTATAATATAATAAATAAAGTACTTTAAAATTAATAAATTAATTAATTAATTTAAGAGAATTTTAAACTTTGTTACAAATTAAGTTTAGTGAGTATAATAATATTATAAAAATAATACGAATACTTATCGATCAAACGTACTAAAATATAAAATAAGAGATAAAATCCTTGTTAATACCGAAAACCTTAATACTAGTCGGCCCTATGCTAAATTTATACTCCTCTTCGAAGGTCCTTTCAAAATCCTTAAAGTAAATAGTTATTAGGTAATACTCAAACTTCCAATCAATATAAAATATAGTCCGACTTTTTATATTAGTAAGGTTAAACTATAGAACGAAGAAGGTTTCCTAAAGTGGATAGCTATAGAAGAATAGAACGTTCGTACTAACTATAGCCGGACTATAAAAAAGACTAATAATAGAAAAGATTCTATCGAATATAAATTCGAATAAATTAATAAATATTAGAAGAATAATAAAGGTCGTTAAGGATACCTAATAGTTTAAATACCTCTATATACACCGTTATAGTAGCTATATACTAATATATTTATAGCCCCCAATACTGTACGGGCCTTCTATAATAATTACCCTAATATACTATATTTCTTAGACTAAATAATAGTAGAGAAGAAGCGAAGGCAATTAAAGACGGAAGGAGATTATAATTATAGAAGGGAGAAGGAGGTAGAGTAGGAGGCTCTAACCCTATAGTAGAAATTATAATAATACCCGCTAGCGGCGGTAGTAAAGGTTTTTTAGGAATAAACCGCTCGTTTAATAAGGATTTTTATTATTTTATATAATATTAGTCAGCTATATAGCTTCTTTTAGCCCAGGGAAATATTACAAGGTTAATTTATATACCTTATATTAGTATATAGTAATTTCTAAAATTACTATTACTATTATTACTACTGGTACTATATTGCTGGTAATTAATTAGTTAGAGCGCTGCCTGCTGCGGGTCCGTAGACCCGCTGGCAGTTACCCTTATAAGGCTAGTCTTCTAGGTATTCGGCTGCACACTTCTCTTCCTTTCTCCTTTGTACAATTACGTATAATTACATCTACTATCTACCCTTTACCCGTAATAAAAACGACGCCAAAACCGGAAACGCTAATTTCTAGTCGAGGAGTACTCTAAAACAAAAATTAACAATAGCAATCGATTTAAGAGGGTCATTTACATCCCTTATAATATCCTACGACGAACGTAGTAATAGCATTGTATTGTTATTATTAATAACTATAAATAGCGGTACTCGTAGGTTCGAAAATAGTATCTATAACCTATTCGTAGAAATTTCTATATATAATAACCCCGAAGCTATATTTATTATAAAGACTTCAGACAAAATAAAGGAAGATAATAAAATATTAGAGAAGTTTATTACTAAAATAAATAAATCTATAAATTATAATATTATTGCAACTAAAGACCGACGTTAGGTTCGAAAATTACTTTTCGAATTCGTATAGGCTCGCGTTGGAAAAAGTAAATTTATATAACCCGAGGTTAATAAGGTTGGAACCGATTAATTTATTACTAAAAAGGAATTTAATAATTTAAAGAAAAATATTTTAAAGAAGATTAAAAAAGGTATTTAGGAAGTATCAAAATAATAGGCTAATATTATAGTAAAAGCTATCCTAAGTAAAATTAGTATTACCCTCTAATAATTACCTATTATTATTACTAAAAGGTTTGTCCTTTTTAATTTCGAACGGTAATTTACTATTAAGGGAGTAATTATTACTATTGAATTTATAAACCGTTCGAACGAAGATACGAAAACGGCCGTAGCAACGACTCTAGGCCGGAAGAAACTAAGTCTAATAATTAGAATAGCTACTAGGATACTAATATTTAGAAATTATATAAATATTTTTAATAAATCTACGTACAATTAATATTAATAAAATTAAATATAGGTTATAAAAGTCTTTAATAAAGAGGCCTTTATTATTATAAGTACTATAGGTATATTAATCTAAGATATACCCTAAAATAATATCAATAATTATATTATATCGGAAATATTAATAAGTATAATAAAAAATAAAAATAAGGAAATAACTATTATTAAAGTTTAACCTTAGAAAAGAAGGGATAGAGAGAATAAAAGTTTACTCTTAATAGAAGTCGCTACTTCGAAAGTAGCGAATTTCCTTCAAAATAATCTCTTCCTTTAAAATAGCAGTATATACCCTTACAAACTATTTTAAACTTCGAATAACGTCCAATAGTACTTTAAATATTAGGAAATTGGATATATAGCGAAATTCTATTACTAGGAAGATCTTTACGTTTAATATAATACAGTTAAATATAAAGGAGATTACTTTAACGAAGTAAATTTTTTATTAAATAAAGATAAATTATTTATTTATTATAAATTATATAAAAAGAAGGGATATTTTACTTATAACTATAAGGAGTACCCCCTTTTCTATAAGGCTATTACGAAGGCGTTTATTATATATATTAAAAGGCTATAGATATTCGCCCCCCTTTATAAAAACCTAACCGGAAAAGTATTAGAGCCAATAATAAAAATTATAAATAAGGGTAATCTACTAAACGCCCCTCCCAACTTCTATACTATTACTACTTTAGAGAAATAAATCGGAGAAAGTACAAAGAAAAGGCGGCCGAGAAAAATCATTAGCCTAACCCCCTAATTAAAACTTTTAGCCTAATTAAACCCGATAGATATATATTACCCGTACTCTTAGAATATAAGGAATTAGACGTATAATAGTAATAGTACTTATATAATTATAATTCCTTTAAAGGAAATAATACCTTTATCCCCTATTAAAAGATTTATAGGAACCTTATTTTAAAGTAATTAATAATTTAATTAAAAATATATTATTAGAATATAAGGAAGTCGTATAAGAGAGGGAAACTTCTATTTAAATAAAAAGAGACTTATAATATTATAGTAATTTAAAAACTAAATAGAAATTTAAATAAGGATATTTACTATCTTAGGGGTAAAAGGTATTTTAGAATTAATTATTTAAAGAATAGAAAGGTAGTAATATATATAAATAAAAAATAGAATTTAAGGGACTTCAATTTCTAGGCTAGAAGGGATTGGACTATAATAATATTTAAAAATTTAAAGAATCCTACAACTCTTTATTCTATTTATTTACTTATTTTAATATAAAGAATACTAAAATACTAATAGGGATCCCCGCTCTTTAAATTCCTTAAGGCCGGGCCCCTAATAAAAAATTAAATTATTATTATCGGGGACTTTAACTTTTACTATCCTAATTAAAATCTAGAGAATAGGATTAGCCTAAAGGCTATACGCCTTCTTATATAGGTATAATATTAAAGGTTCGGTCTATTTACCCCCTATAATAAACTAATAAAGTTTAGTAATATAATATAAAGAGAGAGAAATAAAATAATTAATTATATATAATTATTACCTAGGGTTAAAGCCGAATATTAGGGAGCGTAACGGTACGAATAAACCGGCTTAAACTACTACTCCTAGGAAGTCTAAGTCCAAATAGGAAGAAAAAATAGGAGGGTAAAAGAAGAAGAAGGTTATAATTAGAGTCTTATAAATATAGTAAAAGTAAAGGAGGCAGCGGAAAAACGGATTCAATTTTAGAAAGAATCGCTATAATAAAAGAATTCGAGTAAAATTTTTATAGGCTCGATAGAAAACTTCTTAGTATTATAGAAAAGTTTATTCTATACTGGAAGAAAAGTTAGAAATAGAGAGTAAATTAATAAATATTAAAATATAAAATAATTATAAAAAAAGTATAATAAAAATATTAAATATAATTTAAATATTAAATGTTATTAAATTAAAAGGGATTTATTAAAATAATAATAAAAAAGAAGAAAATTACTTCAAAAGTATAGTAGACTATATAGTACAAAAGTATTACTAAGGTTTTAAAGAATTTAAATCGATTTTAGCCTCTAGAGAAACAAATTTAAATTTAAAGTTATTACCTAATAGACCCGCTTAAACTATTAACCTTCCGAATTAGCGAAGGGGTAAGAGAAATCGAAAACTATAATAGTAAAGTTAAAATCCTTACCGATTATTTCTTTTTAAAAATAAATATTCTAATTAAAAATTTACTAAATTGAATTAAATTAATAAATAATATTAACCCAATAATTATTAGCGAATTAATTATTAAAGAGGACGTTTAAAACGTCCTCTCCTAAATAGTATTTAATAAAGCTCCGGGTATTAATTAATATTTAAATAGATTTTGAAAATTATACGGGCAATTAGTCTAATAGGCAATAGTATATTTAATAACTACTAGCCTCCAACTCGGATATTTCCTATAACAATTTAAGGATATAAAAATAATTATTTTTAAAAAGCCCGGAAAAAATACTACCTAATAAAAACTAACGGGCGTATAGAAATTTATATCGCTATTTAACAATATTAGAAAAATCCTCGAAGCCTTTATAGCTAAGAGATTTATACAAATAATTAAAAAGTTTAACCTCCTACTAGAGGGTTAAATAAGTAATTAAATAGGCCGTTTAATAGAATTTATAAACCAGGTAATTATTAATACAATTTATATAGCCTAGAAATTTAAGGCTATAATATCCTTTATATTCCTTAATTTAAAGAGTATATTCAATAAAATTAATTATAAATAATTTTTATATACTTTATAAAAATTATAATTCCTAATATAAATTATTAAATAAGTAGCGAACTTCGTTACTAATAGGAAAAGTACTCTCTTTTTTAATAATAAAATATTTCGCCCCTATACTATTATAATAGGCGTACTTTAAAGCTCCCCCCTCTTACTTATCCTTTTTATTCTCTTTATTACCCTATTATACTAGAAATTAATAATAATCCCAAATATAATTATAATTAACTTTATAAATAATACTAATATTATTATAATAGTCCGTACTACCGAAGAAAACTATTAGACTTTATAAACTGTATAGGAAATATATTTAGAATAAATTAGGGCGAAAGGTATAGAATTCGAAACGAATAAAATAGAGCTAATATATTTTATACAAACGAAGGTACTAAGAATAGAAACTCTCTAACTCAAGAATATAGAATTTTAATTAATAAAATTAATAAAATTCCTAAAAGTCTAATTAGACTATAAATTTAATTACCGGACTTATATAAAAGTAGTAAAATAAAAGATAAAGATTTAAACGAATATATTTATAAAATTAATAGTAAAAATATAGAGTTATTCCTCTATTCAAATAAAGGAAATATATACTAAGTATATTTATAATACTATTATATATAAACCTTTTATATTCTACTAATTAACCAAAATCTATAGGAAACTACGAGGGATTGTAATTAGACTAGCGAAATATGAAATTAAATATTTAAAAATTATTGTTAGAGTGCATAAAATTATACTAATATAGAACCTAAAAATAGAAACCTTTTATTTACCGTTCGACTTCTATTTTAATAAAAGAGTCCGGGCCTTTAAAAAAAAGATTTACCTATACAAATTAAATAAAATTTATCCAAAGAATAGTAATTTAAATAGCTAATTATATTCGGATATAATAAATTAGAAGTTAATTACCTATTAATAAATTAAAGAGTAGTATAATTAAAACTAAATAAACTAAAGCGTAGGTACTAACGGAGAAACTTTTAGTAATTGCGGCCGGTCCCCCTCCGGAATTAAGGACCCTACTATTACTATTATAAATCCCGGAACCTACAGTTATTAATTATAAAGAATAATTAAGGGATATAACAAATAGAGAATAAGTATTATACTACAATTATTAATTAGTAATAATAATAGCCAAATTAAATCGATAGTATAAATTTACTATTACCGACCTTACCCCTAAATTTAATAACGAAACTATTTAATAATATATAATTAGTATAAAAATAGAAAAGAAAAAGAGGAAAATTCGAATATTGGAGGAAAATAATAACGAATTATACCTATTAATTAAAGTAAAGAACTCCTTCTTAATCTAAACTAAAATAGAAATTATAAAACTCTAGGCCTTTCTCTTCCGGAGAAAGGTACTAAGCGTTTAAATACCTATCTACGTCTATAGATTAAAAAAAAAGACCTTCGCCTATATTATTTTAAATTACTTTAATATAGAAGGCTTCTTTTAATTAAATATTGGAAATTAATTACTAACGCAAAAAGAATTCTAGGATTACCTAGACGATAGAGTTAAAGCTGAAAGCATTCTATTATAGGTACTAAAATTAAATAAATTAAAGGAATACTATTTAGTAAATAAATTAAAGGAGGAGTAGTATAAAGAATTCGCAAAGTATTCTTAAGAAGAGAATAAATTATTAATAATACTAGAATAAAAGGAATAAAGGAATAGAAAAGAAATAATTATACTAATTATAAGTACTATCTATATTATAACTATAGTAAAAATTAAAGTACCGTCTATTTAATGCCAAATTACGCTTAAAAAATTCTTCGAGAAGTTCTATTATACGAATCTAATTTATAATAACTTTATAACGCTATTAAACCCAATTATCGTTTATAATAGGGCGGCCGGGGGTATTAATAGCTATAGGGCTATTAAAGGTAATACTATTATTACTAAAATTAGGGACTGTATAAGTAAGAATAGCTGTACTACTACTATTAGGATTAAATATAATATATATAAGAATAATTATACTACTATTAGAATTAGAAATAATATAAACCGAATTTATTATATTATAAATATTAAGGCTGGAGGGAGTACGACTATAAAGGATATTATTTATATATAGTATATAATATCCCTTCCGCTAGAAAATAATAGTATTATAGTATAGAGTATAAAAAAAATTAATAATATTATTCAGGAGACTATTTTATACTAAACGACTATATACATACTTAATAAATTATTAAATAGTATAAATAAAAGTATCCAATCTTTAATAATATTTAGCCGGGCTATTCAATATTATAATAACAATTATAAATTAAATAATATTATAGGTATTATAAAGATTAATAAAAATAAGGGATTTTATAAATAGTACTATATAAGTTAATATAAAGATTAAGAATAATAGAAGACATAAATATATTAATTTTAAAGGATTTAGAAATCCGGATTATTATAAAGGATATAAAAAAATATTATAAACTCTAAGTAAATTAGAACTATAAAACTAAAAGAAGCCGTAGAGTTTAGAAACGCTTTAGGGAAAAAAACCTTAGGGTCGGAAATAAAATTAATTAGGCTAGGATAATTACAATTAAAAGAAACTATTTTAGATAATATTACTATAGGGAAGAAAGAAAGTAGGGAAGGAATTAAAAAGGGACGCTATAAAGAGGATTATATAAATAGAGGAGAGGGCTCTTATACTATTAAAAATAGGGGTAGAACCGAGGGTTAGAAAATAAAGGGATAGGGCGGAAGTAAATACAAATAGAAATAACGAAGCGAAGGGGTAGGGATGTAGATAGAGAGATAGGATAGAGAAGCGGAAGGAAGGCGGAGGAAGGAGCAATAAAAATCGAGATAGAGAAGTGGCGAAAGAAAGCGACGTCCTTAATTATATTTCTATTATTCTTATTATTCTAATATTAGGATAATATAACGAAGGAAGAAACGAAATTAATTCGCTATAGTAGTAGGTAAGAACTATTATAACTATAAATAAAATAGGAGTAGCGTAGGTAAATTATAACCGGAATAAAGTTAGGAGTTTTCATTCAGCGGCGTTTAACGATATATAATTTTCCCCTCCAGAGAACTAGAGAAGGACCCTATGCCAATAAGGCGCTATATTTATATAGTAAGGGTAAAAGAATATTATTATATACTATTTATTCCTTATAATCCTCTTAAACAAATATTAATAATTTATTTAATTTTATATTTATAATTTTTAACTTTCTATTAATAATATAGTACTATAAGCCCCAACCGCAACTAGTAGGGGGGGTAATACGAATGAGGGAATTCTATACTAAAATACTTATTAGGGAGCTACTATTACTACTAAAAGGACTACTACTAGCGGCTACTAAACTACTATTATTATTAGTATCGCTAATAATATAATAGCCGAAGCTTTAATACTACTCAATACTAAAGTAATTAATGCGGAATATACTAAGTAAAATCGTAGGAAGGCTGTCGGTAATTAGGCGCGCCTATATCGTATCTTAGAAAGAGGATGCGTATTAGTATAAATACTATAAAGTAATAATAAGTAAGGGGGTACTAATATTAATAAAAGCTACAACCTCAGCCGCTATAACCTATAAAGCGTTTTAAAGGTTGTATATACTACGAAGGACTTCTAATATATATCTACCCTATACTAAAACATACTAAAATTTTTTAATAAATTCTAAAAGGTATTAGTAAAAAAGGAAATAAAGATAGTAAAAAGGAAGGATTAACCCTTAGTCTAATAAATATATAAAATAATTAAACGAATAGCTTTATCTATATTAAGGGGGCTAATATTAATAAATATTTAAGTTAGAGTAATATTATATCCTATATAAATTAGAAGGCGGACCTCGCTATAAAAGATTAATAAAAAGCGTAGGAGGACAAAATAATATAGTAAATAAAAAATAGAAGAAAAAGAAAAGTATACCGGTCGGGCTCGAAAGCGAAATAATAATTCGTACGTAGAATAATAGTAAAAGTATATACGTCTATAGTAGAGGCCGGCTCTAGTAAAGGGGAAAGGATAGCCAAAGTAATTTTAAAGCTAAATAGGGGAGAGAAATTAGCGAATTCGTTAGAGGAGGAGGTAGTAAATATAATTATAAAAGTAAAATTGTAAAGAAGAAAAAAGAGGAGTAAAGAAGGGAAGGGGAAGGGGATATTATATAAATAATAAAGGAAGTCCTTATAAAAATATAAATCGGAATAAATGAATATAAAATAAAGTAGGGTAAGAGAAATTATAAATAATAAAATAACGAAATAAGAAGGAATAAATAAGAGGAGGGGAGGCGAGTATAAATAGTAGAGAGAGGAAAATAAAATAAATAAGTAATACCTATAAATATTAAAAGGCGGGAAGAAAGGAAATAGAAGGAAGATATATAATTGGTAATAAATATTATATATTACGGGGGTAAAGTTCGGATAGAAGGTATAATAATAGAATTAGGCCAAAAAAAAAGAAAAAGGTAGAATAATTAGTAGGAGAGATTTAATAATCTAAAAATATTAGTAAATAATAAAAAAGTGTAAGTATATTGAAGATATAAGAGTTTTAAAGAATAAAGAAAAGGGTATTATAAAGGGAGAAGGTACTAATATTAAAAATTGGAATAAAGGATTAAAAATTCTAGGGATAGAACCTATAAAGGGAGGGGTTATATTAGGATGCTAAAGGACTATTACTTTAAATATTCGGAACCGGCCGGTATAAGTATAAAAGAAGATTCGGGACCGCCGGGGATAAAATACTATAATACTAACATTCTCTATTATTTTACTAAACTCTTACTTAAGAGTATTAGGACGACTAATACCTCTTTTCGCTTTACTAACCTTAAGTTTGGGAATATTAAGATATTCGATAAAATAGGGTTACAAAGAGGACGTTCCGGCGCTGTATCGTAGTAGTATATTAATTAAGAGCTCTATAATTATTAGTTACATTAGAGTAGAGTTTATACAAATATAAAAGTAGTCCGAACGGGCGTCCTTTATTATAATCGGTAACTATTAATATATTTTTGAATTAACCCCTAACTTAATGTCCTCTACGTATAGCCGCAACTATAGTTACCTCAATCTACCTTTCCCTCACGTCCTGACATTACCCTCTTTTACTTTATCCTTTTATTAATACTTCTTAATAGTAGTAATAATATTATTATTAAGATGCTATATATAATGCTACCGCCGTCGACTAGGGAATATAAATTATAGGGTAATAATAAACTATACGTTTCTATTTATAATAAAGACTTTAGGTAATAGAATCTCCAACTCCTCTATTGCCTCCCGTAGCTACTTAAAGTACTACTTAAATCCCTCCTCTTCCTTTTCGTCGTTAATAAAATATTGAAAAATAGGAGCGGTAGTATATATAAACGTAATAATAATGCCTATAACTAGTAGCTTATAGAATTTATTAGTCTTATAAGTAGTATCGATTATTAATATATAAGGATACTACTACTATAAAGATTCTTACTCTTTAAATTTCCAAAACGGTGAGTAAAATATAGTACTATTATCGTCGTTAAAATTAGTATTAGTATAAATAACCAACCGGTCATCGTCGCTAAGCTCTACCTCCTTATCTAATAATTATATAAAATTCTAAATATTGGTATAGTTAATTTACTGCTCTTTGTAGGTATAAAAGTATATATTGGAATAGTTTTTAGTAAAAAATAGAAGCTCTGGATACTTACGCTCTATAAATTACTTAACAGTATAGATTGAAAATTCCCGTTAGGCGAGAAGACTATAGATATATTCTATTTAGTTATTAGTAATAGCAAGACGAACTTTAGTAAAGGCAATTATAGAGGCAATTAAAGGATGACCGCGGTATTCGAGATTTATAGGTATAATAATATAGAGATTTTCGCCGCCGCCGGATACGTATATAAACTTGAATTTAAATAAGCAATTGTGTACAATCTTTTTAGAGCTATAACGAAAGCGGGTATTCTCTTTGGGGATAGAGTACTCGCAGTACTTAGTGTATTTGTATTATAACTAACTAAAAATAAATTTACCGCCATAAAAATAAGATCGTTATTTCATTAACCCTATATAATAATAGTAATAGAAATTGTAAATTACTTTAGTGAACGCCTACTTTTTTATAGGACTCGTATAAAAGAATTTATCGTTTTTATTAATCGACTATATTAGTTCGTCAGTTTAAAGAAGCTCTAATTAATTAGTACTTTCATTATCGCTCGTAAAAGTATAGTAACTAACTATAAATAAGGATCGAAATAATTATAATACTAGAAGGGAGGAGGTTAGTAATTGAATACAATAATCTATAAAGTACGAGCGCCTTACTATTAATTACTCAATTGAATATAGTCGATTTAGGAGGTATAACGGTAGTTGAGTTAGGGGTATATAGTTGTATAGCGATAAAATATAGCTTTAACTGTATAGGAAAATATTGCAAATTAAAATCGTTGAATTTTATTAATATTTCGTTGGATGTTATATAATATTTTAAAAGTAGGTTTTACTATACAAAACGCGGGACTTTACATGTCAGCTGTCATCGGTTGGCATGTGGGGAAAAAGGGGTGCGTGAAGTCAAAATAGGGTGCGTGAGGACATCGGGGACGGTGCGGCAAGTTAAGCTCCTATCATTAGGCTTCATACCACAACGACCAGGAGCCGGGAAACCGACAGGCTTACCGTAACCGTCAACAACCCATTCAGGAGGCCCCATATTCCCCCGCTGACAGCAGCGATATTACATATTCGTCCAAGTCCTCCACATCCCCTCCTCTTCACAGCCGCCAGCAAACCAACCAGCCCCCTGAGGAGCAGCAAGGTCGACGCCAGATTTCCCGAAGCGAGTCTCCCTTCACGCATGGCAGAAGAACATCGGGGAAAAAAACATGAATATCAGGAGGGGCTTCTGTCCCCTCGCCCTTACACGCATCAACAAGCTTACCTGCAGCCTGCCGACCAGCCGACGTACAATAGAAGGATTCCTGTCGAGATGGTCGCTGATAGATTGAAACAGTCAAGAGATTGTCGTCGAGAGCGACGTCAGAAAAGGCTGGGCATGGGAATTGCAAAAAGACATAGGAGGAGACAAAAACACGGGCTCTTGGAAGCAACCTGCTACCTCTAAGCAGCAGCAATCCACCAAGAAACCGGCTAAGCGACGTACTCACCAATCTGCTGAGAAGCCCGAACGCCGCTGGGATGAATGTTGATATTTTTTTTCGGTTGGTGTTGTTGGTAAAGGTCTCTCAGTGGGTGATGTGAAGACCGGACGAAGGTTGAAGACTTAATAGGGGGGACGTCCATTTCATTCCCAAGACTCGAAGGTCGAAGGTAAAAGCGGGTGGGAGAATTCCGTCCCGCTCTTCTAAACCAAGGACCCGCCATGGGAAAGTGGAAACAATTAGATGATCGGGGCGAAGAGTGGGAGATGGCCGGGTACGTGGGGGCCAGCTTTTCATTGTGCGCAAGTAGATCGCGCTCTTTTCTCGTTGTTCTAGGGCACAATTTTGTCCTGTTCCATGTCTCAGTCTTCACTGTTCAGCGAGTACACTTTCTTGTTCATGTGCATTCATAGAAGGTGTTGTGGAAAGCGAAAAGGCTGGATGGAAAGCCAAAGCATGAGAGCTCGGTGTAATTGTCGACTGGCAGGCGTGTACATGAATGGAGGTGTCTTAAGGATAAAGAACCAGAAGAATAAGGCATACTCGAGAAGCTGCACCCTAGGTATACGGATATAATTTACTTCAGCAGAGTGATGCGATGATCAACCGTGCTTCCACCGGAAAAGAACGACAATTTCACCCTCGACTTGACCCTCAACGCAACGAAAAAGACAGGCAGCACCCCTTTCCTAGATAGAGCTATCTTCCCACCCCATCTAACTCCCGTCCTATATGTACCTCTAAAGATTCGTCGTAAAACCCCCCGTCAAGGCCCACCTCCCACTTACCTCCCTCTGCTCATTCCCACTAACCCCATCATCCAAAAGCACTATTCTCTGCACCACCACCCCCTTCGTATCATACCCAAACGTCCCCTTCACCTCTAACTTTGTTCCATCCCAGATAAACTCAATCTCACTCTCCTTCCCTCTCGAATCCAAGCTCTCGCCATCATCCAAGTACAGTCTCCCCTTCGCTTTGCCGTTCTGATCAGGGGCAATAACGATCTCAAAGTTCCGCGTCCGGACTTCGGCAGTGGTCATTGCCTGTCCGGTCGTAAACGAAGCGTCAGAAAGGCGGAGGGCCAAGATACTTCCGCCACGAATATAAACAGGGATCTGATCCCAACCTACTCCCGACACAGTAACGTTTCGGCCACCAGCGGAAGTCTGATCAATCCGGTGATGCGTAAAGAAATCGTACCATTTCCCTTGAGGCAAGTAAAAAGTGACGGATTGGGCGTCGTCTTCTACCACGGGAGAAACAAGCAATGCGTCGCCGAGGAAGAATTGCGTGTCGATGCCGTATGTTGCCGGGTCGGAGGGGAAGAGGAACCAGAGCGGTTTGACTAGTGCCGGTTCACCTGTTTTGCTGGCGTAGTAAAGGCCTGTGTAGATGTAATCCAGCAGTCGGTACCTGACACTAATCGCTTTGCGCGCGGCAGCGGCGACTGAAGGCCATCGATAGAATTCCTGGTCGGGAGCGGAGATGTCGGCGTGGTTGCGGTAAAAGGGCTGCCAAGCGCCGAGAACTGCCCAGCGTGCACACATGTTCTCTTGGGCCTGGCCGTTGAAGCCACAGACGTCGGAGCCCACCATGGGGTAGTTGTGTATGGCGCTGAAGCTGAGGAGCTGCCGGATTGAGGCGCGGTAGTCGGCCCAGGAAGAAAAGTTGTCGCCGAACCAGTGAGCGGCGAAGCGGGAAGATCCCGAAAAGGTGGAACGGGTGAGGAGGAAGGGGCGTTTGGTGGGCGAGCGGGAGATGAGGGCGGAGCGAGAGACGGAGGACATGGTGAGGGCGTAGAGATTATGGGTGTCGTATTGCGCTGAGCCGTCCGAGTTGGTGATGTTGGTGAACAGGGTGCGGCTGGAAAGGGTGGGGTAGTGGTTCGCTATCTGGTACTTGGGGGTGAAGAGGTCGCGGTTGGGGAGGCCGAGGTGTTGTCCATCGCCTGGGGCGCGTGGATGGATTTTGCCGATTAAAGACTGAGGCAGGGAGCGAGTTTTCTGACCTGAAGAGAGACAAGTAGTGTCCGCACACATGTTGCTCGCCTCATTCATGTCAACCCACAGCCCGTCCGCATTGATCCCATTATTCGGATCATAAAATGTCAGAATCTCTGTCGTCCACCACTCCTTTGTCTGCGGCGCAATCCAATCCGGCCAGACCACCTCCCCAGGCCACTGCAGGCCACGATACCAGGACCCATCAGCCGCCTTGAGAAACACATCCTTCTCGGCACCCCTGGTAAACGGGCCATAGTCGCTCTTGTACCTGATTCCCGGATCCAGAATCTGCACATACCGCATATCTTTCCCGTGCAGTTCGTCCACAAACCCCTTCAGCTGGTCATGAGGATACCGCACTGGATCCGTACTAAAATCCAGCTTGTTGTCCATATAATCGATATCGTCCCAAAGGGCCTCCAACGGAATTCCTGCATCGCTATAGTTCTTGACAACCTGCTTGACATGCCCCAGATCCGGCCAGCCGTATTTACACTGGTGAAATCCTAGCGACCAATACGGCATCATTGCGGGGAGACCAACAACTTCGGCATACTGCTTGCTCACTTCCTCTGGACCCGGTCCGGCCAGGAAATAAAAGTCAAGCACTCCCCCAATGGTGTTATACTCGAGGTATTGCTCTCCGGCATCACTCTTTCCAATCACGACGTCCATCCCCGCTGCGCTTCTCAAGAAAACTCCATGCGTCCCTCCCGTACCATTGCCACCGCGGTGCTCAAAGTAAACAGGATGACTCCCGTACAAGTTCTGGTTTTGCGGTATGTAGGGCGCCTCGGAGTTCCACAACGTTCTTTTGTACCCATCTGTCGCCAACCGGAAAGAATCTGAGTGTTCTCCCAGCCCGTACAGATTCGGGTTCGGAGGCAGGCGCGTGCGTAAGCGGAGGTATTGCGTCTCAAAGATCAATGGCGATGGAGAAGTATCGAAAAGGACGTCGCCGGTGCTGGCGCGTGTAACCTTGAAGGAGAAGGGGTAGGCTTCGTAGGTAAAGCGAAGATCGGCGGTTTGGGAGGAGGCATTTTGTGAGAGAGGCCGTGGTAGGATGTTGTCTTGGATCTGGTAGACGTTTTGCTCGCGGTCTGCGATCAAGACGTGTAGGCGGGTGTCTGCAAGTGTGCTGTGGTTAGATGTGGGTCCGGATCGAAGCATTGAGGTTACGGTGACTGGAAGCAAAGAGACAGAAGGTGGACAATGATCTTACCGGTCTGGTATTCCACGGTCAGGCGCAAGTTGGTAATATCTTCGCTGTAGAGATTGCAGTTGGTGCCGGCGAGAGTTAGGTCGGCGACGAGATACGAAGGCCCAGATTGGGCGTTGGTGACTCGGTATCCTGGGCAAGTTGCCAGAGGCGCCGCGGATGCTATCGAGAAGAGCGACAGCAGCGCAAGGGCGGGTTTGGGCATCCTGATCATGGTGATTCACTCGCTTTGCACTTGATGCCGTGCGGCGAGTTTGGTACTGGGCGTTCAGGACAGCATCATCTGTTGAATTAGAAGTGGCAGCACCGGATAGATAACTGCCTGGTTCAGTTACTGGACAATCTGCCGTTTGCGATGAGGACTGGAAGGAGAGACCGGATGACAGCATCTGTCTTGCATCATTGCATTGCATCCTTCCACCTTCAGACGGCTGCACCATGTTCTCAACCTTCAATTCCTTTCATGATACGTTCACATGGTGTACTAGACCCATTCGTTGTCTCGGTAACACGACTAGGGCAACATCCGTGGTGATCATCTGCTGTGTCTGGCGAAGTAGAATAGTCGATGAATGCCATGATGTGCAACACATCCCATGCTATCTGCTACCTACCTAACCTCCCCATTTTCGGCAATCCGTACCTGTTACGCCGTTGGTCTGTATGTCGTTGGGGAAGCAAATCACAAGGGGTTCGTGACCCGGTCGCCGCATGATCCGGAGGGTATCACCGAGGATGCGGGGGAACCTTGCTTGGAGGTCGGATGCAAGATGGTTGGTGAGACCACGAGGCATCGCGCACGCCAATCAACGTGCAATGTCCGTCTTCTAGATGCCGACTAGGCAAAGAGAATGGCGATCTTTGCCGGTTCCTTAGACTTCTTGGTGTCTCTGCCGGAACCTGCTGGGTTAGCGTGTTACGGCCACCTCACAGAATTTGACTGGTTGGCAGCGAGCATAAATAGGCACCAATCATCTTCTTTTGGGATGATTGGTATTGTCACATGCAAGTCGCCGCGTTGACAAAGTAAGTGCCTGCGAAGGTGTAGTGTAGATGAACGCGGCCATCAGGAGGTTGTCTTGAAGCTTTAGGTTTTCAGTGGGACTGTGAAGAGCTGTCCTGGAGATGGCATACCGAACAAAAAGGCAAAGGAGAAGGAGTGCAACACCATCTATCAGTCATATGGCATCCATATCTGGGCCCAGCTGTGAAACCACCACTGACGGATTGCCGCCTCGATATGGTATCCTCGAATGGCCACGCGCAGGGCCTCCTAAACGAGGAACACACCGCTCGTCGACCGTTAACCAAACACGTGGATCTCGTGGTTTCACGGTCGCGACGCTGTGCAATGTGTGATGCTCATGAGGCGGGAGAGCATCTGAGGATTCCCGCTTTGGGCTGTAGAGGTATGAAAGGGAAGTGGAGGCGAGCCAGTGGCCAAGATGAGAAGCTAATCATGGACGACTACCTTAGGTACCTTGCAGCTCACTGTTAAGGATCTTTGACCATCCCTCTCCTCCATTCTGCTGCGGCGCTGTACCAGTCTAGACAAGAGTGATTGTCTCCTCTCTTCCGCCCTCCTCGAAGCAACTCGGATAGCGCTCCCAAAAATCCTCTCTTGCATTCTCCACTCCCTTGTAGCCCTCACGACCGTGATGAATGATGCCGATTCGCCTGTAGGTCCTTGCCGCCCCAGCACCGTCAGGGTTCGTCGGTTCAATGTCAATGCCTTGCAAAACCAGTGCATACTCCATATCCGCCAACCATTTCTTGTCATCGGGAGCAGGCATCCTCCTCCCCACCCTTCCTATCCTCAATACCTTGATATCACTCCCCATATATTCCCTAATATCCGTCCTCTTCATGGACAAAAGCTCGGTCATCGGGTCAGGATTGAATCCCTCCTTGACCAAAATCCCCAGCTCATCAGGCTTCGAGCTGTTGAGCCCTTGGGCGTCGGACTGAGTCAATAATAAGATGACGCAGGTTCCGCGTTCGAAAGCATATGAGATGAAAGTCTTGACGCCGCCTGTCAGGTCCATGGAAACCTGAACGCTCAATGTGATGGTAGCCTTGGTTTCCCCCGTTCCGCCCCTTGAAACAGACGGTTCAATGTCCCGGTACAGACTGGCATCAAATAATCTACCTTTGACAACCAGCCGCCCGCCAGAAATACGGCCTGTTTTATCCGTAGTAGCCAGCGTAGTCTCCGCGCAGATAATGTTGCACAGGGCTTTGACCTCACAGGTAAACCCATTCCTTTCTGCCCCCGTTCGGGGGAAATAAACAGACACGTCACGAGCAGCCCAGGACCAGCTGGGTGCTCGCCACTCGTGCTTGCCTTGTAGGATACGAACAATTTTCAACACATACTTGTACGGCGCAGTCCATAGTAAATCTGTCAGGAGGGAATCACTCCAAAGGCCGGCTAGGTACCGCACTTCCTGCCCTCGCCTCTTGCTCATCTGTTGGGCGAGCCCAGATAGAGCAGGAAATTTGTCCTCCGGGAACGACAAATGGAGGCTGGAATATGACTCGACGATCTTGTGCCATTGGCGGGCCAGAAGATCGCCTGCTAACCGAGCGCTAGACTGTCTGGAGGGATTCAGCGCCTCGTAGTGCCCCTCCTTGAAGAAGATGTTTCGAAATGTGGGTGGCTGAGGACACTGACACGTCCCTGCCGTTTTACACTCCCACAGCAGTTCTTTCTTGGCAAAATGAACCACCCTCGGACTCAAGAGCATTTCTTGATGGACCCAACCACGGGAAAACAAAGGCATACGATGGTTGGTTGGGGAAGGGTGGTCGCGTACCTCTATGCCGCCTAGCTCGAAGTAACCTATTATGTCAAAAGGTTTGCTTTCAGGAGAGGATGTGGTGCCGCTAAGGCGAACGAAGCCGGAGGAGTCGCGAATTGGTAGACCACCGCTGCCATTCGAAGCAGCAGAGGCTGCAATGGTGAGATGCCCGTTCTCAAAGATGCTACACATCTTGGCCGACTCCTCTACCCAGTCTTGGGGAGAGTCTTGGATGATGCACAGAGAATCAATCCATATGTACGAAATTCCGAGATGGGCGGTAAACTTGATGGCGTCCTGGAAGGTTTTGGAGATGCTGTTCCACTCGATTCGCTCTAGGTGTTGCGCGATGTTGTGGGTGGTTGTGGTTAGCGGCTGTGCTCCTCCCCAGCAGTGGCTGACGCAGGTGTACCGGCCCAGAGTTGGTGAGCTGTGTTCAACGAGACGGATGTCGGTATAGTTGGCGCCAATGTGGATGACTCGGCGCGGGAGGAGGGTGTCTTCCATGCCAGGACAACCCGCGTGGTCGGCCACGCACGTTTTGAGCCAGGAGGAGGCTACCTTGTAAGAGTGGGAGCCCAGCATATGGGCGACGGAAGAGGTATGCTTTCTGGCGTCGAATGTGTTCCAGGGACATGAAAGAGCTTAGACGATGTTAGCCTGGGAACTGGTACTCAGCGGAGGCAACGGCATTCACCATTAAGCGAAGAGATACTGACAAGTCGGTTCTCCTCTCCACCTCCAGTGCCAAGATAGAGGATCATAATTTTGTGACGATTGTCCCACGCACACACGACTTCAAGCACTTCGTCAATGCCCAGGAGTCTTCCCAGCCTCCTTTCAGCCAGTGCCAGAAGGATGCGGCATTGCCAGCAGGTATCGGGAGATGCACGCGCAACTCTTAAGACAGCCTTGGGGTAAAGATACCTCGGTTTGCTGTTCATAGCCGCCTCGCACTGTTCGCATCTCGTGTCTGGAAGAGGCGCGCGGGATATCAGGGTGTTGCTTGAGGAAGGTGACTCTTCCCACCATGTCGACAGTGACCAAGGCGCAGCCTGGGGTTGCAGAGCTGGGGAGTTATTGTCCATGGTTTGGAACGTGCTGTGTTGGTGGGAAACTGAAGTGAAAGGTGGTTTGTCCAAGTCGTTGGAGGAGGTCCCTTTGGCTGCGTTTTCTGAGCTGGCAGTGGTAACGTCGTAAGCACTAATGTGGTAGAGCCAAGGCACCCAATTGGCAACGGCGCCGTGTAGCTGACGACATCATCACCGGCCTGGTCACTCTCGCGTTTTCGATGGAGCGATCATAGTCAGTTGAGTCTGGTACGGTACCTCTGGCTCTGCCCGGCGCGTGGAAGATCAAGTATTGGAGGGGCCCCAGGAACAGAATGAGATCGGAGGTCATAAAGATGTTCGCCTAACTGGATCTCTGTGAACTTTGGTGTCCAGGCGATAGTGGACTAACTGCTACGATCGCTTGCCGCATATCTGCGACCGCACTCGATGGCGGTATTCGGGACGTGAGGGCAATTGCGCTACAAACAGGCACTAGCTGGACGCGCTATAACGATAAGTAACAAACGGATGGAAGATAAATTTGAATTGGGTTCCTAGTTCGCTGTTGTGGGAATGGAGAAGTGTTTGTGGGAGCGGGAATATAGGGAAATATTTAAGGAGGGTAAATTTGCAAGAATGAGCTGCGGCATTGACGTCGGGCCACAGCTCACATCGATGGGAAGGAGCAGCCAACAAGATTGTCCACAAAATAGCCAAGTACTGAACAGGGAATAAATTTTCGAAAGGAGCAACTGGGAAATTAACGGAGGAACAAACAGTTCACAAGACAAGAGCGACAAGAGCGACAAGAGAAAAACAAGGCAGCAACAAGGACGACGTTGTTGGAATGAGATAAAAGCGAAAAAAAAAAATGCAAAAAGATATTGAGACTCGGATACCGGGAGTCGAACCCGGGGCTGTTGAGAGAGCAGTCACTCCTGAGAAGTGAGAGTCAACGATGTTACCGCTACACCATACCCGATTGAACTGATATGGTCCGATTTCGATGGTATGTTGGCTTCGTGGCAGTTATTATGAGTGAGTACTTTTGTTTTCAAAGGATCCAGTCACTTTGCCCGCGCCACGATCATCCCCAAGATGAGATAGAAACTAGACAACAAAAGCCTCGACACTGAAATCTCCAAGTCCATGAAAATAGACCAGCAATAATTGTATGTTCAAAACTTTCAAACCAGACCGTCATCCCGCCAACGCCAATGCCACGCTGACAGCTGACCTCGTATCAGGAAACGGACCCCGCTCCGCCGAGGCCAGCTAACCAACAAGGTCCTCAAACTCCGCCCAACTCCGCTTCATGACACTATTGCTTTTGTGTTGCCAAAAGTAAACAAAAGCAACGCTCATTTATCATCACCTCCCGCACGCATAAACATACTAGAATAGAGTATATGATCAAGCTGGTTCAGCATTACGACACAAAATAGAAGATGTCGGAACCCGCCATTCGCCCCGACCCCTCCTCCCCCGCCGACTGCGCCGAGAACCACCGGCGCATGCTCGCCGGCGAGCTCTACTACAGCTGGACTCCCGACCTGGTAAAAGGCAGAGCGCGCTGCAAGAGCGCCATGCTCAAGTATAACACGGAGGCAGCGGACGGGGAGACGTCAAGGAGGAGGGTAGCCGAGTTGTTGATGGAGTGAGTTTCATCATCCCCCAGCCCCTTTCATGTCACTCACCTCACCTTATCACACTTACCTCGGCTGTTGTTTTCATGCAGCAACTTAACCTAACCTATCAAACAAAAAGAAAAAAATGATAGAAACGTTTGGTAGACATTAAGAGAACAAAAAGTTGACAACCAAAACAGCCTCCTCCAAGACCCAACCCCCTTGCCTCCCAAGCTGGACGACCCCGAGCAAGACGCCGACCAATTCGATGACTTCCCCTACATCGACACGCCCATCAAGATGGACTACGGCAGCAATGTTAAGCTGGGCAAGGGTGTGTACATGAACTCCTCGTGCACTTTGCTAGACGTGTGTCCCATCACCATCGGGGCACGCACGCTCATCGGCCCAAATGTCCACTTTTACTCTGCCACGCACCCCATTGATCCCATCACGCGGAACGGAGTGAGGGGCCCGGAGCTAGGGAAGCCGATTACGGTTGGGGAGGATTGCTGGTTTGGTGGGAGTTGTGTGGTGTTGCCGGGCGTGAGGATTGGGAGGGGGGTGGTGGTTGGGGCGGGAAGTGTGGTGACGAAGGATGTAGAGGATTTTGTGGTTGTTGCGGGGAATCCGGCAAGGGTGGTGAAGAGGTTGGATGTGGAGAGGGAGAAGTATGAGGCGATGGTAAAGGAGAATAAGGAGAGGGGGCATTAAGAGTAGTGCAAGACGCGAATGAAAGCTGATAGTCATGGAAGAGGTCAGGAATGGTGAAGGGGCAGATGGAGAAGCTGACTTGGACTGGCCGATGAGGCATAATGGAGCGGTCTGTCCCATCAAACGTGGTCAAGATGGCGAACTCAGCCCATCATTCATTCCTCATAGCATCCTCCATCTTTTCTACACACCCTCTCATTCAACTCTGTTCACCTCTAATTTATTTCCTCCCTGCTCAGAACCCCTCTCCCTCTTTCCCCACCGCCCAAACAAATCGGTACGGGTTGTAAGGGAGCGACGCCAGGACCGGGTATTTTGGCCGTGTGTAAAAAGGAGAGCAGGATAAGTGATCGGTGTCGTTTGTCCAGTCTCTGGGCGTTTGCGGGGCACGGTGGTGGTCGAGTCCGAAGGGTGTTGACTCTGCTTGGTCTTGCGAGTTTGGGGAGGATACGGTAGACAGGACGAAGCGCTTATGCGGGTAGGCTTTCTCTGACTCGGCGGCGGAGAGGAATTCGGTGTAGAGGTCAATTGCGTCGCCGAGGGCGCAGACGATGAGAGCACCGATAACGCGGTCGGCCAACAAGACGCGGAGGAGGTCGGATTCTGTGACGGAGGACGGTCGGGTGCGGTAGAGGAAGTCTATTGTTCTTCTTGTTTCTTCTTTTGTCGAGAATCTCGTCTAGGGAATGGAGGCTTATGATGGAGGAAGAGGAGGAGGGGGGAGAGCCCGGTTAGCTCGAGGGGGAGAAGGCCATGGTGTTATCGCTGTCGAGCTTCAGGTTGGCTGTGGTTGGGATTACGCTGATGGTGCCTACTGGTGCCTGGAGGCTCGTTGAGGCGGATTACGTGGTACGGCGCAGCCGGAGGGTTTGGTGATCGATCAGTGGATGGAAGAAAACTAACTTGAAGGATGACAGAGGGGCCCGGGGTTCTGTTGCGATAAGCGACGATAAGGTGGCCGATGCGGGGCAGCTCAGGCCACGTTTTGTGGAGTCGGGCGGGCGGGAAGCTTATGGGAAGTGGGCAGCGCTGTTTTAGCGTGATCGGCCCTATGGTTTAGCGCATGCTACAGTGAGTGATCTCTTGGCATCTTTTTACGACGACTTCCCGTCACTTTCTTCCTCTGACAACAAGCATCTGGTCTCCTCCACGAAGACAAGAATTGCCAACACATCAAGCAATTGGATTTAGCATCAAGTCTTCGCAATTACAGTCTTCTTACTGTAGGTTCGTTTCTTCATCGGACCCCGAATGTGCCTCTCCTCAGTTCTTACCCGGATGAATCCATGCCGCCTTGGACTCAACGAGCCGCCGTCCCCTTGGTGTTCGGGACCAACAGCCCGCCAGTTGATTACTACTCCTGCTCAATTCATAAACCGACATCTTACATCATGGCCCTTCAACTAGGTATACCTTCAAGCAGAGGTTGGCTTTACTAGAATCATGACCAGCCTCGATTTTCATGATCTGTGCATTCTTATCTTCTTTCTCCCATGATCTCTCGTATCTTTACCTCGTTCATCGCTGTCTTGCTGGTCTGTTTGCCCTAGGAAACAACTTCGGAACGCGACCAGCGGCGGGCTCGACGTATTTGTACCGATATGTTGGCAACATTTACCCGTAAGCAACAGCCAAACTCATCTGCTTGGTGCAGCACAAAGATGTTGACAGTGTAGACAAGGAAAAGGTCCCAGGCAAACGGCACCTACCATGTTAAGAAGCTCTCCGATGGGCCATTGGTGCCGCCCGGACCTCCGATGAATACGGCGCCGAGTCAAGTCTGGACTTCCACGCCGCTTGGCCACTGATCTGGCTGCGAAAGACAGTCTTTTTTCCAGACGGATGATGAGTACAATGAGAGCGACCAGACGTCGCAGGATACGCCATTCAGAGGGTTTTGGAAAGTTCGGGGTTCTTTCCCCCCTTTCATTCCCTCTCCCCCTCTCCCACCGGAACACAACACCTACCTACCTTGAACAGCGTCGATTCATGACAGCTCAACATTCTTATTCGAGGCCCTCATCGGCTCCTACTGCACCTACTCCGCATTCCACGCGAAACAGGCGATTGCAGGAAAGACCCGGCCTGTCTTGACCCCATTTACTCCAACTCGTTCGCTGACTCCTCCTCCTCCATCCCTGCCTCCGACATGAAATACGAAGGCACCCGTCAGTGCGGCCTATACGACTGGACTGAACCCCAACCCCGTAATCTCTTTCTCATACGGCGGAGGCGAAGGGAACCTCCCGGCTTCCTCACCTCCATCGCCAATGCTCCGAAAACATGAAGCTGGGACTTCAAGGGATAACCGTGGTTATGGCGTCGGGTGACGATGAAGTCGGTTCGTACCCCGGGGATGACAGTCACAAGAACAGGTGTGCTGGCGAGCAGGGCGACATGGAAGGGAGGGTTCTTCACCCGAGTAGGTCGGTAAAAAGCGATGCGAGTTCAATGTCCGTATGTAGGTACTCGTCGGTTAGATGCACGCACTCCAGGCAAGCGAGGCACATCAACCTAACCGACAACGAAGTTATGTCTTGGCGGTTGGTGCTTTCCGAATGGGTCTGAATGTTTCGAAGTCGAAGACTAACCCATGAGGACCGAGATGCCTGTTGATAGAACGAGCCACATCGAGATTTCGCTTTGGGTGGGGTGGTTTCCAAAGTCTTTCCTATGCTTCGCCTTGAGTTTTTTTCAATTTTTTTTGATCAATTTCTCAGCCATCGCCTCGTACTTTTCCCAAGTTGGACCGCAACTCGATTTTACCAGCTACGCTATACCCAAACTCATTGCAACGAACTTTACTATCAACAATGACAGCAACCTCAACCTCGGAAGCGGCGTTTACAATCAGGCAGGCCGTGGCTATCCTGACGTCAGCGCTGTTGATGATCACTATCTGGTTCGGATCGCTGGTGATTGGCACGAGATTGGAAGCACGTCGCTGGCGGCTCCGGTGTGGGGGGCGGTGTTAACTTTGGTTGCACGTTGAGAAGACACGTTGAGAAGACACGTTGAGGGGAGAATGAAGGTGGTAATGAAAAGGGTTGGGGGAGGTTGGGGTTTGTTCATCCTCTTGGCTGTAAGTCTTCTATTTCCTTTCGCCGATGTCGGAAGAAAGGGTAAGGTATGGACCGTGGTGGAGGTGGGAAGCGGTTTTAGGTTGGGTAGGGGAAGGAATTGGAGGCGCGAAGGTGTAGCGTATGGTCGATGGGCGGGAAAAAGATGATACGAAACCACGCGATAGGGCTGACCAAAACAGAATGCGAAACAAACAGTGTGCGGATCCCGACATTTTCAACGACGTTACGATCGGAGTGAATTCCGCTTGTGGGTTCCTGGCAGGGGAGGGATGGGATCCGGTTACCGGGCTTGGCGAGCTTCTATTGTTGTGAGTGTCCTCTCTGTTCCGGTCGTCCTTGGGTATTTTTAGACGCTGTGCTGACACATGAAACGTGGATAACAGCACCCCGAATTCCCCCCCAAAGCTTTTGGATCTGTTGACGAATCCAGTCTGCCCTGATCGGCGCGAATGAATGTTCGATCAACATCGACAACTGAACGCGATTCAGGCGGCGGAAGATACGGGGCCTTGGTTTATAATCAACAACCGCGTTATCGAAGATTCTAGACTTGTCATTGGAGGTGTTGCCGAGCGGTGTGTACATGTACGTAACGGGGCGCTTGCGGATCTCGGATGCTGTTTCTCCACTGACCTGTGGTGGTTCCCATTGTAGTGTATGGGATGGAATGGTGAGGTTGAACTTGATGATATCGACAGCAGTGAAGCGGGAGTGTACATAGTGTACATTTCACGTGGGCATCAATAGCTCACGGGCCCGGGCCGGCGCCGAGACGACGGTACCGTAGCACCGGCGGCAGTTGCAAATAAGACGGGCGGTTCGGTAGGAAGAGCCGGAGCGACTCCACTCGCGGGGGTCTGGGCACACTTCGCTTAGAGGCCTACCGGTGATACGAAAGTTCGCGAATGATGACGTCGGTCATCCCATCAACTGAGGGGGGATTACACGGGCAGAACGGCCCTTAGGTACACGATACAAGATACCTACCGTTAGGCGATAAATACATAGTTGACTGGCAAGAATGATGGATGAGAAGAGAGAGGCAGCTGCCAAAGACGAGATGGATACCTCAATGGGAATACGATGCGCTGGAAGGCCCACGTCCTTCTGTGGGGTCACGACCGGAGCTGTCTCCATGATATGTGGGGATCATGGTTTACAAATACAAATACAGCTCACTAATCGCTGGCCATGCGTGGACGAGGAGGGGAGACGGATTGACCATCGACATATAAACAAATACCTCGACCTTCTTCTTTCTACCTCTGCTCTTTCCAACCTTTTTCACTCTCCATCTCATCTCATCTCATCTCTTCTCATCTTGTCTTTCATCTACACCAGATTTACCATAATACCTAGTTCACAATGTCTCTCCCTTCTACTCAGCCGCAGTGGGTCGTCACCAGCAAGGAGAAGGGCTTCGATGGCCTCATCAAGGAGCAGGGCCCCGTCCCCAAGCCCGGTGACAACGACGTTCTCGTCCGTCTTCGCGGTGCTTCCCTGAACTACCGTGATCTCATCATCCCCCAGGTTCGTACATCTCACCATCATGTCACACTAACTCATATCGAACAGACAACTGACAAAGAAATACAGGGCAAGTACCCTTTCCCCATCAACCTCCCCGTCGTTGCCGCCTCCGATGGTGCCGGTGAGGTCGTTGCCGTTGGCTCCAAGGTCACCAAGTGGAAGAAGGGCGACAAGGTCACCACCCTCTTCAACCAGTGGCACCAGTTCGGCGACATCGACGTCCGCGCTGCCTCCTCTGGCCTCGGCGGTGTTTTCGATGGCACTCTCCGCCAGTACGGTGTCTTCCACGAGGACGGCGTCGTCCGCACCCCCTCCAACCTCAACGACGTTGAGGCCGCCACCCTCGTGTGCGCCGGTGTGACTTCGTGGAACGCCCTCTACGGCCTCAAGGCCCTCAAGCCCGGCCAGTGGGTCCTCACCCAGGGTACCGGTGGTGTCTCCCTCTTTGCCCTCCAGTTCGCCAAGGCCGGTGGTGCCAAGGTGATCGCCACCACCTCCTCCAAGGAGAAGGCCGAGATGCTCAAGAAGCTCGGTGCTGATCACGTCATCAACTACCGCGAGGACCCCAACTGGGGCGAGACTGCCCGCAAGCTCACCCCCAACAACCAGGGTGTTGACCACATCATTGAGGTCGGTGGTGCCGGCACCCTCGGCCAGAGCATGGTTGCCATCAAGTACGAGGGTATCATCTCCATCATTGGTTTCCTCGGTGGTGCTCAGCCCAAGGAGAGCATCCTCGAGACCCTCAGCAGAATCTGCACTGTTCGCGGTGTCTACGTCGGCAGCAGGCAGCTCATGGAGGACATGTGCGCTGCCATTGAGGCCAACAACATCCACCCCGTTGTTGACAAGACCATCTTCACCTTGGACCAGGCCAAGGAGGCTTATGAGTACATGGTAAGTCACTATCCCAAGGGTTTCCAAGTGGTGATGAGAGAGAGATGTATGCTGACAATCGAAAACAGTGGGCCCAGAAGCACTTCGGCAAGGTTGGCATCAAGATCGAGTAGATGTGCCAATGATTGCGGATTGGCATCAGGATTGGGTAGAGATTTTGATGTTGTGATGAAATACAATAGTATAATGATACCATCTTGATAACACAACAATGGTGCGCCTTTTTCTTTGTCCTGGGGAGACTGATTCGACTTTATAATTAGCTCTTGCGGTTGCCCCCTCGTGATATTTCCCTTGCACTTCTCCTCGACATTTACCATTTTTACCTATAGATGATACTCCTGCGGTCCGGTGACCTTAATGTCGTTCATAACCCAAAGCCGATCAACGCCCATATCCGCACTGCCACTGTTCATAAGTTAGCTGCTTGTTTGCTTATAGACATCTGTCCGGGGGCATGAGAGTGAGAGACTTACTCATCTTTCAACGTGTACGTCGGTTCGGTCTGGCCAGCAGCCGGGTTGGGATTTCTGAAGATGATGTTCTTGGTCTATCCCACCACAACAGGTCAGCAAACTCAGCTCCTCAAGAAGGGAACTCATCAGGAGACGGAAAACTCACCAAACCAAGCGTCAAGTGTATCGCCGCCGGCTGCACCTCCACGCTCTCCAACTCCTCCGCCTCCTTCCCTCCCTCAATCAGCTTGACCACATTCCTCGCCGCCACCGCTGCCTGCACCATCCCCGGCCTTGCTGCCTTATGCGCCCCCGAATCCGCAATATCGCCCACAGCAAACATGAAATCCGAAAACCGTTCATCAGCGAACTGCATCGTCGGCTTCACCTTGACGAACCCATTCCGAGGATTAATCACCCTCCCCTTCTCCTCTTCTTTTTCTTCCAACCCCAGCAAAAACCCATTATTAGCCTCCTGTCCCGTAGCCTGCACCACCACATCCCCCTCCACCACACTCCCATCCACCAATCTCACCTCCATCTTTTTCTTCCCTTCCTCTCCAGGCACCGGGAGTGGCCACCCCCCTTCCTCCGGCGGCACCACCGCCCTTTTGCCCAGTGCCGTTTCCACCCCCAGTTCAGCAAACCGCTCCTTGATAATCTCGCTCAGTCGCTCATGATAAACAGGCATCAACTGCTCGCGCGAGTGAACCAGCGTCACGCGCTTAGTAGGGTACAGCTCCTTGAGGTCGCAAGCCATTTGCACCCCCACTGCGCCGCCTCCTACAATCACCACGTGTTTGGTCTCGGGGTGGGCGATGGCGTTTTGGAAGGATTGTAGGAACGAAATGGAGAGAGGTTTGGTGTCGTGGGGGGAGGTGCCGGGTGGAGAAAGGCGGGTGCCGGTTGCGCAGAGGAGAAAGTCGAAGGGGATTTTGGTTGTTTTCTCCAAAGAGGAGGAGGAAAGGGAAGAGGGAAAGGGGACGGGACGGTCGAGGGTGAGGAGGTTATTGCCCTTGGGCGAGGTGGACAGAGAGAGGACTTTGGCGGGGAGGATCAGATGGGAGGAAGGGGAGGAGGAGGAGAAGAGGGAGGTATAAGGGATGAAGGCTTTATGTTCGTGCGAGGGGAGGATGGCGAAACGGGGGAAGGCGAAGAGGTGGTGGAAGTGGGTGTGGGGTTCTATGAGGATGACCTGGACGGAGGTTGCCTGTGTTAGTTGATGGGGGTTTTGATGGTGAGGATGGAACGAATGGAGAGACTTACTCGATGAGATGAGGGAAGGAGGTTTGCGAGTTCTTTGGCGGCGGCCTTTAAGTGATGGTCAGCATTTCATTTTGAGAATTCGTGCCGTGAATGGGCAAGAAGGGCCCTAACTCACCTTCCCAACATATGATCCTCCTACCACAACCACATTTTTGAGTGCGTTGGCAGCCATATCTGTCTGTGGTTGTTGCACGTTGCGATCCATGGACATTTGAAGAACAAAGCTGAATAAAAAGACGACAGATGCAACCACGAAAGGCGTAGAAATCAGCGAGAGTCTTGGGAAGTACTTCATTATCAGATCAAAATCAAAAAAGAGGTAAGCAGTCGACTTATAAGGACACAACGCCAAGAGATGGTGTCCTGGTTAACTCCGAGCTGTTATCAGATCATCTCGGAGATGTCAACCCCGGCTACCACGGGGCGGTCGGTGGTGATTGGCCGACATCTCCTAGCGCCGTCTTGACCGTTTGTCGTTGAGCCCCGTTACCGAGACGAGTTGCTCCAATCGGAGGACAGTTCGGGGTTAAGAAGTGTAGAGGGAAAACGATGTCCCCTTGTTCTTCAATTGATGACTGTTGGGACGGGGAAGCTGACTACCTAACACCGGCAGTGTTATTCAGGGATTATCAATTTGTTGTAATCCGGATCCAAATGCTAAACCCCGACCTCTCCGTCCTCCGAAGTCGGGTCACGGCCGCCTCAATCATCCTACATCCGTTGCCCCTTCTCCGTCATCTCTCTTTCCTCATCATGGTGAGCCAACATCAAAGCATCACGCCTTCCCAATAGGCCTTCAGTTCCTTCCATCCCATCAACTCCTCAACCACCGAGCCACCGCCGCTCCCCACCTCACAGCCCCCTTATACGTCCACATCCCCGGCGCATTCCCTTCTCCCGATCCCTCAATTGCCTGCGCCAATGCCTCCCCCGTCTTCGTCGTCCCCCCATCCTCCATTTCCAGAACCTCCTCCTTCACCTCTCTGAGTCCATACATATAAGTCTTGAACCCAAAAACCACCGCCCCCGTCTTTCTCAGTCTCCAAACACCTTGCAACTCAACCCTCAATCGTGCCTTCTCCGCCTCTTCATCCCCAAACTCCGTCACCTCTTCCATTGTCTCCAAATCCTCCTGATGCACGTGGTTGCCGCCCGGACAATAGAGGTCAGGATGCAACTGCATAGCCCAATTCATCCTCTTGACGAGCTTATCGCAGGACAAACGGGCAAAGAAGCGTTCCATTGACGGCCCGATTTTCTCGTAGGAGGGTACGGGAGCGTGGATATGCGAAAGGGGGAGACCGAGTTTGGAGGAGGGGGAAAAGCCGGAGGGGTGTAGGTTCATGAAGGCGACGCACTTGTGCTCCATCTCGCTGGTGGTGAGGGAGTTGGGTTTCGGGAAGGGAAGCAAGAGGAAGAAATCGTCTTCTACTGTTTGGGCTATCACCCTCAAACAGTCGAGGGGGTCGGAGGGAGGCGGGGACAGGGGGGAGGAAGAGTTGGTGATCAAGTTTTGGAAAGTCGTGTCGGGGCAACCGGGATAGGAAGAAACGATGCGGAACATGGTCGGATACCGGACGGGGAGGTATTCGCCTAGCAGGTACGTGTATAACTCCTTGACAGCGGCCTGACCTTCGGGGAGAACGCCCATGACTTCGGCGGCGTGGAGGGAGAGGATCTCCTGGCGGGAACGGATACGGGAGAGGTAGTTGCTGTCCATCAGGATGAGGTCCGAGGGGGTGCTGTTTTGAAGGCCTATGGTGGTGGAGTGTTAGTGGTTGGCGATGGATATAAGGAGCACGGATGAAAGAAGGGATTACGGTACCCATGGTGATGTGGTATTTGGGCTTGAAGGGGCGGAGCTTCAGCGGCTCAGTCGTTTTCCAGTCAAAGTCCGGCAAGGGAACAATGGTTGCTTCGTCGGTTTTCTCATTTTGTTGATCGCCGGTGCTGCCGTGAAGGAATGGTGCTTTCTCCTCGACAGACGGCGATGAGGTGGCACATCTCTGACGGGAACGGAGCCACAGATGAGCTCCTACGGCCAGGACAACGAGGAATAAGACGGTAAAGCCGGTCAATGACGTGGTGATCATTGCAAAAATGAGTGAACGACTCGATTCCTCAAGGTAGGTGTTGTTGATGTTGGCCTCTTCACATACAGAAAGAGTCATTATAAATTCTGTATTCATTCTTGATAACATTGCTGATAACAAAGGTTCCACTTGTCAGTGACGTACCTGAGGGGTACGGGGAATTATTACCCGTTATTTACTAGTGGACGATAAGGTCAAACAATGCGAAGCCGGCCAGTCCAGTCCCTGTCGTGAACCACTACACCACACCAGTTCGCCAAGTTCAGCCAGTTAGTGCACCGACGACAAATCACCGATAGCCGACCTCGGTACCTCTAATGATAGTTGGAAACGCACGACATGTCATCAAATTTCTTTTATTTGCTTGAAATGTTATAGTGGTATCAATATTGGGAGCGTAACACATGAGGACATGACCGAAGGAACGACAGGAAAGAGATATCATAATCCGTCCATCCAAACCACATGACAATCTCCAAGACCGGCCAACAACGCACCAACCAAACCGAACCGTCCCCTGTCTATCTAAGCATTAGGAGCATTCACATGGCTCAGTCCCTTCTTTTCATCCAACTCGGCTCCTGTAGCAGTAGAGGTGATAGTTCCTGTCTCCTTTGCCCTTCTCTCCTCCTCTGCCCTCCTCTCCTTCTCCGCCTCCTTGATCCGATCAAACTCATAAAGTGGCTCCAGCTTCGCATTCCTCTGCCAAAACACCCATCTCTTGATGAACCACGGCAGCGCCTTGGTGCACTGGTACGACATGAACTTGCTCGTCTTCACAGCAAAGACATAATCCAACTCCTCGAGCGTCTTCTGCTTCGTCTCCGGCACGACCAAGAAGATGGCAATAAACGCCACCAGGTTGAAGCCCGCGTAAAGACCAAAGGCGCCGACGGTGCCGAGAGAGTCAAGCAAGAAGGGGAAGGTAATACCCAAAACAGATGCCCAGAAGAGACAGGTGGCAACGGCAAAGCCCATGCCTACTTCTCTGTGAGAGAGGGGGAAGACTTCGGCCGAGTAGGTGAAGGGGACAGGACCTTCACCGGGGGAGTAGAACGCGGCGAAGAGGAAGACGAATAAGGCGACAAGCGCGGTCCGGGCGGTACCCATGTCGAGCAAGGTGAAGAGGCCGGCTGCTAGCAGGGTCCACATCATTTGCGGGAAGGTAAAGAGAAGTAGAGAGCGCCGGCCAAAGGTGTCGATGGTCCAGAAGGCGGGGAAGGCGAAGAGCCAGTTGACTAGACCGAAGCCGAAGGACGAAAGCAGGGCTTGGAATTCGGTGGAGCCGGAATCCTTAAAGATGGTGGTGCTGTAAAAGGCAATGATGTTGATTCCGCACATCTGTTGGGCAATCATGACGGTGAAAGCGGCGAGGGTGGCGCGGCGAACACGAGGGACGGTGAAGAGCTCAACGAAGCGCTTGGCATAGTTGGAGCCGGCGAGGAGCTGGTGCTCAACTTCCAATTGCGAGTGGATGTAGAACATGTCCCGGGCAACTTGGATAGGGTGGTTGCGCAGCTTGACCATGGATTTCCAGGCTTCTGGGTAGCGGCCCTTCTTCATGTACCAGCGCGGGGACTCGGGGCAAAGATAGATGAGCAGAAGCAGGGGTACGGCGGGGATGAAGGGGGCACCGAGCATGAGGCGCCAGTTGACGTTGGAGCTGGCGTTGAAGACGGCAAGGTTAAAAGCAGTTCCCAAGAAGATGCCGAAGGCTGTCCACATTTCTGGAAAGGTCTGGTGTTAGCATCTTTCACCAATTGTGCCAAGGGAGCTGTAGTAAGGAACACTTGGGAGTACTCACGCCATGACATAACCAGCGCACCTCGAATAGCAGCAGGCGAGTTTTCCGCGGCATAAATCGGCACCGTTGATGCCTTTACACCCATACCGATACCCATCAGCAGACGGCAGGCCAGTTGCTGGGGCCATGTGTGACAGAAAGCAGAACCGATGACGGGCCAGATACAGAAGTGAGCAGAGACAAAGATTACACCACGACGACCGATCCAGTTGTTGATGGGATCAGAAAGCCAGCAACCGATGAATCTGTTTAATGTTAGTCAGTACCTAGGTATTGAACCGACCACTGCAGGAAATCACCGTGTCTGTTGAACGTGGAAAACAAGAAGAAGAGAAAACTTACGCGCTCCCAATATAAGGCCCAGCATTGATCAATCCGACAAGCAACTTCTCCCTCGCAGTGTCCCCTCCGATACCGTAATAGTTGGGGAAGAAGATATTCGCGCCATTCGTGCCCGTCTGATCCCAACCTTGGACAGCAGCACCGATCGAGCAAGTCGCAATCGTCAGGAACAGTCTTGCCGGCAGCCGCCACTTGTGTTCGACCTCCTTCAAAAGTACTGCCTTCTCCTCATCATCCAAGGCTTCCGGGCCCGAGATGGACGCATAGTTGTCCGGGGATTGGGCGATGAGTGCTCCCTTACGGAAGAGAGGGAGGTGCTCGGTTAGGTTCTTTTCGGCGCAAAAGGTCTCGACGCGTGACAGGAGCTCGACGCGGGAAAGGCCTTCGAGCGGGTTCTTGAGCTTGGCTTCGAGGTTAACGTTGGCTTCGAGGTTGGACGAGGTTTGTTCAATGTGCGAGCCGGTGACACCCTTGGGTTCTCTGGGTGGGTGTTAGTAAAACAGGTCTTCTTGAGAGAACTTGAGGAGACTTGTGGAACTAAAGACTTACCCGGCAGTGCCGCTACTGTCCAGGTCTGGATTGTGGCCCATGGTCAAGGTGAACGCTTGGTCACTTACACCAAGCAAGCCCCTAGAGTGTATCAACTTTCTGGGAAGCAGGTGTCGGGGAGAAAGGGAATGATGAAGGAGAAAGAGACACGGGGATAACACAGGCGACGAGGACGGAACACCAAATCCGGGGTACCGGGGGAAGATATACGTTTTTTTCCTCCTCAGTCCCCATCACCCCCAGTCCCCGGATTCCAACACCAGCCTTTCAATGTAAGGTCCGGGCTTTCCATGGTTCCCCAATATTGGCCTCCATCTTTTTTTGCTCGCCATGGATCTCACTCAGCGTGCTTTGTAGTGCACTGTGTAGGCTCGGGCCAGACCAAGACGGCTTCAGGAAGGGATCATCGGTACGTACTCGGCAAACCAATTGGAGGGCATTCGAGACACTGTACGAGTACGACTTGGGGGAGCAGTCCTCCTCACTCCCGTTGGAGGTTGTACCACACCCACAACACGGGATGGGCTCACGAGTGGTCCAGTCGTTCTTGGACCGTCCGGCTATGTTTAACCACACATGGTAACCCGTAATGTAACGTAGTCCTGACTGTGGACTGTGTAGGTAAGACTGCCGCTGAGAAGGGAATGCAGTCCGCTTGGCTGGTCTATTGACAGACTGACCTTCAATGTTCTTGGCTGGCCTGATTCTTTCCGACCCCTGATCAACTTTTCCGAGTCTTTGCTTGTTAGGTAAAAGTCGTCTTTGCCTGCCAGTGACTGCCTTGTTCTCCGTCCCGGCATGGGATGTCGTCGATCTTGACCGGCTTCAGCGATTGGGTTGCCAGCGTGTGGAGCCTTTGGCGCAGGCCACAGCGGCCGACCCCAGCTTTTCGGGGGTTTATATGCGGGGGACGGGGGGGAAGGGTGGTATTTGCTTTGTGGAGAGGTGGAGAGATGCTGGGGAATCCCAAAGAACCAAGCCATATGGTACTCCACACTTTACTGTTCCCCTTCGGCTTTCGACCTTTTGTTGGGCCGAAGGTTGATTCACTTTCTGTACCGACATGTTTTCTTTTTGGGGGTCTGCTTACCTTTTTGAATTGGAGACACTGGAGTTTTGGTGGACTGGAAGTACTTGGTGAGAAAAAGAGTCAACATTGGCCAAAACAATGGTCGTACTTGCATGATTGGGGTCTTGGGGGTGTGTTACCCCTCACCTGTCATGCCGATTTCGATGAACGATGCTGGTTGACTGATGGCAACTGAACGAACGCCTCAACCGTCATTCGAGCAGTCCTCACATTGTCGATGTGTATGGTACTGTGTAGGCGAGTCAAGTTGAAGTTCGAATTCTGCTTTGATCTCGGACGTCTCTCCTTTTCCCCAGACAGACGGGATCCCAGAAGCCACGATCAACCCCCCGCCGTGGGGAGCCCGTCCCCTCGCGCATCAGGAACGTACAAGTCGACACTTCTCAAACAGTGTTCCAGTCCGAGTCCCTTCATGTCCTCCAAGTCCAGTTCCATCTCGATCTCCAAGGGAAAGAACCAGACCACGACCCAAGAGTTTGGTCTACAGGTCTCGCCCGTTCTAGAATTTGGGATTTGAAAGTTGGACTCGCCGTTGATCTCTTCGATCTTCGCCTTCAACTTGCCAAAGACTACTAAGAAATTTCAAGCAGAGTTGCAAAATTCCCAATCGAGCGCACCAGTCTTTGACCCCCATCTACCACCCCTTGAGCCCCTAGTGAAGAATCTACACTATTTTTACTCCCTTCCTCGTTTGCGCCTGTTAGTCACATAATAACCCAACTTTGTGTTCCCCTCCTTCCCTCCCCTTTTGGGTGTTCTCGTCCGTCACTTGCCATGACGCTTGCGCACCTCGAAACGGAAGCGCACACAACCAACAACCTACCTACCCCCAAACCACTAGCCCCCAATCAACTCGATCCCGATCCCACACGGCGCAAAAACCATTGCCGTTGCCTTCCTCTTTGGTCTACTTCTGACAAGCGTACTGTGTAGTAGACACTTGGCTTTGCTTGCATTGCGGCGACAACGCAGTTTGAAGGACGGCGTCATGAATTTCCCAACCATCAAAAACACAAAGAGGAGTACTCAGACACGGCGATTGCACACGACCAACAACGCCTTGGCTGACGACGGTGGCAGTCGCAGCAGGCGAATCCTTTGTTTTGGAAATTGCAAAAGCCCTGAATCTTTCTCACGTGCAACCGTGCAAGAAGCAGTCAGTCAGGGTCCTTGGGGTCCTCAATGTCATCTTTTTTTCCCTCCTTCAGCTTCATATTCATGTTCTCGTGTGCTTTTGTATCTGTTCAAGCCATTGTCTTTCTGTCCTTGAGGTTCTGATCGCATATGTACCTACCTACAAACAGCCCTGGCAGCCTTATCGCAGCGATGTCACACCTTGATACACCTGAGTACAGTGTTGGGCAGGATTTAGTAGTGACCGTGGTGGTGGCGATCAACATGCAGCGATACTATTGTCCAAACTAGTAGTTACCTACTAGTGTAGTGTACCTCTAGGTGAAAAGTGACTGGTCAGTGAGTGGTCCGAATCCGAACAACGCAGTTGTCTTTTCTCCCAGATAAGACAGGGGCATTCCCTCCCGGCTGTCATCACGCCTGTCTCCCTCCCTTCGATTTCGATCCTCGAAGCACGCGATTGTGTACCTCCCCACCCCTCTTCCCTCCTCTTCCCCCCTCCCCCTCCAAGAACTATAAGATATATATACCATATATATATATATATATATATATAAAACAAGTAGAAAGCTCGATAAGAAGTAAACGCCAAGAACCCAAATCACAAAACATCCTTCCCGGGTTTAAAGTGAATTTGTCAATATGCCGTTATAACCGCATTACGTGCCGCCCCTTGCTAAAAGAAGGGGTGGCCAAGCCTTGCTCATAGTGGTTGCGACACCCGACCCGTTACCGTCTCCCGTCTTTTACCGATCGGCAACTGAAGGAAAGGCGCCACGCCAACGGGCACCAACCTAAGCCCACCCTTTTCTACGTCTGGATGCCTGTCACGCCCGACGGACGACGGCTGAGGAACACGCCGTAAGACGATGCTACGTCGGGGGAGAGCTAATCCGAGATAGTCAAGGTACTACTGCAGTAAAGACTCTGTTTTTCTTTGGGGGTTTTGATATATTTGACAGTCAGAGAGGATGGAAACTTCAGATTTCGAGGCTGTAAGAGTTTTGGGGAAAGGTATCGACAGAATCAGTGCTGAAGTGTAGGTAGGTAGGCAAGGTACATGTACTACGTGGGTGCAAGGGGTAAGTGATCGTCTATTCATTCATCATATCAGTCCTGCACCACATCATGAAGAACAAGAAGAAGGGGAAGAAAAGGAAGGTGACTCAAATCCATCATCGCTCATGGTAAAGAATATGGCGCTATCTTTCTTGATGTCCAGAGAGGGAGCACGACTCAATGAGAACGCATAAAACGAAAGAGCCCAAGAGAGACAAAGACCGAAAGGGCAAGGAAGAAGACGGAAAGAAGAAGCGCGAAAATGAAAGGAAAGAGAGACCAGAAACCAGCCAAATGTCTATGTATAGCGAATTCGTCAAAAGCGAAAGAAGCTGGAAGTAGCAAGCAGTGTATGACAATGAAAAGAACTGAAATTGATCATGCCGTCATCCATCAGCTTGAATAAGCTGTAGTAGTGTGTAGGTAGGTAAGGTCTTGGACCAGACAAGAAAACAGAAGACAAAAAAAGAGACAACTTGAAGTAGCGAAAACGTCATCAACCGACAACCAACGGCAAACATACCCACTGCTGGCCAACAAAAACAACATCAACAACAGAACGGCAACAACGATACCACAACAAACGCTGACACACCACACACGCTCCCAGTATCATCCTCTCCGCTTGGCAAGGCGGCATCCATCTCTCCTTTGTATCCGAGAACAGCAATTAAATCCTCCAACGTCTCCTCCCCATCTCCCATCCTGTTTGTACCAATTTCCCCCCCGACGCCACAGTTTCAGAGTAGGTACTTGACTCTCTCCCATCGACTTCACATTCCCAAACATTCCCCGAACCCTCCGGATCCTCTTCACTTTTTTGAAAGACCTAATCCCTCCATTCCCTCGGCCAAGCTATCGGCAATAACAGTATTCTATTCCGCTGCCGAAGCACCAGCATGACTCGACCCAGCAACAGTAGTGGCACTAGCAGAAGCGCTAGGTCGTCCTCGTGTCGTCTGCGCAATAACTTCCCTGGCATAGAACTCTACCAGCATGGTGGCGTATGCTTCGAGGTCTTCGACAGGAACGGCCAGGCGGAAGTCGTTGAGAAGGAGAAATTGGAGCTCGAGGTGGTTGAGTTCTGGGAGGGGAAGGCCGCCGACCTGGATCGTTTTGTTAGTACCTGCTGGCTGGATGTTTGGACCCAGAAGAAAAGAGAGAAGAGGCGATGAAATAGAGGAGGGAGGGTAAAAGTGTTGATGAACGAATGGAAGGGAAGGGGAGTGGAGGCACAGGCAGGGGTAGCAGAGGGGAGAGAGGACGGAAGAAAGTGGAGAAGTGGATTGGGATAGGGGGAGGGGAGGAAAAAACGAAGGGAGGGAAAAAGGGGAAAGTAAACATACCTTAGCATAACGCGAGTTAGTATAAAACACATCGCTAAAGAACTTGCTCGCGCACGTCACTCCAGCGATGATCAACCTGTGAATGTTGAAGCTGTCCACGACAAAATACGTCGCCTGCTCATCCTCCTCTTCCTGTTCCCTTGTCCTCCTGCTCCCACCACCCTGCCTTGGCTCATCCGGCATCTCTTCGTCGTCATCGTCGGCCAAGTCCGAGTCTGTCTCGTCGCTATCATGTCTCTTGTCATCATCAGGCGAATCCCGCATAGGGACATCTGGATCATCTGCCGTCCCCTTTTCGTAACCCGCCGTCGCAGCAGCTTGCTTCTCCCTTTCCTGTCGGGCACGCTGCTCCTCGTGGCGTCTTCTTCTCCGCTCCTCTTCGCTTTTCATCACCATATCGTTAACTCTTTCCGTCATGCGGTCAAAGTAGACCAGCAGTGACAAAAACACCTCATATGTGGTGGGGCAGTATTTGTGGATGCGGGTGAGGTAGCTGAGAATGGTGATGGCCGGCACGTTCTTACCGTGGAAGGCGAGGACAGAAGAGGAAAGGGGGGACATGTGTCCGCTGCTGCTGCTGTGTCCGACCTCCCTACTGCTCCCTGCGCCATTCCCAGTTCCTGGCCCTCCGCTACTGCTCCCATTCCGGCCTCGGCCCCCGCTACTCTCCTCGCCTTCCTTCTCTCGTCGTTGTCGCTCCTCTTGGTGTCTCGCCTGCGCCTCCGCCTGCCTCATATGCACCTGATTCCTCTGCAATGCGTCATGCTGTAAGTCGTTTGTAGTCGTGATCTTGGTCAAAAGCGCCGCCACCATTTCGATGATATCCGAGATGGGCATCCCGCTGATTTCGTAGCGCATTTGTTGGAGCGAGGGGTCGTCGGTAAGCATGCCATTGCCAGTTCCGGAAGAGGCAGAGAGCGGGTGGCCATCTTGTGAAACGAGCGTTTGGATGTGGTGGAGGTCGCGGATCTTGATCACCTTGGGCTGGGGTGGAGGAGGGAGTTGGTGGGCTTGTTGGTAGTTGGGGACGCGAGCAGTGGGGGTGTTGGGTCGGTCATCGATTGGGAGATGGTTGTTGGACGGAACAGTGCGGTGGCTGTGCTGGACAGACGAGTTCCAACTGCGACCGTTGCTGTCGGCGTCCGGAGCCGGAGAGGGGATACCTCTCCCACCCCCAGAATGGTCGGCAGGCACTACGGTGGCTGCGGTGCTAGTAGATGAGGCGGTAGAAGACGAAGCCGAAGACGGGTCATGCGCCGATGTTGGGACCGTTTCGTGGACGCCATGCTGCTGTTGTTGCTGTTGTTGTTGTTGTTGTTGTTGTTGTTGTTGTCGGAGGGGTCTGTTTGGAGAAGCAGACGAAGGTGGGGAAGGGAAACGGGACGCGCCTCCGGTGAACTCTTGGTGGTGCTTTGCCTGTGCGTCATCGGTGCTTGGGGTGGACTCCATCCAGCCTTGAGGTTGCTGTTGCTGCGAAGAGGAAGCATATCGTGGAATTGGAGTCGTAGCGATTGCGGCGGCCTGCCTCCTAGGGCTCGGGGTCGGGCGAGACTGAGGGTTATGGATCGAGGTCGTTCTTGGGCGGGTGGCGGCCGCGGACGAGGTGGTCGTTGATGGCGAGGAGGAGGAGTGGGAGGGGCTTTGATAGTGGGACGAGGAGTGTTGAGGGTGCATCCTGTCGTGGAAGCGCGGAGTATCGGTAAAGACGTCACCCATTAGAGCAGCCATCCTGGCATTGTCTGCTGGTTGTCTCTTGTCTGTCTGTGTCTATCTGGCGTCTGGAAGTCTGGGTGTTTGCCTGTTGTCGCGGCGTCTATCGAAAACTGTCGTCGTATGATGGATGCTATTGCGGTCGGATGTTGGAGTAGAAGCGAAGTGGTATCGGAGGCGTTTACCGGGTCGTCATTTGTGGTACGGAACTGGCTGGCTGGTTGGAAGAGTGGATGGATGGATGGATGGATGGTTGGATGGATGTCGAGGCTGCGGTCGGTGTCGATGCAAACAGAGTCAGTCACGGCGACTCTCATAAGTCCAATGACTGCGGGATTGATGCGATGGCGGGAGGTTGCAAACTGCAATCAAGACGGGACTTGTCGAAATTGGATGGTCCGTCGGGTTGGATTGCGGAAACACAGAGGATGAGGTAAGGTAGAGTACTAGTGTAGTGTAGGTAATTGCCAAGCTAGTAAGGTACTAATCGGTATCGGGACGGCATCAGGTCGAAACGCCCACCCCAGAGTGGGGGCTTCCTTCCCGGTGCCTAGGCTTCAGCTTTGGTGGGCACTGCCGCCGGGGGCGTCGCTACGGGGTCGCTACGGGGCTGTGTCTGGCTGTACGCGGGACGGATGGTAGCGTAGTGTATTGTAACTGAATATTACGCGAACTGAGAGAGGTATACAACAGTGGATCATTATTACTAGTCCTCAGCTGAACTTCCTAGGTAGGCGTAACTTTGATCCATGCCCCCTTCAGGTCCTCGGGATAAAACACCAACCACAAAAGCGGAACGTCAACACGTGGGCGCGCAAGTCGAGTAAACATTGAGAAAGAAGAGGAAACAACAGGAATACAACCACCAGACAGCCCATCTCGCGACATGACGCCCTTCCACATCCATCCACAACTCTACGACCTCTACCTCAACAAAAGGAAAAACAAGGATGCGCCTATCCTCGTCAACGGTAATATCGTGCGCGTCATGCATGCTATGCTAGGTGCGTTGTACAACAAGCAGTGGAAGCACACACAAACGAATTCCGAGATTACTTGCCTATGTAGGTAGGTATGTGGTCCGTATCAACTTGACCATATCAGCCTTTTACAAAAAAACTGAACCAACCTCCCATTTTAAACCGATGACCGCTGACCGACATCCTGGTCACTCACCTTACTTGCTCGGCCCATCGCGCGTCAGTTGTCTTTGTTGTCTATCTTCTGTATGCCACTATGTCGCTGTTGACGCCATTGCCCTTCAGCCTATTAGATGCAAGGTCGGTTACGATGTAGCCCAACCCTGGGACGGGAGACCAGGCTGCCAGCAAACAATATATCCGCCTGTTCAAGGTAGAGGTAGGTAGGATATGCTTGCCTGCCACGTCCAGCGCCGTGGATGGCTTGAAGGGCGTCTTAGTTGGTAGGAGCTGTATAGATGGCTCTCTTAGATGAAAAGAGACGTGAGATCGAAGAGTTGAAGCGTGTAATTTTACGATAAGCTGGCGTTTACAGGTACTGGGTACCTGTAAGAACGGAAGCCTCGACCACAAAACACATTACACCTAAGTTCATTAAAGTTCGAAGCTATATTGAAGCCGGTCTAGAATGGCAGAGGTAAGACAGCAAGGAGGTATCCAAGTCCTCGTACCACAGCCAGAGGACGGCCACGCTTGCGACCGGTACTACTATATGTGAAGCCATCGATTGGTAATTTACGTATTCCACGTATTAACATCGTTACGTATCAATGGGAACATTGACGTATGAAGTGGGTTCTTCGTGTAACCGCGTTTGACGCAACAAACTCGCCGCCGACCTCGCTGATGAGCAGCAGACTTGGTATCGTTGGCGAGTGATGTGGCAATGGATCCTAGCAAAACTCCTCACTTTCACTCCGCTGGCGCTTATCGAGGCTACATATCTACTTTGATCTATTTGGCTTTCAAGAAGTAGAAGATGTGATGAACCCATAACGGCGGTAGCTTTTGCGTTAAAGAATGGCATCTTGACGTTATTGGCTCTACCCTTGTGTAACAACAACTATGACGCCAAACCATGGACACCTACCCATCGCCAACCTCCCGTCGGGTTCGCCACGCCTCATCCATAGTGGGGTATAGTAGCATAGCTGTGATAGATATATGCTACCTAATAATTACAGCACCTTATCCAAATACGAGAGGTCCCGCTTATGAACATGAATGAAGGCCAACTTATCCTCATGTTCCAGCTGTATCAGTTAAGCCTGCAGGAAACAGTGTTGTTTTTAGTCTTCCTGCCATCCAGACCATGGTCTAACGTCTTGTCTTCTTATGTATCATTTCGTATTAACACACCTTCTCTGGTGTACTTTCTTGGCTGAAGGCTGAGGCTGGACCTTTGGCTCGTCTCCTGCTACATTTCATCCGCCCATTCGGGTTACAGATAGATGACCATCATTTCCACGAGCCCAACCAGCCCATTCTCCGAGATCCCATCACTGGTGCCTCACCTTGTAATCCGAATCCGGCAAATACAAATGCCTGTCGGCGCCCTTCTCCGTCAACACCACCATCCTGATGACACCTCCCGAGGAGCCATCCCACTTGATCGCCTCCTTGAGTGCCTCCTTGACAAACGCTACGGCTTCGGCTTCCTCCATTCCTTCCTTCCAGTTGGCGTCGCAGTAACCATAAATGTATGTGGAACCGGAACCACCGATCGAATACGGCTGCTTGTGCAGGGAGCCGCCGAGCGGAATGTTGTACACTTGACCACCGTGGCGGGCATCCCAGCCGGCAATAATGAGGCCGGCACTGTTGAAATCCAATAGTCAGCACGGAATCCGACCTGTGCATGATAAGAGAAGAGGAAGGGGGCGCAAGAGAGAGAGAGAGAAACGCAGCAAAGTGAGATGAAGGGAAGGGGGCCACCAAAAACATACGTCAACCTATCCTTGTTGGCATAAGCAATCTCCTGGAAGACAGCAGCCGCAATCTGTGTCGTCGGAGGCCTGCCGTTGACCATGTGGTACAATCCCAGCTGGTATTGCACAATGTCGGCGACGGCTTGTGTATCGGCGGCGGATCCGGAGCGACAGCACCAGATGGTGTCGTGTACTTGGGTCAGCTTGTCCGTTACGCGGTTGGCGATGTAGGCGCCTGTGGTTGTGCGGGAGTCGGCTCCTGTTCAAGGTGTCAGCCTGCGATCGACGATTCTGTCTCCGGAATCCAAGGGTGTGTAGTGTTGTTGGCTGGAAGACACTAACCGAGAATAACACCGTCCTTGAATGTGACCGCCATACTGTATTTATATTAGGCTCGTTAGACACCGCTGCTGCTTCGCTTGTGGATACCCGGGATCCTGTCGTATCGTCGAGAGGCTCGATGTCGTTAGGGAGGGATAGAAGGTCGGGGGAAGCTTACATCGAGGTACCCAAACTATTAGCAGACAAGAAAGTTAGCTGACTGCTTCATTTGTTCATGCGCATCGCTTGCGACTATATGATAGGTGGGATTGGAACTAGAACCATGGGCGCGCAGTGTGGTGTACTTACTTGACCTCACCCTTCTTCAACCTGTCCATATCGACATGGATGCCATCTGTAGGAGACAGTAGCGGTTAACATGTGTCGTCTGCGATCAACCACGGAGGGGGTACGGTGTTGACGGCAGGGGGTTGCGAGACTCGGAGAGAGTTGGTAGGTTGTTGACTTGTAGGCAGTGGTGACGCCGTGATGGTGATGACTTGATATGGAATGCGACGCCGAATGGAAGTTGGAGCTCACCTTCGCTGAGCACGCCCGACGTTCCAAATTCCATGATGACGGGGCTATCGAGTGGTTGTCGTTCTAACGTGATGCGCAATCAAGGTGTTGGACAGTCTCGTGAACAGTCGGTCGGACACTCGTCGTAGTGTAAATCGAGAGGACAAAGGCGTGGAGTTGTGGAATCGTTATGGTTTGTCAGTTCCCTTCAAGTTGTGTTGTTGTTCGTTGTACTATTGAAAGGAAGCTCCAACGAACGCTGGGTGAACCTCGAAGGCGGCGAAGGCGGGCCCATCAGAAGGCGGGACGGCCAGTTGAGTGGACGGGAAGCTCAGGCCCCCTCAGCTCAAGGCAGCTCCAAACACGCGTGTTGCAGACGGCGGGCTTGGCTTGGCTTTCACTCAAGTGGATCACGTGCGATAGCCGGCCGCCATGAGCTGGAAGCCGGCTGGAAGTGGAAGCCGCCTCGAGGTGGGTAGGTCCGGGTCGTATCGATTGTTCTTATCTTATCAGTCTCTTTCACGCGATTCGACTCCATCTGATAACGTCATCGTCGGGCTCTCTGCAATGGAGCGATATTCTCTAACCGGGGTTTATGTATATACGGCAGCGTAACCAATGAGACAACAAAGGAAGGGAATTGCCTTGCCATTGTCTTTCGTTGACCAACCACGGCACAGAGGTAATTACCTATCAATACAAATGACCAATGCTCAATATCTCAACGGCTTTGTTCGCAAAGGGCCCTGGAGCTGGCGGCGGTATAGGAGCAGGCAAATCCATGTCTTTGACAACTTCATTTCGACAGCGCCTTGGAATCTGAACCCCCCTTGGGTCGAGTTCGTCCGAATTGCGACAGGACACCAGTCGATATCGGTGTTACGACTGCAATATCCAAGACATTTCCGGCTCTACTCAATGGGCATACCGGCACAAGCCGCCCAAGGCCACTTGATGTCCATGCGTGATTCTCACCTCCCTACAAGTGCAGATTAACTTTTCCTCCTATTCAACCCTCAATCCATCTTGAGATCTCCTCCCTTCTTTGTCTCTGTTTTGACCTCTGCCCCAGCGCCAGCTTCCCCCGCCTTTTTGGCACCCTCATCCCCACAGCCACAATCATAGAAATCCCCAATCTTGTTACAGTCAAATTGCTCTTTCTTGAGGCGCTTGTTGACCTCATTATGGACAAAGCAGGCCCATCCGGCCGCCGCGTTGCGCCCGCTCGTTTGCGGTGGATACTTCTTTAGCAGCTTCTGGAAGTGCGATGCGCAGTCGCCACAGGGGTAGAGGCGCGCGAACAGCTGGATGTAGGTTTTCAAAGCCAACGATTCTTCGGCGGTCGGGGTCTCGGGGAAGCGCGCCATCATGGTGTGGAAGAGACGCCAGGAAGCGCGGCCTAGTTCTGCTCTGTAGTGGTTATTGTGGTTAGCGAAATGATGCCTGGCCAGAGGGGTATAGCGTGATGTATGGTGCGATGTAATGGACATGATAGACATACTTGGCCGTCGCATTCTCCAGCTTGGGCGCGATAGAGCCGCCCTTGAGGATGTTATCCGATATGCCAAACGCGGACTTGCTGCCGCCATCGCCACTGGCACTCTTGTGATCTCCGCTGCCGCTACTTCCGCCTAAATCGAGAGTCTCTGCATGCTGTACCACCCCCGAGGAGCCACTCGAGGAGAGCATGTAGGTCGTAAACACAAAGAGAATGACGCCGACGACGAGCATCAGCGTAATGTGCGGCCTTCGCGCCATGATGATGGTAAATCGAATCGATTAGGCTAGTCCCTGTGGAAGTCTTTCTCGCGCCCGGTTGACTTGGTTCGACTTTGTTCTTTTGTCTGAACGTATTTGGTTCTTGTGGCCGGTGATTTCAGGATCCTGCCTGTTTCGCGTGTGGTTGTGAGGATCCGAGCGCACCTTGTTGTAGAGATTAGGTGATGGTATCGTGGGCGTTCAATGAGACTGCGCGCGCAACTACCTCGAGGTCATATTTGTGGCAAGCGGGTAGTAAATATCGCTGTGGAGTAGAAAAGAGTAGGGCAAAGGAGACTTCGCATCAAGAGGATGAATGGACTCGCTGATGATGATCCCCTGAATTGTGGTTCGAGAAACGAACCCTTTGAGTTGGCGGAATTGGATGCGCCGATTGGACTTGAAGCGAGAGACCCCACGTCCGGTTTGGTTAGGTGGCATGCCCCTGGCAATCTCCCGTCAATCAGCGGAGGGTCGGGCCCAGCCGAGGCTGTGTCTTGGATTGTTTCAGGGGCAGTTGAGCCTGCTGACCCACTGGCCGGACAACCTAACGGGACCCGACCTACACGAGGGGAGTGGGCACGCCCGGGCGCTCTAGCCGGCGGGGCCCGGGGGTATCAAGTGGGGCGGCCCTTCTGCGATCGCGGTGAGGTGGAGAGACATTGAACTTCCATCCGTTAAAATATCCCCGCAGTTGACCACTGCAGTCAACATCACCTTCCATCAGATCATGTTTCCCTCGTCGGGAATGCCAACCTTGGCCCAATCACTACTTCTGGACATTTGATCTGCTCTTCAAAACTCCATCTTTCCATCTTCTCTTGCTACTGTACACTTAGACATCTGCTCCTATTTTGCTCTCATGGACTCCGTCTCGAGGACAACATCAACCACCACCACCGCGACACCGAAACATGACATGCTTTTTCCCTTTCGTCGTTCCACCTTAGAAAGGCCACATGCTTAAGTCCGTTCACATTCTCTACCCATCATCACAATTGAAGTGACAATACAATACGATCCAAGGCGGCAATACGATGCCCCGCACGCCGTTCTCTTCCCCTTCCCCCTCCTCCGCCATCACGACCAAATCCTCCCCCTCGATTCGCTCTCTGCTGGTACTAGTCGCCCTTGTCAATCTCGCCTGGAGTCTCTACCAGATCCCACTCAACCGTGTCATTGAACGCAGACTCTGCCGCGACTTCTATCTCGACGCCGACCCTTCGGCAATTGGCCATGATGGAAGCGTGCCCGAGGAGCTGTGCAAGCTGGACGGCATCCAGCAGGATCTGGGTAGCATGATGGGCCTCATGGAGACAGGCTGGGTTGCTGGCGACTTTGTCATGACCATCCCCCTCGTGTTGCTTGCTGACCGCTACGGCCACGCCCAAGTCCTGCGGCTCAACCTCGTGCCTCGCGTCATTGTGCTCTGCTGGACGCTTGCCGTCGGCTACTTCGACCACGCCCTTCCCCTGCCCGCCCTTGCCCTTGGCCCGCTCTCGTCAGTCCTCGGCGGAGACTGTGTCTTCAACTCGATTGTGTACTCGCTGGTCTCGTCGGCTACCCATGACGATGTGCAAAGAGCTACCTTCTTCGGCCAGGTGAATGCAGTCTCGGCCATATTCGCCGCCCAGCTTGGTCCTGCTCTGGCCTCTGGCACCATGAGCATACTGCTGTGGCTTCCTTTGTGTGCCGGCGTCGTCCTTCTTCTCGCCGCTGTGCCCGTCATCTCCGGTCTTCCCGCATCAAACACCGGCAGTCATAGACGCCAGCACGACCAAGAGTCGATAGCGCCCCTGCTACCGCAAGACCTCCCTTATCGTCCGGATCCCACGCTCAGCATCACAAGCTTCAAAGAGTCCGTCTCTGGTCGCATTTCGTCCGTCTTCAAGGTCATAACCAGCTACCCGCCCAACTTTACACTCCTGCTCGCTAGCTTCTTCTTTACCTCTCTGGCCAGCTCCGACACCAAGCTCATGGCCCAGTACATCTCTAAGCGATATGGGTGGAAGTTTACCTCGGTCGGCTACTTGCTATCGGGAAAGGCAGTCTTCAACTTTTTCCTTCTCTACCTTATTATCCCTACTATCTTGCGCCGGCGCCGATCCCAATCTTCTCCATTGTCTTCCTTTCAGTCCCGACGCCTCTCGGACCCGGACGTCTTCACGATTCAGGACCACAAGGTGGCCGATGGATACAACATCAGCTATGCTCAAACATGCCTTATCTTTTCTGTTCTGGGTGTCGTCGCTATAGCCATGGCTACGACGATTTGGACACTGGTACCGTCACTGCTGCTTTACGCCATGGGCATCGCACTCCCCATGTTTACGTACTCGCTACTCAAATCACCGTCGTTATTACCAGACCCCAGTGGGCCGGGGATGAGCGCGGCTGGTGATGCCACTGTTGTGGTTTCGGAAGCTCAGATTTTCTCAATCGTTATGCTGGTCAAAACGGTAGGCTTGCTGGTCGGAGCACCGACCATGGCTGCTTTATGGGTGCAAGGCGTCAAGGTCGGCGGGTGGGCGCTGGGTTTACCGTACTTTCTGAGCGCTGCTTATTATGCGCTTGCCATGCTCGTGGTGTCGAGGATAAAGCTTTGACCCGGCCAGTTTGCCAGGGATGCGTTGGAGCTTAGGTTCAAGACAAAGGATTCTTACCGTAGCTCCTCCCCCGAATGATGCCATGCTTGGACACAACAAATGACTACCCGCATCCGCGTCCGGAGTGCCTTTGTCCATGCCGCCTTAGGTACCCAGCACAGAGTTACTGGATCCGGGCATGCTTTGTTTACCCAGAGATCTCGCGACGAGCCAGAAGCCCCTTGGCTCATCCAGGCATAAGTACGCAGTTTCCCAGCGACTTGGTCGACGCATACGGTGTGAAAGTCACTCTGACTTTTTTTCAGCTTCTTCCGCGCACTTGTCTACATCGACTTCCTTCCTTTCGTCGCATACCCATCATGGCAAACCAACAATTACCTCCTCCGCGCCGTCGTGGGGATCATTTGTTCGAGCGATGGGGGGTTAAGCTACATGAGGACAGCAACGGCATTATCTCCTCTGGATTACTTCCCATGTTCCCGACTGTTGACGGACCGTACGGTCTCGCTGAAGACCTTTGGTGGACGCATAAGCGAGCGCTGCAGGAGGCGGCTACACACGCGCATCCGATGCCAAAGTCCATACCGAAGCCCTCGGGCGTGCAGCTGGACGAATTGTTCTGTACCGAACGGTGGCAGCAGGTCGCTCTTCACGGCCTCAGAACTTGGGAGCTTCCTTCCCTCAACCAAGGTATCATAGGGACAAGTTACTGGCAAGAGGTCTTTATGACGGACCTCTCAATCATGCAACTTTCCAATATCAGCGTCACAGTTGAGCAATTCCCGGACATTGATCTTATCCACGTTGACGAGAGCAAGTGGCACATAGCCTTCCGCCGCAGCCGGTGGTATGATTTGCGGGGTGTTGTGTTGGAAAAGGACGTCAACGGGCGCCCTACGAACACTCGAGATTGGAGTGTAGACGACAACGGCCTCTGGGGTGAACTGCGAGTCGCGATTGAAATGGCCAATAGGATGCTGCATCACGTCCTTTACGGCGACTGGATTTCTGCAATGCTGGAGGGATCCACGGATCCGATTCCGAATGTCCTACCACTCTCAGGAAATCGTATGCCCCAGCGGATGGTTTCGCCCGGGGAGGCTGGAATAGGGCTCAAGCAGCCCGACCAGCGGATCGCCAACCGAATATGGCACCAAATTGAGCTTCTATCACAGTGGATTATCTGGTCGTTTTTTGATCCGCGGGATTTGGACAAGTATGGGTCATCGGGCCAGCCGGGCGGTGTCACAGCCGGTTATTGCAGCTCAGCACAACTGCGAACGGTGATGGAGAAACCTCTTAATCCCAGCGCCCTTCCACACCCGCATGACCCCGAGGTGTTCACCGATATCAAAATCAACACTATGCTTCTCGAAGCGTTGCTTTCCATCTCAAATACTCCAGAGGAAGTTGCTTCCAAACACACCACACGACTCCAGTTAGCGCTCGTAGTAAGTATGATCCTGAGCGTCCCTGAAGCCCCTGGGGCATATAAATCAACCAAAGCTGACACGAGCTTGCTAGATAGTACACGAGTTTATGGCAAGTAGCATCACCTGTCTTCCTAGTTAATCTACTCCAGTCGTAGACTAACCCATGTTGCGTAGCATGCACTTCAGCAGGCAAGAGTCTATGTCAGTACTTGCTCAGGCGGGTGGCAATATGAACCGGTAAGTCGACTCATTGAACGTTACCATCCAAACGTACCTATTTAATTTGCTAATCCAGAAGTCTTCGATGTCACACAGTATTATAAAAATGAAGTTTCTGCAGAACTGGGTTGGTCACAGGAACAATCTCTTCTTGACGCTGTCACAATAATTGGACCTGTGAACGTCTTTGTGCCTGACAGCGACTTCCTCTCCCGGGCTGGCCCTGCGTTTACTATTGCACAATCATGGCTTGATGACCCGACAGTACGTGTAAAAGGTAAAGAACTACAGGAACTAGATGGTTCCTTGCGTGGTGCGCTGGATAGAGTTACCTCGCAGATGAGCCCCCTACCTACATACTGGTGTTCCCGGTTCCAGTCCCAGAGCTTTTGGGATTCTCATGTTGCTGTATACGGGAAAAGCGCGCTCAAAGCTGAACCAGTGGTGCGCACTAAGCAAAGGATCAGCAGGGGGAACCATGTGCGGATGTACCACGCCAGGGGACACGTGCAACCGTCGCTGTTGCGTCACCAACCGATAGTACCGAACCAGATGCAGAGGTTCCGGCTAGAGGAAGAGCAGACGTTCCAATACATGGAGTTCCGCAAAAAGCTGTGGAAAAGCCTACGGCCTTGGTACAAGCAGTCTTACCGGATCTGGCAGAAAACCCCGTACTCGTTTCTGCGCCTACGCCGACTGATTGACCAGTTCCGACAGGCGGTCCTTCAACGAAACCGTGCCGATGCGGAAGCCGCAGTCAAGGAATACAGCAGCTACCTCAATGAACTCGCCTTCGATCTGAGTACACCCTACAATTTGACCCCTGCCCCGCCCGGGACCGCACCCTTCTGGTTCTTCGAATTTCACCATCATCCGGCCCTGTGGCCCTTTTGCATGCTCGAAGTTATGATGCATGCGTCTCTTCCGTATGACTGGTCAATCTCAGTGGGGAAGAATGCAGCACCTCCATCCGCGCCGACAGCTACCACCAGCAAAGTATCCTTGCCCAACCGCTGGTTTCCGAGCCAGCACGCCCGGGCTGCCGGTGCCTTTTTCAAGTATCCATTGTTCTGGACTTCCCTGGACGAGCCTCCCAACGTCAGTTTGGCCAGGCCTGATGTCACTGACCCCAGCGAAATCTACCTGCCTATGGTCTGCAGAGAGTTCGCCAGGCCCCACGGGACATTAACATGGCCTTCACCCAAGAGCCTGACATCCCTTTACAAAGCTCGCTGGGACATGCTCTTTGCCACGGAGAATGAGAGAATCAAACAACCCATGAAGAAGTACCCCATCTCCAAGAGGTTGTGGCAGGCTCTCATGGACCAGTACAAGCAGCTTCTTAGGCAGAACCAACGCCTCGGTGAAAATAACAGCAACGGGCAGTGGTTAGACTTTGACTTTGTATTCCCCCCTTACGATGAGAATGATGAGTTTGTGGTTTTGGAGAAGTTCAGCAGGCCCATGTCATTCACGCGGTGGATAATGACGGGGTTTAGCGCCCCGGACTGGTTTCTGCAAGGCCATGCAGATCCTGACAAGCTGACAGTCATGTCCAAGCCAGCGCCTGCACCGGCGGACGCCCCCGAGGTGTACTTGCCCAGTGAGGATGAGGGGGATGGGGATGCGCCCGAGGTTTGGCAGCGTTGGTGGCCTGTTCACCCTTATGTGGATGTGGACATGGACGTGGACATGATGGACGGGTGATTTCGAGAGCTGAGCTGCACCACCGACCGGGTCGGGCATGTCATGTTCCGTCGAGGCTACAGGCTAGTAAGACGATCGGCCAGTGACTCGCGCAGGAAGGAACAAGACATAAAGAGATGCAGAAACACATGGAAGAAGAAGAGGAGGAAGGTTCCGGTAAAGTAGGTAAGGCGGGTGCACCGCATTCTTACAGCAATTTTGGATGTTCCTTGAATTTGTCTCTCTTCAGATTGTGGTATATTGGTGTCGTATGGTATTTTCGCTGTAGAATTTATGCTTTGTCAAAGAAGCAGGTCAGATATATAACCAAAGTTGCTTCACTGCTGTATTTCATGCTGTGCGAAGTTTGGTTACAGGAGAGTTTGGCGGGAGATTCTTCGGTTTCATGTTCTGGTTAAAGGTCCGACCTTAATAGGGATTATCCCAGCACTGCTAGTCAACAACTAATGTCGGGTTAGCCCGTATAGCTCAGTGGTAGAGCGCATCACTCGTAAGCTTCCTTTGGAAAGTGCAACTACGATATGATGAGGTCCGCGGTTCAATCCCGCGTGGGGGCATTTCTTTTTTCAACCTTTTTCGATGTAATTATGTCACTCGCTCTTAGTGATACCGACATGGTCGGTTATTCCCAGTCTTTTATGTTCATTTGTTTCGATTTTGTATAATTATTTGGGGAGCAGGTGTTGTCGATTCTGTTGTTGTGGATATGTGTACTTTGTCACTTTGATATGTCCTTGATTTGGAATTTGGCGTTTTGTTAAACTCAGCCCAACCCAGCATACCTTTAACGCCCACGGTCCTCTCCAACTCCTCCATCCCGTCTTCGTCCCACAGAGTCCACGTCACTATTACAACTGAGTCCCGAGTGTCAAGGGGCGATGACATCTACCTGGCCATGACATGGTCACCAACAAAATAGGTAACAGTAGCCCGAATACTAGCAAGTCGGTTTTTGACTTTATGCTCCCTCATTACTATAATACTAGTGAACTGGGATATTTCCGACAAGATCTACTTTAAGAATCAACCTGAACTCTAACACTTCAGCTTACAATCGAACTTGACCAGAATTGTCAACCATGTTATCACCCCGCCTCTTCTCCCGGACTCTGCTCCGGCCCCGCCTGACTTTTCTCCAAGCCCGCGGCAGCCCTCGCCAGCCGGTGGTGACAAAGGGACAAAAGAAGAATATTCATAAAAAGAGGGAGGCGGAAGATGATTTTGGTGGACCGGGTGGGCAGGAGTTGTATCCTTGGGCTAGTGCTGTTCACCGGTGAGTCTTTCTGTACCCGTCCAGGGACGAGACGTTGGTGCTGTTGTATAGATCAGATCTGAAAGAGCTGTAGGGTGTAATATTCCCCTTTTATGTCGCTTCCCTTTCAAGTTCGGTTTCTGATGTTTTTTTGTTTATTTTTGTTATTTTCATGTTCAACCTGGCCTACCATACAATACCGCTACACACTTCCGTCTCCCTTTCGTTTCTCACCTTACTCGATTACTTGACCTTCCCGTCCAGCCGTCCTGTATCGCCGACCATTGGCAATGGCCCATATGGTAACAAATGTTAACTCAAGCCTGAAAATGAAATAGGAAGTATGCAACCCGCACTGCCGTCGGCGTGGCCGCCACCTGCGCCGTACTTTACACCTCCAAGATGCTGGAGCGCAAGGGATTCTTCAACCAGCCCGGCGATCGGTATGTGCTGACGCATGATAATACCAAGGGAGAGTTGGGGGACGTGATGATGTTGAGGGTCAGAAATGGCCAGGTTGTGTAAGGGTGGGTGAGACTGGAGAAAATGGCGACTGGGAGAGAGATGGAAGGAGAAGAATTATTACACTATGGAAGGAGTTGAGAAGAGATTGACTGGGAACTGTTGATCGACGGGGAAAAAAAAAAAAGAAAAAAGAACGAATGGCGATTGTCGAGATAGTGTACATGTACTGGGAATACGGATGGCGGACTGGATCAAGTTGAAATCTGACGGAAAAAGGGATCTATCTGTTCGGCCGACATTGTCAAGTACGAAGGAACTGCAGCTTGCGATAAATGCATCATCTTTCAATGGTGTCTGGGTGTGGGGAAGTCCATGGTCTACATTGTGTCTTTGTCCAGGCATAATGGCCGCCGTGATTGATGTCGTGATCACTGTTTCGTGAATAGAGGCAGGTTCAATCTACCAACCACTGGAGTAACAAAGTCAGTAAGGGAAAGTCCGATGTCGGGTGGGAAGTGGTGGAACCGTGGGATGAGTACCACTGCAGTGTTGAAGGATGTAAGTGTTAGAGCGAGTGGGGGATCTTAACGTCATCTCCGAGCAAATGCCGTTAAAGTAGCTAAGAGCAATGTTAACCTTTTAACACTGAAGCGAACAGCTACCCCGCACCAATCGCGTCGGCAACAAGGCAACAAGGAGCCACCCGACTTCAGTTCTCTTTCAACGCGTGATCCAAAAACCAGGCAGCCAAACGACGACGCGCACAATGTCCACCCATTCCTGTTGCCAATCCGTGCCTTGAGCCTGCAGGGCTCTTGGTCGTCTACAGTATCCTCCCAATCGTACCGCCTGCACTTGTCTCCGTCCTCGATCGCATCCTTCATTCGAGCGCAAAATAACCGCACCACAGTGTCTCGTCGCCGACGTCCCTCCCTCGCCTCGATGCCTGCTTACGGCTCCTCCCCGTTCAGAACAGAGCCGGCTTGACCTGCGTACCCTCCAACACTGCGAATCCGTCCTCATCCTCCTGCTCCCCGTTCCGTTCCGCTAGCTGCCCTTTCGAGCAAGCGGCATAGTAAGAAGGCAGCAGCCTCGTTTCGCGATCACGCTGTTCCACACAGGAGTCGAACTCATCTCCGCTGCATTTTGTTCAGTCCCAAGAGGCAAATACATAGGACGCTAGGAAGACACGTACTTCGTGGTAATCGGGTCATAGACCGTATTGGTTGGGGGTGATTGAGGTGAGCTGGATGCGGAGGCGGACGGCGAGGGCAGCGCGACGACACACGGATCAGAACGCGCCCGACGTCTTCCCCGTCCCCCCCCCGGGAGACGACGCCATCGGACTTTGGGACGTCTGGTCATTCACCACTATTGAACCGTCCATCGCGAGCACCGAAACGCTCTCCGTCGCCAGCAGGTCTAGCCCCATCTTTTCCCCAGCCGCCAACTTGACCACCGCCCTGGATGCCATTTACACCGCGCCGCCGCTCTGGATGTTGAAACATGCGAAATGATGGAAATGGCAAGACGCTTGGGTATTCTTTTATGCGGTGCGCCTGTGTTTTCCGCCCCGGTGTCCCCCCTCACCTCTACTGCTAGCATATTCATATTATTTCCGCATTAACGTTCCTCGTCCATGTCCTGCAGAGTTCACCACAGCTTCATGTAGACGTCCCCAACTCTGCCCTAGGCGTTGGAGCCGCCAGTTCAGCCCTCGGCGTCCTTATTTCCCCCGATCCTCTCGGATTTGTCATAATCTCAAACGGTCCATACTGCTGCTGCTCCCGCCATTGCCCTGGCGCCCCCATCTGTGCATCTCCCTGCAACTCAACCGGCATCACCCTCTGTGTCATTAACTCCATTGGCTTATAATACTCCACCACATTCTGCCTAACAACGTACGAATACGGACGACTATCACCTGGTGCTTCGGAGTAGGTGTGGGTATGCGGTAGTTCGACGAGCGGACTGCCCACATCTCTGCGTGTGTCTTGGTCGCTTCCACTTTGGTTGCTATCTGATGGAGCCGGGGACTTTTCGGCTGCAGCTTTCCTACGACGGCGGAGGACGATCCAGATCAGAACGGCGACGAGGGCGCATGCGAGAGTGACGGAGACGCAGATGCCTGCTATGGCGCCGGTGGAGATTGCTGGCGATGATTCTGGAGTGGGGGAGGGGCCTTGCTGTGCTGGTGTTGTGCTCGATGGCACGGGGATGCCGGGGAGGGGAGTTGATTCCGATGACTGCGTGCTACCTGTCTCGGCGGCGCGACTGCTAGAGGATGATATCGTCGTCGACGTGCTCGATGATGACGATGACGGACTCAGCGTTACTGTTGATACCTTCCCGCTCTCTGAGAGTGTAGCTGTCACAACGACGGTGGGATGGAACAAGTCGTCGTACTGGATGTTACACCGGACGAATTCCTCGCTGGCTTCATAGCCGTCGGAACAGCTGGTCAGGCGCGGACAGCAGGCTTTGGAGACGCCCTTTTTGAGGTTGGTACAGGGCACGGCGTTGGGTTCGTCGCAGGCGGAGGCTTGGTCGACGTAGCAATTGCTCGAGCCGGTTCTGGTGATGGAGGTTAGGGGTTGAGGTACGATGGGCTGACTTTGCTCCGCGCTTGGGTGCTTGAATAAGGTATAGTATGTAGGGTAGGTGAGGGAATGAGGTAAGATAGGTAAGTAAGGGCACATACCCGGTACAACACCATCCTTTACCAATGCCGCTTTCACATGCCGGATATTGTTGACCTTTTCGCACACCTGTACGATCGTATGGTCAATAAAAACCGACTGTGAGACCCAGATAGGCGCAGGTGACAGGAATCACAACATGAGGCTGGGGTAATGAAACTTACAGCACAACGTATTACTTGGAGAACAGAAATCGGTGCTTGCACCCTCACCCGGGAAAGCCTCATCACAGACATCAGCTCTCCCGAAGAGAACGTTGAGGCTTGTCTGCCCGTAAGAGCTTGAAGGAAATCGCATTGTGTCAAGTGTGGGAACAAAGAAAGTGAAGCGAAGGAAACGGGAACGACCGAGACAACCTTGTCTCGTCGGTGATCAGGACTAGCCGGTACCTACCCAGCAAGTTAGGTCACTGGAGAAGGAAAAAAACAACAAAATGGAACAAGAACTCGGTTTTGCAATGGGAGCGGGCTCTCAGCAAGTCATATATTACGCGCCTATCTCTGGCCGATTCGGCGTACTAGGCGACATTCCATGCGAAAGCAATCACCTCTTTGGCTGTAAGCACTAAGAGCCACGAACAAACCCAATTCTTCCTTTTCCTAGAGGTATTCAAGGTTTGCAGCCAAACACTTTATTTTGTACGCTCTCGTTCAGCCCTGGAAGGGTCATTGGCGCGATCCTTTGGCCAGCCACTTTACTACTTCCAGTTGGTAAACCCGAGTCAGGTAGGATTCTCACGGCAGGTCAAGACCATCAGTGGTGCTTCAGACGGTAGAAGTGGGGCGGAGAGGTGGTCGTTATGCGAGGGTGTGAAGGGTCCTTCTCCACCTTCACAGCAAAATAAACTCCAAGGACAATCAATTTCCCTGTTTCTATATCCTACAAAGTTCCTAGCTAACGATCTTCACTGTACAGAGACCTCTTCACACGGAGTATTTGCCTTTCCAGGCTTCTTAAACCGAGCGGACAACACAATGGCGGAAGGCGGACCACGTAGCAAACCAGTGCGCCCGCAGGCAGAATTCCAAAGTGATTCCAGGGGTCAAGCGTACCTGGGACCTGCCAGTTCGAAGGCACGGGTCTCATAAGCGCGGGTTGAGATTTTCTGGGGTGGCCAGTTCACAATTGGGGCCGTCTCGGAACTTCTCTTGGGGGCGGTTGAGATTTGGGCCCCCGAAGCCTACATCCATTCTAGAGACCCAAGCGTGGGCCTTCCAAGAAATTCTGCGTTGCGACCTCGAGCATGCACCGGAAATGCACTTCAACGTTCAGGCCTTCCATCCAGGCCTGGCCTGCATTGGAGTGCTCAGTTTCCCTGTTCTAGGTACCTCTACCTGTCTACCTCTATCGATTCAAGTTCGATGCCCTGAGAGTCCAGGTTCTGAAACGTGGGATTCCCATGTGATTGGGCCTTTACCACTCGGTGACAGTCCACAATCGCCAGACGCTAATAAGCTGCTAGAGCTGATGGACAGGGGGTGTCAACACTGATGGCGTCCCGGGTAGGCGGATAAAGAGTGCCCGGCGCCTAGAGGTAGGTAACATGCATTCAGGAGCGGTGGGTGGGTGTGGTGCTTTTGACACATCTTGGAAGTGACGGGACCCGTTGACTTGGAACCAACAGGAAGCTTACCTCTCTATCTTGACATCGCTCGACTCCCCTTAGAAAAGTTCCTCAAGCGTTTGGTCTCGCAAACATCGAGGTACCTAGTCGACATAGAGTGGTCGGAGCTCTCCTTGCATCTTTTTTTATGGGTAAAGCGATCTGGTAATCTTCCTTCTCTGTCTTTGGTTGTGGGTTCCTATCCCGCCTTCTAGCCTCTCTTTTAGCTTACCTATTATAGCTCCTGTCGCCGTTCACTGTCTGGCCCGGTTTTGGGCAGGGGCAGCTATGCTTCCAGCAAAACTTCACGTCTCTCCGCTGCGAATTGTCTCAATTTGCGCGTGTATTTTTGTTCTTTTCTACATCTACGGCCAACTCGGAGCTGGCATCTTGGATGTGGCATCGCCGCCTCAACGCTATGCCGGTGTCCCGGCGAGCCCGCCCGAAAAAGCCCCAGAGCTTCCGCTCGAGCTAGTGGTGGCCAGTATGAAGTATGAGAACACCACCTGGTTTCACGAATACCTACCGGACTGGCCCGCGAGCATCTACGTGGTCGACGACCCTGATGCTCCCCTCACGGTCCCCAAGAATAAAGGGCATGAGGCCATGGTCTATCTCACGTGCGTGTGCTCTTGACAGACCTGCCGGGAAAAGTTAGGTACCTATTAACGAGCTTCCAGACACCTCATCGATCGCTACGACACTCTTGCCTCCACCACCGTCTTTGTCCATGCGCAACGTTTTGCCTGGCACAACGACGACCCCGACTATGACGCCCTCGTAACTCTCCGGCACCTGCAAACCCCCTACGTACAAACCTCTGGCTACGTCAATCTTCGCTGTGTCTGGGTCCTCGGCTGTCCCGCAGAGGTCCGCCCCAATCTAGACGTCCATGATCTCAAGGACCTTTCCGCCTCCGGAGATGTGGCGCTCAAGGACATTTTCAAACCCGCCTTCCAGCAGATCCTCCCGGGGATTCCTGTCCCCGAAGTCGTTGGCGTATCTTGCTGCTCCCAGTTCGCCGTTTCCCGTGAAACAGTTCACAACCGAACGCGCGAGGACTACGTCCGGCTTCGTGAGTGGCTGCTGAACACGGAGCTGGACGACAGTCTATCTGGCAGAGTGTTTGAGTACACGTGGCATATCATCTTTGGGAAGGCAGCCGTTCACTGTCCGGATGCGGGCGAGTGTTATTGCAAGGTGTTTGGGCTGTGTGGGCTCGAGGGGTGCAAAAAGGATGGGTGCGATGGGAGATATACGCTGCCGAGGGTCGCGACGCTTCCGAGCGGGTGGCCGAGGCTGGGGTGGGAGGGGGAGAATAGGGGGTATCGGGGTCCGCCCGTTTGATTCCGGAGATAATGCGAGATTGTTACTCGTGGGTGGTGGTCCAGGAATTGAGTTTCCTGCAGCGGCCTGCGGAAGTCCGAATTACTATTCAAGTTGCGACCGATGAAAGAAGCGGACTTGAACAGTCCAGCGGGCACTCTCATGGCCGGTGCTGAATGCATTAAGGTACAGGTACCTTAGGTATATGTATGGCCTTCATGCCAAAGGATGAAAATACCGGAGAAGAGGTGCAGTTGCCGGGCATCCGCGAGTTCAGAAAAAAATAAAAAAAATAAAAGAACCTGGAAGTGGAAGAGGAATAAAAAGGGCACGACAAATCAGCAAAAAAGTTTTTTTCAACTGGTGCCTTCAATGTTGAGGAATCTTCAATTTCCAGACAAAGATCCCAGATACCTCGAAATTCATATCAATACCTATCACCTGTCTCGTCAACAGCCGAATCACACCAAACATGGATCCATACCCCTACCCATCAGACATACCTATCGCCATGCGGCCTTTGACTGGAACTATGACGCCTGGGAACGCAAATAGTATCATGATCTTGTCGACAGCTCTCGTTTGCATCATCGGTGGCCTCATCATCGGTGCCATCTTGATCTCAACCGTCCCGCCGAATTTGCCTGGAGACATGGACACATTGTCCCCGATGGCTGTTACCATGACCAAAACCCTATTGTCGACCATTGTCCTTGTCGCCATCATTGGGACCGTGATCGCGGGCGTTATTATCTGGCGGCGACAAGCAGGCTACGATGGGTGCGGCCGTTTCCTCAAGTGCCACAAAAGATTTGGCAAGACCCCTGAAGACCACGAAGACCTGGAGGCCAACCGCGGCTCCTCCAGCACCCCCTCCCGTGTCCACGTGCACCCTTACCACAGTTACGACTATCACGACCCTTATTACTCTGCCGCCTACGAGATCGCCCAAGGATCCGATTTCTATGACTCGGACTCCTCCGAGTCCTTCATTTACGATCCGGAACCCAGCCCCTCCGGTCCCTACCAACAATACCCACGCCACGAAGCCCATTCATCCATGCACAACACCTCCCGTGACGACCACTCATCAAACTCCGACGGTCCTGTCTCATACAGGTATTGGGGCCTTGATAGGGCAACCCAGACCAGCGACCATTTTGATAGGGCAACCCAGACCAGCGACCGTTCATCCGATTCGGATTCCTACATGTCCGACCTCTACGACAACGATTACGAGGCGGATTCGGAGTCTTCCCTCTCCTCTCCCCCGACACCTAGCGACCGTGCCCCTCTACTCCAAACCACTAGGCGTGGTCCCCGCTATTCCTAGAAGGAGGAATACTCCCATCAGGCGGCTTTAGTCCCGGGGTGACCAAGGCCTGAAAAGGACTGGAGGTCAATAGGGATGGGTTGGAACAAGGATGAAAGCAAGAGGCAACAAGAAGAAAGGTTTACTTGGAGGAACAAGGGATACCTAATTGATGACATGGATTGGAAACAGGATGAAGGGCCTCAAGGGGTATTTGGAAAGCGGGTTCGAAGACGTTTTATACTCGCTTGGAGATTTGGCAATGATACGTAGCTATGGTTGAGTATTGGTTTTGCTGGTGGAAGAAAGGTTGTAGACATTGATTGCGAGCACCAGGCTGGCAGGTTGGAGGTTGATGTTTGAAGTACTGCGTATGAACAAGCAGGAACGCCACATTAGGTCTAGGCCGTGGTTTCCCAGGAGCTTGAGCTGGAGGCCTCTGGATCCGGCCAGCCAGGCACATTCTTGGCTGATGATTCGACAACCTGATAAGAGGCTACCTGTATGCCTGTTGAGCCGTTCCAGCTTTGGATTGCACCTTTGATGTTTGTTTCTATCTCTTATTGGGAAAATTGAAACAACAGGTATCCCTCTGCATTCTACCTAGAAGGTACATATTCCTACCTACCTAGGTTACCTAAATCATTGCTGAAATATCCGTAACATAGTCGAAAAGCCTGACTTCAAATTTGAAATGAGAAAATTAGGACCTTCACATGCGCCCCTGCATCACGTACAGGGCCACGCTATTGTCAGTGGCTGATGACTGCCAGTTCATCAAAGTGTGCTTGTGTATTTCAAACTCCAGGCTCCGGGCAGTGCCTGTGTACCTCTAGGTAGCAGACTACGCGGCAGGCTGGGCTCCATGCGTCGGGTACGGGACTCGGCTGTACCTGACCACTTTACTACCTACCTACGTTAGGCATTTCACGGGTATCGAGATATCCCGGGGAAGGCAATGGGGGTGGGGGCGTGGGGGCGACGATACCTGTTCGAGGCAGACAATAATTGAAGAAAAGGTCAGGCACACAGCGGGCGATGTCTGGAGGCTACAATACAGGTATCTAAGATAGGTAGCTGAGGAGTGCTCAGAAAGTACATCCCCTTCACTTGCCGGACTCGAAATCGTCTCTCGTACCTTCCATATCAATAACGGGCAGTCAGTCTGTACTTAGTGGTGTCGGGGACGACCATCCGACATGCGGGGTAAACCACGGCAAAGTTGGTGAGAGGTGGAATTTGAAAGACACCGTGAAACCTTTTCGCTTCCCCGCCCTTTTTTCCTCTTTACATACATCCTGCCGACACTGTCTCAATCCAGTTCAAGCTGCTATCGATGTAGTACATCTAATGAGTAGAGGTATGGCGAATCCGGATTGCCCCTTGAGATAGGTTCTTCTTGACTGACTATTTTGGCCTCAAACCCCAAGCCTCAGAGCCCCAATGTCCTCACCCGTCGTCAGTCCCCAGACGACCCAGTCCGCCATGCATCAAGACATGGAATGCTCCGAGCCGCGATCCCATCGAATCCTGACCGATCCCGCTGCGCCCCAGTTTGAGCCACTACATCACTCGCTCTCGATAACGTCGACGAGTCAAGTATTCAAGCCACACCGATAAACGAAATGTCAAGTACAACCAGTCTATTTCCAGCTCTACTTGCATCATCAATCCTTGGCAGGAACAACAAATTAGGCGCAATGACCCTCGCGCTCACCCGGCCTGCTCCCTAAATGCCCTCCGAGCAAGCAACTCGGCGTCTCTCATTGGCAATGCTATCGCGGCATACACATGTTGAGGGTTGGTGAGATGCTGCGCCACTCCGTGTTTCTGCACCGACCGCGGTCAATACTTCCCCTTCCAGGTCCCCCCAGGTTTCCCAAGTTCCCCCCCAAACCCCAAAATAAGGCTGGCGAACACGTCTTCATCCGGCTCGTGACCTCAGCTCCCAGGCACCCTTTTATCTGCGTGGGAACGATACATGATTTGTCGAGGCTTATCTATCAGGCATGTGCCACACTTGTCCGGTCAACGTATTTGGGAATGAAGAAGGGGGACAGGAAGCGATCCAGGCAATGGGCAAGCAACACAGGTGCGACTGTGCGGGCAAAGGTTCGACAGATAACCAGGACTTCGGTGAGAGTGTGGTTGCACAACCCATGACTGAGCAATCCGGCGTCACAGCACCCATCTGGATTTACGCCTGACGTCGACAGCCATGTTCCAGGGGAACGTTAAAAAATGTTTAAATACCTAGTGAAGAGGTGCCCCCAATGTTTCGTTTGTTTACTGTATTGACGATGTTTGCATGATTCGCTGATAGCTCTTTACACTTGCTTGCTTGCACTTCCACTTGCGTTCTTTCATCTTGTCTTGCCCAGAGATACTTTCACTTCACAACAGGTTTCAACAACCCCCCTCGTCAGATGTCACCAGCATGGCCTACCCTCCCCGGAAAGCCTTGGCCTTCAGGCTCACCTTCCTCGCTGTTGGCTTCCTCTTACTAGGGATATTGCCACGACCCACCGACGCCGTCCACCGCTACAACGAGCCCAAATGCTGCCTCGATGCCGTTGCGTCCAATAAATTTACTCTCAACATCACAAGAGACCCCGACACGGGGGCGATCGTTTCCGGCGAGGCTCCCATCTGCGGCCAGATGTACAACGGCACCCTCACGCCTGCTCCCGAGATCAAAGTGTCCTATGACTACTGTATGAAAAACTGTGGGGGCTTTGGACTTTCCAAGGGCGACGAGCCAGGCCAATGGGCCGCTCCTATTGTTCAGTTCTTGCTTCCGTCCGTCATCTTCAGTATGAACGTGCCGAGGCGGCATATCCTTCTCTCGACTAGTCGGTTCAAGGACTGGATATGGAGGATACTTCCCCGGCCCCAGGATGGGAAAGCACGCAAGGCAGTGACATTTCTGGTGGGGATCGTGTTGCTGGCCCTGGATACCCTTTCTGGGGCGTTCGATGCGTTGCTTTGGATTGTAGTGGTGATGGGGATGGCCGGGCCGATGATGGTCGGTGGACTTCATGAGGCAGTTTTGGATTACAAGATTGTGAGGGCTTTGAAGAAAGGGGCGCATAGACAGGAAGGGGCGAAAGGAACGCCCCCAACGTTGCAAAGCCTGAGGGATACGGTCGAGATTCTGGTGACGGCTATTTCAGGGAACTTGGTCATGGGAGAAAAGGGGGGCAATCCGGAGGACGAGATCAAGAAGGCTTTGCTGGCGGACTTTCCCGAGCCAGAACTTGAAATCCCAAGCGACCAAAGTACACTATCTTCTCAGCGCACAATAGGACCCGTACCGCAGATCCCGCCGATAGCTCTTTTGAGTCAGATGGAGCCCTCGGGACAAGACATGAATGGCCCCCAAGAGCCCGAAAGGCCCCCCATCCTCGTGGCACCACCCGATATCAAATTGCAGCCAGTCGACAGAGAAGCCAGCAAAAGGCTCCGCGAACGACTCACACGGCTAATATCCTCACAGCTAGACTTCGCCGCCACCATTGGTGCACCTGTCGTATTTTACCTTGGCGCCTTTATCTACACCATCCTCGACCTTAAGAACGAGCCGTCGGACCAGGACGCAGCCATCTCGCTTGCCTTTGGCGTGGAGTGGATGATAATAGTGCACGTCGCCATCGTCGGCGGCTGTCTACTAGCGAGCAACAATCCAAGTCCAGTGGTCCTGCTCGTCGGCAAGGAAGCTTCCAAAGACAAAGGATCTACCAAGGACGCCCAGTGGAGGTACTACACGCGAAAGAACGCCTTTGATGGTCTGTTCCAGCCGGTCAACATGTGGAAGAGAGGGATGAACAAGTCCAAGTGGTTGAGGCAGTCTCAGGTGTACCGAAAGAACAAGAAGTTCAGAGACAGAGTCAAGATCCATTGGCTGGAGCACTGCGGTTGGATCATTCAGACTTTCATCCTGATTGCTCTCCCACCAAGTGCAGGAGCAGTGGTGGCCTTGAAGACACCGCCGGTCGGATGGAGTTGTCGGTCTCTGAGCTTTGTGACGTATTCGGCTTCGCAATTTTTGTTGACTTTTGTCTACTTTGCTTACCTGAACATGTGGGAACGGGATCAAGCGAGACATGAAAACAACCAAGGCGAGGATCCAGAATCTGGCCAACAAGGGTCAAGGAACACATATCAAGCGGTGCACGAGAGAGAAGGCAGTGACACGAGTGCCAACGGTAACGGCAGGTCCTTGGAGGACCTTCAACAGGTTCACACGGCACCTTTTCGCCCTCGGACCCCAAGCATGGACATAGACATGGACATGGACGACGAAGGCGTCTCGGGTCGTGGTCGATACATGTACGGGTTAAGAGAAATCCCCACAACAACGAATCTACTACCCTCAACTCCTTCCCCAGGCCCTTCTCCCAGGCACATCCCCGATCGCGATCCTAGCTTCAGTCCAAGTCCCAACCAAAACCTCCTCTCCTCTCCTTATGATCCATGTCCCCCTCGACCTTCCATTTCCCACCTCCGATCTAATACTCCCACACAAAGGCAGACGATCCAAACCAAGTCCAAGCCCCGAAAGTCATTCCTCACTCTTTCCATTTACGCCCTCTTCACCGTCTTTTTCTTTCTCTCTCTCTTCTTGTCAATCGGCACCACCCTCATGCAAATCATGGGCGTCTACCGCAACTGCTTCTGCTACATCACCGTGGGGTACTGGTTTGACACTTCAAACCCAGACGCCATGGTTAACGTTGCAAGCGACACGTGGTACCAGAGGCACTCGAGTCGTAATTGGATGGTCATGGGCGGGGTGGCGACGGCGTTCATGGCTGCTTGCGCGTATATCGGGTGGTGGTTCCAGGGAATGATAAGGAGGGAGCTGGCCGGAGTGGTGGAGGGGGAAGTTTGGCCTGGGTATGGGAATAAGAATGTGAAGGAAAGTGGGAATTGAGAATGGCCCCAAGGCTCCACGGCGATGAAGATGGAGATGTGGGACGGAACTCAAGAGAGGGAGAGAGGCTTGCTCAAGGGATGGGGCTCAAGGAAAGGGGGTGGCAGTAGGAGCATGACATAAAGTGGGACAAAGTAATGTGTAATGATGGGATGTCGTAATCGGGACTGGAGTGATGGCGTTCAAATGGGAGTTACAAGTAGGTTTGGGTTCAGCGTTTGTCAGTCTGGTGTTACTTCGTAGGTAGATGGTGCTAGATGGTTTCACTAGGTGCATAGCACGGAAGGATGGTATGGCGTATGCACATGGCGCGCTTGGTATTAGAAACATAGATAGCTGACTGTTTTCCATACTATCCAGGGCATCGAGTAGAGAAGGAAACAAGAGAGAGAGGGCATACCATCTACTTGATATCACCATATAGACCATGGATACAAGGCTGTTTCACTTCAAATTGTGTACGTGAATGGATTGACTGCAATTCCCTTCATCAAATCACAAGATTTCGTCCAAGACCTCATCTACAATCAGCCCTAACCTCACACTTGCAAAGCTTACAAGTCCTACGACTACGTTATCTCAAACTGCACACCATCCCAGTCTCATGTCTATACCCCAACCCCGGCGACGTCTCCCTGCTATCCACCCTATGTATACCTCTAAGCAACAACTCTTCCAGCTGCTGGTCCAAATCATGATCCGCATCCAAATCATTGCTGCAAAGGCATCCCGAACCCCGATATTTCTCCAGAAGCTCCTTCCAATCCAACCGCTGCGTGATCCAGTCATCCTCGCCCTGGATCGCATCGGGAAGTTGTACATACCCCGGCGCACTTCACCATCCTGCACCATCCCGATGGCTCATCCCGATTCGAGGATGTCATGATTCCCACACACGCTACCCCCGATTTCCCCGTCAGTCTGTTTTAACCGCGTTGGAACCCCTGGTCATAGCGACCCGGCTATCCCAACACTGCAACGTCATTCGACCGACGAGTATGGTAGAAACTAAAAACACTCCTGAATATTGGTGAAAAGGGTTCCAATTCCATTTGCTGAACTGCCTGATGGAAAGGCTGAAAGGGAAACCGCTAATACTATTCTCTAGAGCAGATGCTTTACGCTATCTAGGTAGGTACTCAGGTAGAGGTACTTTCCAAAGTTTGACATGGTCATGATACAACACGCCTAACGCCGTCCACCCAAGTCCCAATATCCGAACCATATTCGAATTTCCCAAGATCTTTTCCACACATTAAAGCCTCTTCCAACACCCATCCACACCACAAAAGACATAAAGCTTATAAACATTCATCTCCAATCTCCATTACCCATTCCACCTTTCCTCAAGCTCTCGCCTGGATAGCTTGCGTAGCTCCCTGCGTCGCTTGCATCCCCTGTTGCCCAGAGGGAACCACCTTGAAACCCTCCGACACAACTTTAGCAATCTCCTCATTCTTATGCTGCAACAGACCCAGCGCAAAGGCAACATCATTCCACTGCCTCTCCGTATCACAGCGCTGCAATCTCGCCGCCAGCTTCTCCGCCAGCTGCTTAGCATGTCTATCCTTCTCCACGAAGCCGAGCAGGAACTTGACCACCCTCCTGAAACCCTCTTCTTCCAGACTGGGGTCGGACGAAAGCAAGCTGAACATGTCGACAAAGTGGTTATAGACCGCATTGTCTTTGGTGGAGAGTTCGGTGAAGAACATCCTCGCCAAGTCAGCGATGCGCTTATCCCCGTCTTCGAGACACAGGGCCATTGACGCCAGTTGGCCCTTGACCTTGACCTGTCCGGCCAAGATGAGGAAGGTGAGCGTCATGAGACACGTGCGCTTGACCGAGGGGTCCGGGTCTGACAGGCGACGGTAGAGGAAGTCGGTGTTTTCGTCGATGAGATGGTTGAAGCACACGGCCATGTCACCGAGGGCGATGACGGCGTTGGAGCGCACGGTGGGGTCGACGGAGCGCTCCATAATGGTGATGAGAAGGGGGAGGTTGGCTTCGCAGTATTCGGAGCTGACGCACATGAGCTTGGCGAGACACAGGGTGGCGGCTTGCTGGAGTTCGCGGTTGCGGTAAGTGGTATTGTTTGCGCAGATTTCCGACACCATGGGGCCGAACATGGCCAGGAGGGATTGCGGCCCATAGAGTAGTTCGCGCTCGCGAATATGGAAGATGGCTTCGGTGAAGTCGTCTTCAGTGGTGCCGCCAATGAGGTCGAGTTCGTCTTGTTCTTCTTCGTCCTTGGCGGCTTTGGGACCGCCCGATTTGCGGCGATTGGTGGAAGCGGAGGCCGAAAGGGATGTACGCTTGCTTGTGGTTCCAGCTGCCTTCTCCTTCTCCTGTTTACGGCGCTTAAAGTCCAATTCACACAGTTCCAAATGAACGATCTGCTTGATGGCTACGTGGCCAACAATGAAGAGGAGCTGGGAAAGGGCGATGGCGTGTTCTCGGTGTTGCTTCTTGGCTTCAGCATCTTCTGGTTGGGTAGCGGCTGGTGCTTGGGCGGATGTGGGCTCATCCTCGTCCATGGCGTCCGGGTTGGGCTCTTCAGCTGGCGTGGGCTCTGCGCTCTCTGTTGGCGATGGCTTCTCCTCATGAGAAGCCGAACGCGACTTGGGCGGGCGAGCGAACACGGCCTTGGTCTTGCGGCGAATGATCTCGGAGCACAAAACGTCGGGGTGCTTGGCGATGGCATAGATGGCATTGATGGCTTGTTCAGCAACACCATACCACTCTTTGCTGTCAGTGGGCACCTCGGTGATGGCAGCAAGCTTGATGAGCAGGGCATGGTCGTTCGGTAGCCGGGAGAACTTGATACCAGAATCCTTGGACTGACGACCTGTGGGGTTGATGCGTCGAAGAGCAACGCACGTGTACTTGGCCAGTTGAAGATCTGCCCGACCGTGAGCGCCGAGACCGGTACGAAGCATCGTTTCCATCTCGCCCACGACAATCTCGGGATTGGCCGTGGCTAGCATACCCAGCACAATGATGGCGCCCCGACGCTGTGTCCTCGAAATCTCCCGCTTCTGCACGCCGTACACCTGCCACAGCTTAGCGATGACCAAGTCCGAGATCATGCCCGACTTCATCATGGTGCTAAGCAGCTGCTCCAGCGAAGTCAACTCAGCAGGAGTGGCACCAAACGTCAAACTGATCATGTTCCTAGCAATGTACGTCGCCGCGTCATTGGCATTGAAGTTACCAGGCGCCTCGAAGAACAGTCTCTTGTAACACTCAATCAGATGGGTCTGCACGCCCTTGCCTTCATCACTGTTACCCTTGGTCCAGATCAGCCTGAGCATGCGACGGATGCCGATCTTGTTCTGCTCGATGTTGTATGCGTCGCCAATCTCGAAGTAGTCCATGGCCTCGATGACCTCGCTCTTATTTTTGGATCCGAGCAGCTGGCAGACGGTCTCGGTGGCCTCGTGTAGGACGTCGATAAACTTGAGCGCCTCGCTGTAGTAGCGCTTAGTCAGTGTGAGCTTCTCGATGGCTTCAGAGGTGGCTGCTTCTTCTTGGGCCTTGCGAATGGCTGCAATCTTTTCCTCCTCTGTCATCTCTGATGGCTGCTTTCTGGGAGATTCCATCATCTGGGTGGCATCGTCGAGGAGTGCTGGGTCCACGGAGGTGTTGCCGGCCTCGCCATCCAGCCCTGGAGCATCCACCGGTGGCTTCAGAGCGTTGAGCTCTTCGTCCACTTTGCTCAAGCGCTCCTGCCAATCTTTCCTGGCCAACTGGGCACCATGGAGAGCGGTGAAGGGATGAGTTCTGATCAAGGTGCCGAGCAACTTGATCGCATTCCTCCTGACGTGGCTGCTCTTGTCTTCGAGACTACGGCAAGCGAGTTCCGCGGCTTTCTGTCGGCGCTTGGGAAACTTTTGCTCCAACTCGCATAGCTTGATGTAAACCTGGATGGCCCTGACACGACAGTAAGGGTTGATGTCGAGGAACCTCTCTTCCAAGACATCAAAGAAGGCGTTCATCTGGGTTTTGTGGTTCTCGCCTCTCTCGGCCGACTTGCTAAGGTGTATCAACATGTTGCCAAAGACTTCGATCAAAGCGCAACGTAGGGTATACGATTCGCTATCCAGCTGCTTGGCCAGCAGGGTCACCTGCTTGATGATGATCCTGGGTGCCAGTTCGGAAAGCCTGATCATGAAGGTCGAGACGGATTTGGGGCCCTTGTTGTCGTTGCTGTTGAACTCCTTGTTACTGAGCTCTCGTAGGATTTCCTCGGCTAGCTGCGGGTAGTCGTATTGCTCGGCCAAGATGTGGAGGAACTCGGCCATGGGCTCAGCCAAGTGCTCAAAGTAGGTCAGGTTCTGGACAATCGAGATTTGCGCGGCATAACCGTGACCATGGTGCTTGATGGCAACACACAGCACCTTCCAGCAGTGCATACGTATACTGGTATTCTTGGTTCGTTGCTCGCTCTCGAGTATCATATACACCGGACGAGTCAGTAGACCAATGAAGGTGTCGCGCTCCGACGTGGTCATGAATATCCTGGCGAGCTTCAGCCTAAGAGCCTTAACCATGGTATTCAGAGCCGTCTCGAGTTGCGCCGATGAGTCCCAGGTGCCGTCTCTCCCTGTGGGCTTCTTTGGCTTTCCGCGGCCTCTGGTTGTTACGGTATTGGAAGCCTTTTCGGCGGCCTTGGCCTCGACTCCGGCGATGGTCCATTGTAGGAGGAAGGCGTAAATGTCGAGCAGCTGTTTGTGGTGGGCGAGGAGCTCTTGTTCTTCGGCTTCTAGGTCGTGATGGACAACATCGGCTTCGGCAGCGAGTCCCGAGGTGATCAGATCGAAGATTTTGCTGAGCGCATGTGCCGATAGGAAGGAGGTGTATCTAGAGATGGAAGAGTGTTAGCCGCAGCCTTGTCTGGCTGTAGTCATGTATTGCGACATAGAGCTCATGGTGGACTAGGTGTAGTCGCTTTGGGCACCAGGGGATACCGGGATGTAGGGGAGAGCAGGAAACAGTCGGAGAGAATGGAAGCGCACTTTAGGAGAAACTGCAACGAGTCAAAGATGTGGGCGCGCGTAATGGCGTCTGGGTTCTCGGCGACGGCGTCGACGATGGGGTTGAGGATGCTGTTGATGAGGCCGTTGTCGCCGAGGGACTCGGGCTCGTTCTCGCAGTCGACAAGAGCGCTGTCAGCTTCTGGTGTTGGGATACTGGCGGGATCGTCCATGTAATGCTTGAGCGCATTGTTGATGTCGAAGTTTATCGAGTCCATAATGGTGGACTGGTCGCCTTGTCGGCGGGGGTATCAAATCGAGGGGAACGGTATGGCGGGAAGAGAGACGAGAAAAGGCTGGAGCGAGATACAACAAAGACCGACTAGACTGAACTGGAAATTGCGGTGGTCGGCTGCCCGCAGTGACGTCGACGGGGCGGGAGCTGGGTGGTGGTGGTGGTGGTGGTGGTGATGTATGATGCTTGCCCGCTGCCGATAGGTGGTGTTTTGGTCAGGCAAGTCAAGGGAAGATTGAAATGTTCAAGTTCCCCTCCAACCTGGGAATGCGACGGGATGGATTGCGCCGCGAGCAGTTACTAGAGCGCTGTGCTACAGTGGTCCCAGTGGGGTTGGATGTTCTGTAATTGTGGGGGAGATCGGCCCTAGCAACGGGGCTGTTTGTTGACTTTTTGACGCGTGCCTGCATTCTGCTCAATAAACTTCCACTTTTGGGTGCAAGTCGCGTCTTGAATGGCCCGTGCACCGGCCCCTCTGGCGCTATCGATTGTTCAAACACTTGTTTACCGCCAAAATAATTCCGTCACTGCCCTGACATGGGATTTTGACCGACAAGACACAATCTGATCCCCAACCACTCTTCACTTTCCTCTTCAGTTTTGTGTTTTTCTGCTCTTTTCTTTCTTCCTTGGTCTCTTGAGGTCCTTGGTTCACTGCATCTTCAGCCAATTGTTGTTCCCCCAAGATTCATGGCCCTCGCGCTGGTTATTGCTGGTCTCTCGACACTCGAATTCGCCCTGACCACCCTCGCGCTCGGCTCCACTGTCAGTCGCATCATCCTTTGCTAGCAGAAGAAGGTCCAATGGCGGCCATTACCTCAACACGTCGCCAACGAGAAGAAGAGCACTTCCGCTTACACCAAGATGCGCCCTCCACTCAGGATACCGAAATGAGCGAGGAGGCAGAGCAACAACACCATTACAGCAACACTGGCCGCCATGACGCCCACAACGTGGACGAACATGAACACGACGACGAGGAAGAGGAGGAGCAGCGACAGGCCGAAGAGGAGGTTGAAGCAAGCAGTGCTACAGAGGGCGAAGGGGAGCAACAGGAGGATCAACACGAGGACGAAGACGATGACCAAGATTCGGTCTCTTCCGACAGCTCAGACGACGGCATTGTCGACCCCAACATTCAGGACGACATGGAGAAACTCCAAAACACCTTTCCAAATTTCCGACAGCAATACCGGCTGATCAAGCGCATTGGAGAAGGTTAAAATCACCAATACCCAGACTTTTTATTCCCAGGGTCCCCAAACTGACCACTTGCTGTAACAGGCACCTTTTCGACCGTTTACAAAGCCGAAGACCTCGTCTACGATCAGTACGACAATTCGTGGGACTACGAACAAGAAAGTGACAAGTGGGCGCCTCCCCCTCTCAGGACATACGGACGCAGCTCGGGCTCCAGTATGACCAGTCGCCCACGACGCAAACCCAAATATGTCGCCATCAAGAAGATCTACGTCACCTCCTCTCCCACCCGTATTCTGAACGAGCTCGACTTGCTACACGACCTGCGCGGCTGCACATCAGTCTGCCCCCTAATCACGGCCTTCCGCGAGACCGACCAGGTTATTGCTATCCTCCCTTACTTCCGCCATGCCGACTTCCGCGAATACTTCCGCAAGATGACACCTACGGATATCGCCATCTACCTGCGGTCCCTCTTCACTGCTCTCGAGAGCGTCCACCGCCACAAGATCCTTCACCGTGACATCAAACCCACAAACTTTCTCTACGACCCCGCCACCAGGCGCGGTGTTCTCGTCGACTTTGGTCTTGCCGAGCGTGAGGGGTCCGAATGCAAACCCTGCCTCTGCCATGAGGATTCGACCACCCGGCGCAACCGCCTCCGCACCGCCCACCTCAACTCCAGTGTGCCGCACAACGGCTACCCGAAACAAGACACGCGCCCCTCGCGGCGCGCCAACCGCGCTGGCACCCGAGGCTTCCGTGCGCCCGAAGTGCTGTTCAAGTGTACGGAGCAAACCACCAAAATCGATATTTGGTCTGCCGGCGTGATCCTCCTCACCATCCTGTCCAAACGCTTCCCCTTCTTCAACTCAGCCGACGATGTCGAAGCCATGATCGAGATTGCCACCATCTTCGGTATTAAGCGCATGCGACAGGCCGGCCAGCTCCATGGGTGCATGTTTGAGACGACCATCCCGACGATAGGTACGCAGGGGTTCAGTTTTGAGCGCATTATTCTCTGGAGCACGTGTCGGGATACGGGCGTCAAGATGCCCGAGGATGAGAAATTGGCGGTGGAGTTTTTGGCCAAGTGTATGGACCTGGATCCAGCGAGGAGAATTAGTGCAGAGGATGCATTGAATCATCCCTTTCTGCAGATGGGATTAGAGAAGGAACATGGCGGAAGCCAAAGTGGCGAGGAAGAGGAAGAGGCGGAGGAGGATGAGATGGATATCTTGCGGGTTTAGTGGCCTGGGTTCACGGATTGTCTCCGGAGTATTGTATGACATTGATTGGCGAGGTGAGACAGTCCAAGGAGGGTGCGAAAGGTTAAAGGCGTTCAACCGGGAATGGTAGCATAATAGGCGCAGGGCGTTGCAAGTTCATATTGGTGTATGAATTACTTAAAGTCGGGTCTGGCGGATTCATGATTAGATACGGTTTTAGATACCAACCGATCGCATTGGCGCAGGGAGGTTGTTACTGTAGGTAGGCACAATGCCTTAGCATAGAGGTATTCATCGATCTTGTTGCTGGAGACTTCGTTCTTGACTTTGCCCCTGAGCAGGCAGCACCGTAACAGAACTTCCCAATCTGGAAGCACAGCACTGAACACGAACTCACGTGACCTCGCTACTCATCCCTCTCGTCACGACTTGTTCGTCACGTAACGCAAGCTGCATCTCCAACATCCATGTTCTTTGGAAGAGTCATCTCCATCACACAGTCTCGTTGCGCAGGCGCCATACATTGCCTTGCTTTGATATTCCAGACTGTTCCAACATCTCTCCAAGAAAACCTCTCGTCTACCCCACTTTTGTGACTTTTTGTCCGTTTCCGCGAAATCGAAGAATTCACCCATCCACCATAACCCATCACTACTTACCTGATTCTACGTCTCACTACATCCTCCTCACCAGCGTTCAGCGCATCAATCACAAAAGTACTACAGAATGGCTTCCACACTACCAATACCCGACATCAACGTCATAGCCCCCTCCTTCATCCAAAGGGACTCCCAGAATTCCGACAACATGAGACCACCACCAACCGACTTCAACCACCCATACACTCCCTACCCCATCCAAACAGCCTTTATGCAGACTCTGTATTCTGTTCTAGACCGAACCGTCGCCGTGCCCCCTCAAACGACGACCAACAGCACGAACAACACCGTCCCTTCTGCCACGTTCTCATCGACTGCCGCCACACTCATCCCTAGCAACCCCTCCACGTCCTCATCCACGCCCCCCTTATTCAATCCTACCACCGCCCCTACCGTCCACCTCGAAAATAGGGCCACCCAACCATCCCAATCCATCGCTCCCCAAACCACTACCAGCAAAGATAAAGACAAAGGTCCGAGTAGTAGCAGCAGTGTCCCCAAGGGCCACGCACAAATCGCCCTCTTCGAGTCTCCCACCGGCACCGGCAAGTCGTTATCACTAATCTGCGGCTCCTTGACCTGGCTACGTAACCACAAGCGGTTGCAATTCGAAGCCGAAATCGAAAAAATCCAGCAGCAAATGGAGGCATCCGGGGAGCCGGAATGGATGGTGGAAAGTGCCATCAAGAGGAAACGGGAGGAGTTGGCGCAGAAGTATGAAGAGATGGAAAGAACGCTGGAGAGGATAAGGCAAAAGGAGAGGGAGATGGAAAAGGAAGGGGAGGAAGGGCAAGCGAGAGGTGGAAAGAGGAGGAAGTTGAACCGGGGGAAAGGGGATGAGGAAGAGGGGGGAAAAAAGAAGGAGAGCGGCGGGAGTAGAGGGTTGACAGCCAGTGATGAGGACAAGGAGTTCTTGATTGGGGATTGGAGGGATGAAGGGGGGCTGGACGAGAATGACCCGATGGGTCAGTTGAGCAAGGAGACGAGGGAGCTTTTGGAGAAGGTGGGGATGGGGACTGCGGGAGGGAAGAAGGGAGCGAACGAGGGACCAGTGGCTGAGGAGGAGATTAAGGTGAGTTCAACTGAATGACGGGGCTCGCAAAAGGAATGAAGCTTACACAATGGACAGATCTTCTATACCTCGAGGACGCATTCGCAGTTGACGCAGTTTATTCAGGAGCTGAGGAGGCCGGAATTTCCTGCTTCTGTTCCAACGCCAAATCCTCAAGAAGAACCAGCTAAAGAAATTGTCAAGCAGATTCCGCTTTCCTCACGGCAAAAACTCTGCATCAATCCCACCGTTAACAAACTTGGCACCCTCGCCGCCATCAACGAACGATGTCAATCCCTCCAACAATCCAAGACACCCAAAGAACAACGATGTCCCTATCTACCCAACGCCGCCAACCTCAAAGCTACCCACGAGTTCCGCGACACCGCTCTCGCCACCCTCCCAGATATTGAAGACCTCTACCAGACCGGCAAGCAGTTACAGATATGTCCTTACTACGCCTCCCGTGCTGCCATTCCCGGAGCAGAGGTGATCACATTACCATATCCTCTCCTCCTACAAAAAAGCGCCCGTGAGGCGTTGGGCATTAAATTGGAAGGAAACATCGTGATTATAGACGAGGCACACAACATTATGGATGCCGTATCTAACGTGCATGCTGCTGAGATCAAGTACACCGACCTCAAAAGAGCGAAACTATCACTTGGCATGTATTACCAGCGGTTTCACCAAAAGCTAACTGGCGAAAACAAGGTCATGGTTGCTCAGCTACAAAGGGTCGTGGAAGCTTTGGGAGTGTACATCAAAACAAAACTGGACAAGGCTGCTTTGGGGCACAAGGCAGACCAGGAAGGAATTGTGCTTGACACCAGCCTTTTGTTGAAGACGGGTGGCGCGGATCAAATTAACTTGTACAAGTTGATACGGTATGTCCAGGAGAGCAAGTTGGCATTCAAGATCGAGGGGTATATTAGTTATTGCGAGGAAGAAGGTCGTGACACAGATGATGAGGAAGCCGAGACGGAGATAAAGGCGAGGCAGGGCAGACCACCAGTGCTCCACACTCTGTGCTCCTTCTTGACGGCCTTGACGAATTTGAGCTCGGAGGGCAGGATCTTCTATGAGAAGATACCTCCACCTAGGGGCGAACTGCAAGATATGAAGCTCAGCTACATGCTTCTCTCGCCGACACACGCATTCTCGTCGATTGCGGAGAGCGCAAGGGCGGTCATCCTGGCTGGTGGAACGATGTCCCCTTTCGAGGACTACAAAGCACATTTATTCCCAGACGTACCGCCAGAGAAGATCACAACACTCAGCTGCGGACATGTCATTCCCCCAGACAACCTCTGCGTCTGGACTCTGGGTTCTATCGCCCCCAACCCAAAAGTGGACACGGGAATCGGCGAGGACTGCTTCGACTTCACCTTTGCCAAGCGCAGCAATCCCAACATGATCAACCGCCTCGGCTTGGTGCTACTCAATCTTTGCTCTGTCGTACCGGACGGCGTCGTCGCCTTCTTCCCCTCTTACGGCTACCTGGAAGAAGTCATTGGAGTCTGGAAGACGCACGAGCAAGCCATGGGCCCCAAAACCATCTGGGAGCGACTCGAAAGCAAGAAAGCCCTGTTCATAGACTCCAAAACCGAGTCGAGCGAGCAGACGCTCCAAAAGTACAGCGACGTCATCCATTCCGAAGTCCGTCCTCTCTCCCCGGCCGGAAGTCGGGTCAAAGGCGCCATGTTGCTGTCGGTAATAGGCGGCAAGATGTCCGAAGGCATCAACTTCTCCGACCGCCTCGGCCGGTGCGTCATCGTCGTCGGCATGCCTTATCCCAACCCCCACTCCCCCGAATGGCTAGCGCGCAGAGAGTATCTCGAAGCGAACTTTATCAAGCGGTATACCGCCTCCCAACAAACCAGCACCGCCACCGCACCTCTTCCCGCCCCAGTGATCCCGCCCCCGTCCAACACCACCCACCACTCTACCAACCCCTCTTCGTCCAGAAACAAGGATAAACACAAACCTCCCAACGTTCGCAAACTCGCTGCGCGCGACTCCCACCAATTTTACGAAAACGCCACGCTTCGTGCCGTCAACCAGTCGATTGGAAGAGCGATTCGGCATCAGAACGATTACGCGGCGATTGTGTTGATAGACAATCGGTTTGAGAAGGAGCATGTGAGGGCCAAGTTGCCGGGGTGGATCAGAGAGGGGTGGGACGAGACGCAGAGGCAGGCCAAGGAGGATGGAAAGGTACTGAAGGGGTTGCAGGGAATGATGGGGAGGGTCAATATGTTTTTTAGAGGTAAGAATTAGGGAGGTGTAGGGGGAAGTTGCCTCTAGTTCTCTGTTGATCAGACAAGGGTGAATGCTTGTTGTAAAGTTCTTGGGAATGGCAATGTTATGTTGGTTGGGTAGGTGAGTTGCCTAGGTAGCCACTTCTGGGACACGAGGAAGTCACGTTTGAACGTGAGCTCCCGTTGCGGGCGGAGTGAAATCGGCACGGGACTGGGATGGTTGTTCGTTTGTTCATTTAACGATCTCGCTGTTTGAGAGGACGCTGCGAGGTACATGTACAAGCAATGATGGAGAAGTCCCTCTGCTGGTACCTTACAAGTCTACTTCTACTCATCAAGGCTGGAAGTGCCTCTGACCCTTTCGTTCCTCCTCATCTTCCCGCCGCCGTCACCATGCTGTTAAGTAAAATGGTTATAGCACTTTCGATCCACACATGGATTGTCACGGCACTCATGTGTCAGATCAAGCTGCGAGAACTTGTGGCTAGAGGTAGATATAAACTGCCTTAGTGATACCTACTTGACAGTTATTTATGGCAACCCTGGCATTGACGACGATGCAAACGTCTACGTAGTTGCTCGCCGAATGGAGACCCGAGCTCATGATATCATTGCTAGGTACGATCTCCTGTCTCACGAAGGATAGGGCTCAGGGACATAGATGTCAAAAGAACCGGATTCTCAGGCCGCATAACCTGTCATTACCTCAACACCCTGTTTGCTTTCTCGTCTAAGTTTATTTTATCCCTTCATTTTGAACCAGGCAAGTACCTCATCTAGGTACAGCCAACCGCCAACAACCAGCTGGGGAGTCCTGTGTTCCTCCCATCACCATTCCCACATTCTCGGCACTTCTTCCTCCAAGTCGGTCGACATCTAATCTTTGATGATCTTCCCGGGAGTAATTGCGAAAGTAGGACGGACATATCTGTCCGAGTGGTAAGCCTTGACGGCCTTGTCTCCGAGCAGCTCCTTCTCGCGCTGGACGTCGGCCAAGTGGCGACGGACAAGATCACGGTCTTCTTCGGCTTGGAGGGCGGGAATCAGGTGGATGCGGGACCACATCTTCTCGCGGGCGAGTTCTCTAGTGTGATTGGTTGAGTGAGCCGTCTGGTGTGTAAGGAAGGGGAGAGGAAAAGGGGAAAGGGGTGGGGGAGAGACAGAGAGACAGCATGTGAGAAAGCGGAGGCAAGGTACCTTTGCTCACGGATACCGTGGAAGAGATGGTACCAGCCGTAAACCATGATCAAACCACCAAAGGCAAGCAAGGTCTTGGGCTTGAAGGCGCTAGGCGGGAGGTTGCGCTGGAAAGTCATGGTCAGTTTCAGGTTCTTCTAACTCCACGAAACGAAACAGCTCGTAGACGCCTCTGCGTGGAGACGGTGCTTGAACGACGCGAAGGACGACACTGAGTACGAGGACGGGGCCGCGAGAGAGTTTCCGATCTTTTCGCACGGCGCAGCCCTCTGGACACAACGGCTGAATACCACGAAGGGCAGAACCGTAGGCAATCATGAACTTGCTCGTTGTGAATCATATGTCGGTTGTTGTTCTCGACGACCTCGCACGTTTCTGTTCTTGTCCCCCGTCCCCACAGCATAACCCACTTCCCCGGATTCCAGGTACAGTTCGAAGGCCACGCATCCTGGTCGGGGAGGGACTCCATCTTCAACGTCCGACAGAACGACGTCGAGCATGCTGCGATATTCTGCCTTTTCCCAGACGGTGGTTTCGCATTGATATTTTCTGACCCATCAATCCGTATTCTTGTTTGTCGGCGCAGGTCGCTGCGCAGTTCTTCGACTTGAGAGTCAGGGCCAGTATAGGCCTGGGGATGACATGACTCGAGCAGCACTCCACCAGTTGTTGTCCACCAGCCTTCCAACGTTCCGATTCCTCGTTACTTCGTTACCCTCCTCTTGCCCTCGTCCATATTTTGTTTTCCTCTACCGAAGCCGGTCCCCAGTTGTCGAGTGTACCTCATCCGTCGTATCGCGCCTTGTCCATTGCCAGCTGAAACAAAGAGCAAGAAAAGAGCAGACCCACCTTGTACTGAACGGCATCGTAGCCGCCAGCGGGGGGCATATCCTGAGGCATGTTGGGCTAATCGTGTGGGTTCGAGAGTTCTGTGTTCCTCTTGCTCGGTCGCTTGCGCCCCGCTCGATTGGCTTTTCGCTTCGATCAAATAATCAATCGCCTGCTATGTCTGCCGTGCTCGATCGGTCGGTGGGAGTTGTCGAGGGGACAGGAGTCGGGCAGAGCTCTGGGGAGGAGAGTGGAAGAAGTGATGTAGAAACGCTTCGTTGCGACGGACGAAATCAACTTGAGCTTCAATTGGCAGCCACCTCAGCCCTGTTGTGCCGCCCGCCGCGGCAGCAGCCGGGGAAGGTGTCAGCGAGCCTGGAGCTCCATTGGGAGGGGGCGGCTGCTTAGTTGTGTAAGATTACGTAAGGCGGTATCTCGCTAACAGATGATAGTGGTTGGTGCACCCCCGGGATGTTAGCAGCATTTGTAGACGGCTTCATGGAAGTTCATCACCACAATCAACGACAACCAAGTGTTGAAATCATAGTAACAAGAGAAGTGATTGATGCTACAAAATGTCCATAACCACACCCGACCCTTGAACGCCTGATGGATGGATGCACACCACAACTTGGCCTCATTTACACCTTGCATCATGATCCAAAACTTACAGGCACACGGGAGGATCTCATCACTACCATAGGTTACACATTACAGAACATTACCAATACTGTACGTATTCCCATATTTATCAATTCTCGTCCCAATTTCAGATGTGCTCCTAGCCATTCTCACTAACACCTCCATTCCCCGTTCCATCCCCGTCCACTTGTTGCCCTTGTGCCTCGTCCCCATCGCCATCATCCATCGCCAGGAAATCCGCCTCCAAAGCCTCCTCATCCAGCTCCTCAAATTCCTTGTCCAGGTCATCTGCATCTTGAACATCCTGATCATCGTGGGCAGCCTGGGCTTCCACCTCCGCAGTTGTAGCCTCAACGTCCTCATCCTTTAGCTCGTTTCTAAGCGAGGAGGGACCGGGACCAAGGAGGGATTTCCGGCGTTTGTGACTTTCTTCTTCTTCCTCGTCGTCTGCTTTGCGTTTTGTTGAGGGCGCAGTGCCTTGGGCGGCCGGTATTTTTTCGTAGGACGAGCTTGTTGTAGTTATGTTTGTTGTCGCCTGGGCGGGTGCCTCCTCTTCTTCGTCGCCATTTGCGTTGTCGCCATCTTCATCATCTTCATCTTCCTCTTCCTCCTCGTCGTCCGAACCAGATTCAAGAAATTCTGCCAACTCTTCATCCGCGCTACCCCAATTGAACGTCTTTAGCCCATCAATAGGGCTTAATTGTCCATCAGCATCCGTTGGCTTGAACGCCTCGAGCTCCTCATCCATATCCTCATCCTCGTCTTCATCATCTCCACCCGAATCCGAGTCCTCCTCGTCCTCATCCTCGTCCTCGTCGTTCCCAGTGCTAGCGGCGGTGGCGAACCGGACTCTCGGTGGCGACTTTAATCTCAGGATCCTCTTTTTCCCCGGCGGCGCATTTCCGCTGTCTGTATCATCAGCATCGCTCACCGTCTCTGTCGCCTCGGCATCCTGAACCTTTTCGTTCAACTTCTTTTGCGCATCCTCCAGTCCTTCGATGAGATAAGGCCCCTCCTCCACCACCCTCCATTCTGAGAAACACGCTGCCAGCCAGTCCTGGTTGACGATCTTGATTTTGGGGAGGTAGCGTATTGCTTGTCTGACCTTCTTCGTCCGTGGCCTCTGGGAGCTGACTACCAAGTGCGTCACGTCTCGCGTCACGGAGCTGCGCAATTCGGCTCCAAAGCTGGCAACTTGCAACCCGATCTCGGAGCGGTAGACGTCCATCCCTATCGGAACAATCCCGGAGAGGACGATTTTACATCCGCTGAGCGCTTGAGCTTTAAGCGTGGTGAGGATGGAGCCTACGTCTGGGATGGATTGAGTGTCGAGCGAGGATGGAGAGGAGGAGGGTTGGGAAAGGCGGTTCTGCTCGTAAGCTTGGAAAAAGGATTTGTGAAGGGCTGTGAGGTGGTTTTCGAGAAAGGCGAGTTCCCGGTCGTCGTCTTGCAAAACCTGGTGCCGGTGATGAGGGGGTGGAGGAGTGGTGGACTCGGTGTTGCCGTTTTCTGGGGTGGCGGATGCCCTCTCGGCTGCTTCATCTTGTTTGTCTTGCTGCTCTTGCAGCGCTTGCAAAGGCCTGTCTTTGATCTGTTTTTCTAGCGTCTTTTCCTGCTCTTCGAGGGCTTTCTCCAGCGGCGGCTCCATCGTGGTGCTGTCCTCCTTGTCGGGAGATGGCGCCGGTGCAATGCGCGCCAAACCACCATTCGTGGTCGCCGCCGCACTCGGAGTAAGCAGACCCTGTTGCTTCGGCAGAAACCCAGAGTTGATATCACCAATTCCCTTGAAGAAGTCATATGGCGAGACCTTGATCAGATTGGGCCTGTTGCGCGGCCACACGTCCGCTCGATCATCAATGATCACCACCATCTTGGTGCTGACGGGGAACAACCGCTGTAAGCTTTTGGCGTACATGTTGCCGTTCTCGTCGCGGCTGATGACCCGATTGCCAAACAGCTTCTTGTCGGGATCGACGATGCGCGCCACATTCTGGGCGTAGGCGCGAGTGCCCATGGTGTAGACGTGTAGCTCGTACATGGTTGAGATCTTTTTGAGAAAGTCCTCGAGGCCTGGCCGCATTTTGATGTAGTACCAGCAGTTGTTGGCGACGCCGCGGGGGCCATCGTCCAGCTGGAAGGACTTGACGTTGCGGACGGATGGGTAGTTGGGATTGGACGGGTCCTTCTGCCACTCGCCAACGGTCGGGTCGATGCAAGCGTGGATGATGGTCTGGTCCAGATCGACGACCAAGCTGAGCTTGCGGTGCTGGAGCAGACGGCGCTGGAGGGCGTTCTCGGTCTTTTGGGCCTGCGTCTCGCTAACGGTGAGGTGTGTCTGGTCGTGCACCATGTTGATGGGGGCGCGGTCCATGTCGCGGGACTCGGCGGCCCAGTTGACCTCGGTCATGTCCTTGCCACAGATGGCGCAGAGGCCGCCAAACTGGACATCATGGGAGCACGACTCCTTGACGACCATGCAGTCTTGATCTCGGGAGATTTCTTGGCCGACGCGGATCTTCCATGACTTGAGCTCGCCGTCTGAGGGCGAACTCCAGTCGGCGTAGGTGGTTTCTTCGGCTTCCCATGTCTCTCCGCGGATGTTGTCGCCGACGGTGCGCTTCCATTTGAACGAGTACTGGAAGAGCGCTTCCTTTTTCTTGATGGGCTGGTTGGGTTCCTTGTAGAGCTTGGTGATGGTGATGGGGTACCGCAGCCGGCTTCCCAGCTGGATTGTTTTGACCATGGTCGCGAATATGGCTTATCGGCCTGTGCGATCGGTCGGACGATTGTGTAAAGGTGGCGACTCAACTAAGAAGAGTGTTTGTTAGCAACGGCCATCATCCGGCGCAATCCATGCCCGGCCACGGCGACGCGCCACCGAGGAGGCTCGCTCGTTGTCCACTTACAACGGGGCTCCCTGAGGAGATGAAAGTAGATGATGGGTGTTTGGTAGGATGAGTAAACCCATAGCGCAACAAGCGCGTGCAATTTTCGGTGTTGGTTGTTGAAGAATTTGGTGGTGGGTTTGTCGTATGGCGCCCGTGATCGATGTTTTGTTCTTTTGCTGCGAATCGCGACTGAATTGAAGATGGAACGTAGAAGTGCGACCACTCACTGCACGATCGACCTGGACCTGGACCTCGCTGGGCCTCTGAAGCTCTGCAAGATTCAGAGTGGGGAATATGTCCTGATCAGGTCTAGCGCAGGTAGCTTTGCGGTACCACTTAACGAAGGGGTGGTCCAAGCTCTCAACCAAAAGGCTTGTACTGTAGCTGATCTCGATGTACCTGTACAACAACCGCCAGGTTGATTTGGATCAATTCAGTTCCTAGGTAGGCAGCACTTCGATATCAATGTCAACCTGCATTCAATGTATCAAAGAGATCATCTTTAAGCTGGTATATCATCTAGAGAAAGTGACTGACAAGTGATGTAATGTGCCCGTAACCCGGTGCCACGGAGATGTCTTGGTTGAGAGTTCTGTGCGTGTAGTAATATTGCGACGGTTGTGTCCAGTCGGGCGACTTTGACTTCAGTGAAGCAATGAAACTCGAGACGGCTCACTTGAAGACGAGACATGGCCTGCAAAGGCCGCCGAGGGGAGATGGGAGCCGCGCCCTTTTGTACCTCCGGAGGCTGATTTTGGGGAACTTCTCCAACTCGCTTTTGTCAATGGGTGAATTCCAGACCAATCATATACTCACCTGTCTGTGGACTCCATGTCACCCTATCAGTGTCGCGGGTTGTAGAGGTACCGATACATAACAAGACATGGCTGCCGTTACCGCTGGAGGCATTGACTGCGCCAGACCGTTTGCGGGGTTGATAGGTACACGGACGTGCTGCATTGATACCTACCTAGTGGCAGTCCTCATCATAGAGGTACCCAAGACTTCTCAAATCCAATCCCATACAGGCATCGTTTTGAAGAATCTGACAAGAAGAGCAGTTCAGCATGCACTTTTCAACCTTGGCCCCGATACCTCGTTGAAAAGGTCCCGTGTGAGTTCGGGAAGGTGGCGTCCCTTCTTTATGTGTTAGAGGTAATGTTCTTTATTTGAACACATTATACACTGCCCTTCAACCGCGACCATCTTTGTGTCCGTTCCCTTGCCTTTTGTGGTCTTGATGCCCGTGGCTTACATCCGGAATTGGCAGTGTGTCACGAGTAGGGGAAGGGAAGGCACCGATGTTAGCGTATAGCGTTTTCCAATGAATGAATAGTGTCTATTAGGTATTGATATGATGTATTGATATAATACGTACCAAGTCAACCCCACCTGTTTTCTACGAGTGTGAGTGTCTGTAGTAAAGTAAAATCTTAGGTAGGAGAAGTGAGCCAGGAGTCCTTGCGAGAATCCATCCAAGCGGTGTCCTAAAAACATCCATGTACCTAGTTCCCCAGAGTAAAACATTCGAGTGCCTTATACCGTTACTCCAGCACGCCAGCCGTGGCACGAGCCAATGCGTCTGTCCGTTAGTCGTCTTTCTCCGAGAAAATGAGCAGGAGAAAGAAGAAGGAAGAAAAAAAAGAAACACCAAGGAGACAACCCAGCTATGTTCCGTGATCCATAGCAGCTACCCAAGCCTGACTACCTCTACCACCCAGGCGTTCTCTAAACATACTTCACCCCGCCTGCTCCCCTCATTGCGCCTGGGCTGGTAGACGGAGAACTCAACACCCGGCTTCCCAAAGCTGGTGCCTTCCCGACTTTCACACCCCTTAAATCCGCAACCGTTTGACTCAGCATATCACTTCTCGACATGGACATGGACCCCGTCAGATCATCCTCGTTCCCTCCAACAAAGGTCCAGTTCTCTTCCTCTTCATCATCCGCATCAACGTCGTCCTCTTCGGCTTCCTGACCCTGGTCATCCTCGGGAGCGTTGGGCTTGGCACCCGGCGTGGGCGTAGCTACGCTATTCCTCCGCGACTGATGTTTCTGCCTCTTCAAGGTGATCAAGTTCCTGGCGTAGTCCAAGTCGCGGTAGATGGCCTGGATAGCGGTATCCACACCGTTCTCAGCGCGGATTTGGCCTCCCAATACCTCAGCCCTCATCTGCATTCTGCTACTATGCGTCGCTTCCCACAGTGCCCTCGCAAAGCTCTGGACTCCCCACTTCTTTAGATAAATCCCGACTCCAAGATCCTCGACTCGTCCCGCAAAGAAGAACTGATCGCCGAAGAAGGGGCGAATGATAGTCGGGATTCCAGCCCGCAAGCTGGCGCCAGTAGTTCCAGAGCCCCCGTGATGGGCAGCGGCATCAACTTGCTGGAAGAGCCAGTCGTGTGGGGCGGACTGGATCTGTAGAATTTCTGGGGGGAAACTTGGGTCTGCCACCTTTGGCTTCTCAACACCGTCGACTGCTGCTGACCGGTCGGACCAACCTTTCGAGAGAATGCAGCGAACGTCAGCTTTAAGGACGGCGTCGATAATCTCCTGCGTCATCTTGGCGGGGTCCGAAACGATAATACTTCCAAAGCCAATGTAAACCAGCTTCTTCTCGTCAGCCCTGGCCTTGGCAATGAAATCGGTCAACTCCTTGGGTGGCTGCCACTTGTCGCCTCCTTCGTCGAGGAACCAGTACCCGGTGACGCGGATCCAGTCGCTGTAATCGATGGGAGGAGGCACCACAGACGGAGAAAAGTTGTAGAGGAAGGGAACCTTGTTGGGCTGCAACTTCTCGAGGCTGGTGTTGGGCAAACCGAGGTACTTGTTCCTCCACCGATTGACCTGATGCGCCGTAGCCTTCCAGAAAACATTATCGAACATGACGTACGTAATATAGTTATACGCGCCGCCCATCTTCTGCCCCGGCATTATAAAAGCATGAGGATAGGCGCGCGTGCGAGTCCACGGCATGGTGAAGGCGCGGAAGTAGGGAATCCCAAGCGCTTCGGCGATGTGGATGCCTGCCATGGCGGAGGGAGACTCGATGAGCAGGTCGCTGCCTTGGCAGGCTTCCCAGGCTGAAGTGAGCAGCTCGTCGAGCCAGCCGCGGAACTTGGAGTTGGCTTCGCGCAGGAAGGCGTAGGTGAACGTGCCGTTTTCAATGCAGATGCGCATGAGTTCCGAAGGGTCACCCTCAACGGGACCGAATTCGATCCCGTGGCTCTCGATCCAGTCTTTAAACTCCCGGTGTGTGACGATCTTGGGGTGGTGACCTTCTTCGAGTAGCCTCTTGCAGAGGGCGATATAAGGCTGGACGTCGCCGCGCGAACCGATGGTCAAACAGGTGATACGCATGGGCTCGCTGGGCTTAAAGTTTAGGAATGAAGCCTTGGGGTCATCGAACAATATCGTGGGGGCATCAGATACCCCAGATGCCTGTCGAGGAAGCTCGATCTCATGATCAGGGAACTCTTCGTTTCTTGCCTGGTTGAGTGCATCCCTCTCAGCTTCCGCTGCTTGCGCTTCCTCCACCTCCTGCGACTCGGCCAGGTATCTCGCTGCATCCAAGCTCTGGATGATCGTAATAGCACAATCATCCCGGTTCTCCGCCTTGGCAAACTCAAAGAAAATCTCCTCATGGCCACGGATAACAACGACCAAGCCGGAGTACCCAAACCGGAACCCCTTTTCTTTGTCGACAGTCTCAATATCCTTCAGAGGCAGGATGAGCTTCGTCCGGGTGCCTGGTAGCAAGCTGCGGAAGCAGAAGTGGCGGTTGCTGATATAAATCTTGCCATAGAGTGGCAAAACCCTGACAATGAACCCAAAGTACGCAGCCTGCAACCTCTCCGTCTCCGGCAAGGCAAAGTGCGCCTGAAAACGGGCTTCTGACAGAGCTCTCTCCTCGGGGTCATCCTCGACATCCTCCCTTTCGGTCCTCCTTCCAGCAGGATGATCGTAATGCTTCTTGCCGCCCTTCCACATGCCAGACACCTTCTCGACATATCCCATAGACTCTGTTGCTAGAAGGTTGCTCATGCGCCTGGACTGCTGGTCCAAATAGCCCATAAATGCGTTGGCCCTCTGCAATGGGTAATTTCCCATCGTCGCAATGCTTTGCAGCATGGGCGTTGAAGGACCGCCTTGTGCTTCTGCCATGTGGTCGCCAATTTGGCCTGTGGTGGCTGCATGATGAGGTCTGTGAAGTCGGACCAAGCCCGCGGTGTGTTGACGCACAATCGGCGGGGCAGCGACCCCTTCCCCCTCTGTTGTCGCGCGCGTAGCCGATGCCGACCTACGGAAGATTGGGCTGTGAAAAACATCGCTTCCTCGGAGAATTTGGCTGGCTGATTGATCCTCGCTACCAGAGGCCACCAAGGCCGATAGACTTGCCTGACTAGGGTCATCGAAGCTCTGGGCGTACGAATCGGTACTCGCATGTGGCTCGTGGCGGGGTTTGCTAAACGATCTCCGGCCGTCTCCATGAAGGCTGCGGGGAGGCGAGCCTGCGTAACCTGCTGTGCCTGGGCTGGCGTCGAAACTTCGGCGACTGAAAGGTCGGGTACCATCGAAGCTGCTCTTGAAGTAATCGCCGCTAGCACGAGAACTCGGGGAGGCGATCTGGATGGGCGAGACCGGGGAAAGCGTAGCTTTGACCCCTTCACTGAATGTGCGAGTTCGTGGGCTGCCGAGATTGTCACCAATCGCCCCGTCTCCTCCCGTTTTCTTCGGGGCGTCGTTCGCTCCAGAATCTTCGGGTGAGGGATCCTCTATGAGGATCTTGAGAACCTGGATGGCCTTCTTGCCGAAGCTGAAGAAGGAGAAGAAATACTGGTACTTTTTAGCAGATGCACCAACGAGACAAAATGCACCAGTGTCTTACCTCGTCGATAGCATACGTCTCATCATTGTCGATGACGCGAATCTTGCAAGTATCTGCAAACTCCACCATCTGAGTTTCCTCAATGTCAAGGATATTCCTGATAGGGATGGAGATCTTGACGCTGTCTCCATCATTGTGCGAGCGGAAGATGACCCGTTGTAGGCTCTTGACCCATTCCTTTGCACTCCGAGCGCTGTCAGCCTTGAAGTGGTATGTTCGGTGATGCGTGGTGACGGAGAAGTAATTGCCCTCTTTCTCCTTGTCGTTCACGCTGGCCGAAATGCCGTATCGTAAGTCGATCTGACCCGCGGGAAAGTAGTGATCCTTGGGATCCTGGTAGTAGGAGAGGACATCCCCCTTTAGACGGAACCAATAGCGGTTGTACTTTGGATTTCGCTTGCCGCTCTTCGACAGGTAACCGGACTTTGCGATCTCGTGCTGTTGGATAGAATGTTAGCGACTGACAGTGTGTCGTATCATGATCGGACAACGACTTACTGCCTTTTTGGGTAGGTGGGCATAAAAGGCGATGTGGAAGGCCGTAATGTACATGTAGCCCTGCAGGAGAACATGTTGTAGCAACCAACAAGGATACTCTTCAATAACCTCTTCGGCCGTGTCAAACTCGAAGATATCCTTTAGCTTCTTGGCAAGCTGTCCGGTTACGCCGGCGTCATCCCGACGATGTTCTCCCGACAATCTGTCAAGATCGAAACTGGGTCGGGCTGCCATTTCGGCCCGTGCCTCGAGCATTCTGCTCATGAGAGGTGCCCCGTTCCCTTCTGCCCGGACGATCTCTATTGGTGGGGCAAGGCCGAGTGACTTGGTTTCGTCTTTGCTTAGTGGAGGAAGAGGAGAAGATGGGTCGGGGTCTTCTTCTTCTTCGATTTTGTGATCCGCCATCGCTGTGCCCTTGTGTTGTTTTGACTTTTTCGACTTGTGGGAACTTGCAAGCCGGGAGAGACCGGGAACCGACTGTAAAAGCTTGTGTCCTGAAGGGCGCCGGCGGTGGGTGTTGCTTGGTCCTGCATCTGCTGTGGCACTTGCAGGTGGCTTGTTGAAGACAACAGTCTGGCTTAATGACTTGACAGTGCCGGCAGTTTCGCGATTGCGTGCTGTGCCTTTGATGCCCGGGCCAGCAAAGGTCATGGCCATGTGATTCGGCACATCGTCTTCGTCTTCCGAACTTTGGCCTTCAAACCGGTCGTGGAAATCCACAGTGCTTCCAGCAGCAGCAATGAGACCAAAAATGCTCTGGTTCATGTTCATGAACATGCCGCCCTGGGGCTGCAGGACATCCTCCTCATTGTCCTCTTCTTTTCCATTGTCTTTGAGGCGGTCGGGGAGCTCCATAGTGGGAGAGTGTGGCTGGTCACTGTCGCCGCGTAACCTTTGCAATTTCCAGGACATGCGGTAGGCCGCAACTTCTCGGTGACTTGGGCGCTTGGTGAGTGCAGATGGTCGTGCAGGACCAGGGCCGGCTTGGGTTGGTGCTTCGGACGGGTTCGCACGATGTTGCGACGAGGACAGTTCGCTGTTTGGCTGTGACTGAGGGTTCGGACTCGGAGGGGAATTGAGCATGGGCCCCGATGATGTTGGTTGGGAAGACGCCATTTCTAGGACTATCGAGAGGGATAAGGATGATTAGAGGTCGTAATAATGGGGATAAACTGACTCGTAGGAACTTGAGGAAGAAGCAGAGGTAAGCATAAGTGAACGGCTGCAAAGCGCAAGTGGAAGTAAACTGCAGGCAGGCAGGCAGGCAGGCAGGCAGGCAGGCAGCGGAGTGAGTAGATCAGGCAGAGAGGTAGGTACCCTACATAATCAGACAAACAACAAGCAAGAGCAGAGACCGTACGGTTGTAAGCGGCGATACAGCACGGCCGGGGCTGCCTGGTGCAGATTAGGATAGCCGACTGACGAGACAGAAGCGGGCTTGTGAATGGTGACGAGGGTATTTAGATAGGTTGTAAATGGTGCAATGGTGTTCTAGTTATTGGAGGGGTATTTTAGGTGCCCTGCTGGGTTTTGGTCTTAGTCTTCCTCTTTCTTCTAATCAACCACCCTCCAACCCTTCCAACGAACCCACCTTGAGCGCCCAGAGTGGCTGCAGTTGGTAGATGGATATGTAGAGGTAGGTGGTTTCGATGAGTGGGCGGATAGGTTGTTGATCGGAGGGATGGTTCAATGCCGGAGAAGCCAACCAAACCAAAGAGAGCGAATCTAGTCGAGCCAACAACAAAAACAACAACAACAACAATAACGGAGGTGGTGAGGTTCCCGTCGTCTCCAGTGTTAGAGTGCTTGTTGATCTCCGCCTTGGTAGTCCATGCCGTTGTGCACGACTACGATTGTGTACAGCCACCACCAGTAACAATCGCGTCGGTCAGACAATCAGCAGCGCGAAGGTCTGAAGCCTGACTGGTCGACTCTGATATTGGCCGGTACCTCTTGTCGCGGTACTCGATTGCGCGTAGGAGTACCGGTGGCTACAGGTCCTCGGCGTATCGCTTCGTCCGTCAGATCATGTCCAAGAAAGAGAAGGGAAGTGATGAATGGAAGGAGAACTGAACAACGGCTTGGGAAAATGCGTGGCTAGGCCGGGGGCGGGAGGGCGGGCGGTCGAGAACAGGAGCCCGAGCATCACACACACTGGACACCCGCTGCAGTGGCCAGGAAGGTGTCCAGTGAAACCCCACTGCCTGACGCGAGTTGTTCAGGAGGAGCCAGCCCAAGCCGGGGAAGGCTCCATAGAAGTGGGCCCTTTAGGGAGGGATGAGATACCGATAGGTACCTTGATAGTCACCCTGGCTTTCTTCCTGCGATAGTGCACTGCCTTCAAGCCATGGCGAACTCTAACAGACATTGTGTATCACCGGATGCTGAAATGTCACCTTCTGACGATCAAAGACACCCACCTGCAGCTGACTTGCATCTGATCTTCCTTATCCACCTTGGAAATGTCCTCCTGCTTGTTGGGACGGGTGACGGATGACACCAGGTGGGGTGGGGCTTTGCTTTTTCATCGTTCAGTTTGGAACCCCGAGAGAACCGCTACCCACCTCTTATCTATGTCTCTCCTTGGATGACACACCCAAGAAGCTCCGGTCAACATATTGGGACAGGCTGGCCATGTCGTGAGACGCGAGTCTGTTGAAGTTATGCTGCTAGAACAACCTGATATGTCCAAGTGAGTGGCCCATGTTTTAATGTTGTCATGTCTCGTGGTTGCAACCATCATCGTTAAAAGGCCTGTTGTCCCTCCCTGCCGGAGCATCATACCGGTCCCAGCTTTGGCCTCATAGGAGGCTTATTTTGTCGCGGCCAATTGACAGCCAAAATCAAATCTTCGACTCCTGCTATGCTACACGTTATGGGCTCCCAGGATGCTATATGGAGAGACCCGCTACTCTCAGGTGTGTTTGCTAGCGACGTTAAAGTGCCAGGTCGAAATCACTGTTGGGCAACTTTGCTACGACTTCAGCCACGTATGCATTATTTACATGTGATCCCAAGTTCCTAGGCTACCTGATTGGGAGAAGAGACATGGAAAGGGTCCATAACCACCTATGGTACACCTGCGGAACTTCACCAAGCACAAGAACTTGCAGACATCCTATTCAGGTACACCAGAGATCTGACCGGCCGAGTGGTTGCGCTACCAATCATATTCACCACTCGCGTGGCACCAAGACACAAAAGTATTGGTGGCTTTGTAAGAACGGTGCAACCCAGCTTGAGGAAAAAAACCCCCCCAAGAAAAAAAAACAAGGTAATAAATCCAGAGCCATATGACTTCGCGTGCGCAAGGACGGAATAAATGCCATGGTAACGCGAAAGCCAAACACTCAGTTATGAGGCTATTGACACCAACATCAAGTCATCCAAACATGGTATCATCGCAGAAACTCCTTCATCCCGGAAAATACCCCGTACAACAAAAATCAAGAAATACCACTAGGAACACCCACCTATCCAGACACATGAACACTGCCACCACTACATCCATAAACACAACTTCCCACTCGCCGTCCCGCCGGCCACCCAGTCCTTGGTCGGGTGAAAGTGGGCAACCGCCGGCACCGCTGTGATCCCATCCCCCCCCAGCTGCGCCAACTGTTCTCCGTCCTCTGCATAAACGTCCACAAACCGATTCATGTTTCCAATGGCAAACTTCTGCCACCCATCTTGTGGATTCCGTTGCCATTGCGGCTTCAGAATCGTCACCCATCTTCCTGTCTGGTTGTTATGCGGTATCTCAACCGTCGGTTGCATTTCCTTTGCCGGTATGTCGTGCCCAGCTTTCCACTCGCCAGCCGAGAGGAAGCTGTAGATCTTGATGCGGTCGTCGTACGAAGAAGTGGCAATGTGTCCCGACGAAGACCAGGAAGCATGCGAAACGGAAAGACGGGATTCATGTTCCCCTAGGAGGGCAGGGTGGCGGAGGTCCCCCTTGCCTGTGATTTTGCGCAAGTCCCAAATCTTGAGGGTGCGGTCGAGCGAGGCGGTCGCGACAAGGTAGGGATGCCGAGGGTGCAGGGAGAAACCTCCAATCTTGTGGTCGGTTAAGCCCCAAATTTCGGCCGAGGAAGGTTTGGTGCGCTGGTCTTGTCGACCTAGCGAGCCGTACAAGGTGGAGAAGATGATCATGTTTGGGTCGGTGGTCGGGATGTCGATGGCGGAGATGGGGAGATCCTCAGACGAAGAGGACGGGGCAAAGATTTCGGTTGAAATGCCCTTGTCCAAGTCCAGTTTGCGAATCGAAGAGTCATACGAGGCCGAGTAGATGGCATTGGCGTCGGTGGGAGAGAAGTGAAACGAAGAGATAGTGCGGGAGTGGGTTTTGAAGGCGGATATGATGGGGTCTGGGTATTCGGCATCTTCATCGTCGTCCTCAATTTTGGGCGAGGGTTGGGAGGCGTCGAACACGCCCATGGCGCCTTCTTTATCGCCAGCGAAAATGATAGGCTTTTCTTCCGTGGGGTGGAAGCACATGGAGTAGATGCGCTGGGGTACGATTTTGATGTCTGTTGCAACAGTTTTGTTAGTGGAACATCCACCGTCGTAGGGACCGTTGTTGGGTTATAGGTACCATTGACTGCCCACTTCTCGTACAACTTGAGTCCGCTCATGCGCAACCGCAGGTCCTTCAACCCCTTGTCCTTGGTATGCTTGACATCCTTTTCTGTAAACGTCCTCACGCCAGGTTGAGCCCCTCGTACACCGAGACCCTTCAGAAGCGCTAGACCGTCGGCACTGCTTTCCCATTTGCGACCTTCGACCGTGATATCGCCGAGGTTCAAGTCACCGCTTACGCGCATCTTCTTGGCCTTGGCCTTTGCCGCTTCCTCCTCAGCTTCGACATCTAGTTTGCGCTTGAGAACTGCGGAATCCGCTTCGAGGCCGGCGAGGCGACTGCTCTGGCGCGTGGGACGGGCTGCTTCCTTCTTGACAGGTTCACGCTTGACTCGAGGGGTGCTGGCGCGTTTGGGTTTGGGAGGCGCTGGCTTCGGGATAATCTTGTCTGCCGTGGTACTGATGCCGCTAAGGATGGCATTGTTGTAGGCAATGTTCTCCAGGCGCTTGCGCTCGAACTCGCTCATGACGGTTTCCTTCTTGGGTGGAGGCATCTTGGGACTCGAGGAGGACGATTTGGTAAAGACAATGAAAGTTAACAAAAAAGGGTATGCAAAAAAACAAGAGATGGTCACCAAACGCCGTAATTGTTCGATAATTGACGGAGGGGAAGGACAGGAAGCAACGCGAGTGTGGTTAGTGCAGCAGATGGTCGCAATCGATATGGAAAATCAATGGAACTACGTAAAATCTCAAAGGCGCGCCACCCCCAACGGGTCGCGTCGATGCACGAGAAACGAATCGGCGCACGAAATCACGGGACAGCCATTCGCTGTTGAAGCCGGTAGGGTCTTTTAGCGCTTGATGCACTAACGGTTTACCGTGTCGTTTTGCGTTGTTGTTGTTAGCAGCTCCCTACATTGGCGGGGCAAAATCCGTCCCGGCAGGCAAGGAATCTTTGATCGACTCCGAAATTTTGGATTGGGAACTTTTGACTTGGGGCGGTTTCCTGCCTTCTCCCCAACCTTTGCTGCCGACCACCAACAAATCGCATGCTGTCACCCCCGTGCTGGACACGAAAGTTTGTAGCAATCCCGTAGGACGCAGAATAAGAGGCCACAGTCGCTATACCCAAACCCGGCGGAACCGGACCTTCGTCACCATGTCGTCGACAACCATGCTTCCCTTCCTATACCAGACCAGGACTATTCAGCGCTTGTCCCGTACCAGTCTCAGGACAACAGCCCTGCGCGCCTACTACAGATCCGAATCCAAATTCGATTCTCGCTCACCTCCATCTCGTGGCCGAAGAGTAGCCCCATCGATGCTCGGCAGAGATCCTATCCCCTTCGACCTCCCAAGTCAACAATTCGAGAAGCCCAGGCGGAAATGGCAACCAGAAGACCTCGGCGAGGGACAAAAGACAACCTTGACCCCCACAGAGCGCTATGCTTTTGACACCATCTTTCAAGACATCGTCAAGAAGAACAAGACTACGGAAGACGACCCGTTGGAGATCAGCATCAAAGACCCCGACCCCGAAGCCGCCCACAACACTGTCAAGATTCTGCTCCAAGACGCCGCCGCCGCTTACACCAAGGAATGGCGACCTGTCCAGCGACCCTTCGATCCTCTTTCGCCTGTTGGACAGACAGAACGCGCCGTCGACCGTGACAGCGCCCTCCTGCGTTTCCCTCCCAGCCTGCGACAGGCCGCCCGCATGGCCCTTGGTATCCTTGAAGCAGACAAGGGAACCGGGAGATCGTCGATCCTCGACAACGCCCGAACCGCCGAACAAACGCAGGAACAACTCCCCGCCGATCCTCTAAGCAAGCAAGTTGCCGAGGAAGCTATGAGACGCGAAGAACGTACCCGAGTCGAGTCCAAAATGAGAGCTGCCACCTCCGACTTCCAGTTATGGGATATCCTGGAAGAGGAGGTCTTTTCCATGGTTAAGAAGCTGGGTATTACCGACCGGTCCGGGGTACCCAAGGCACCTGTCAAGAAGACAAAACGCAAGACCAAGGAGATGCAAGAAGATGGAGACTACGAGTACGGCTACGAGTTCGAACCAGGCCAGGAGAGACTCTCCATGCACCTTTACGGCCCTCTCTACCCCGCCTACCTCCTCTACGGCCTGCGTCTCATGGACACATCGTTCTCTCGCTCTTCGCCGTTGGCGCTGAACATCCTCCCACGCATCAAGGAGCTCGGCTTGGCCAGCTACGTCCTCGGCGCCAGCACGCCGTTTTACAACCTCCTGGCCCACATTTATTGGCACCGCTATGGCGACGCGGAGGCTGTGTTCAACTTGCTGGAGGAGATGCGCTTTGCTGGTCTGTACGCCAACGAGGACTCGCTGGCTGTTGTGCACAGCATCGAGACGCACTTCTTGAGGTCGGATAGGGGCCAGATGGGCCCCTTCATGGAGGAGTTGGTGAGCTTGCCCGAGTACGAATTTGCCATCAAGCCACGAATCCGCCATTGGTCGACCACGATTGGAATTCACATCCAGGAGAGGCAACGTCATCTTCAGCTTTGAGCTCCCTGTTGGTGGTCTGGTTCCATAAGTTGCACAGTCCGAAGGAGTAGGTCTGGTCAGTCGTAGGAGTTCGCAGAATCCTTAACGTATACCCCATGTACAACAATACGATGTATCCTATCTGGTTCCAGTACACTCTTCTTGTGCTAAATTCCTAATAATCCCCTTCCTGGTAACTCGTCAAGACCGGCTACCTATCCCCATCTTCATACCCAGCATGTTCCCCTTTGATTCCGTCCATTTGATCCACTTGCGATCACCGACTACTGGGTCGTCAATACTTTGGGACGCAAGCTCATCCGCAGACCGTCGGAGATCCTAATACATCAGTCAAAGTCAAAATTAGCGGCGTCCTTTCTCTGTTCACGACCGATGCGAAAAATACCCTGAGAGCGGCCATCCTTTCCATGGACCTGAATGGAATGCTCACACTCGTCCGGCTGATCAGCCTCTCGACTTGTTGACCAGGAAACTCCCATGACTTCTGTCTGTATCTCTATGGTTAGCGTTTGCGTGGTCATCATGTTTTCTCCCAAGCCGGAGCCTGTTCGGAGCCTGCGAAGACAATTGCCAATGTTCGAAAATGCCAGCGGGCTGCGGCGATTGCGTGAACAATATCATTGCGGGTTCTGTTGACGAAGAGGGTATGGGTCGAAAAAACTAAATAGAAAAGAAGTATGGAGAATGCTCCCAAGAAGGGGCCTGGGGGGAAGAATTCCCGCGTACCATGAAGCGGGGTACTTGACCTGGCATCTTTTGAATCAACCGATTTGACCCATAGGATGCTCTCCAATCTCGGGCTTTCTTCCATGTCGACTGTACCTGCAACGAAATCCCAAGTCCCCAAGACTTCGACGTGGTGTCCCGTGTCGGGGGGTTTGACAGGTTATCCGAACACTTCCTGGATATTGTACCTTCCATCACCTAATTACAAAGATGTCATGCAATTCTGACCTTCATACCTGCCCCAACAGCAGCCATCTAGAGGCAGCAGAAGCCCTCGCTGCTGCGCAGTCTAGATATGTCGCCAACAACCCGCTCTCCAAGAAGCAACATGAACTGGCCGTTGAGTCGCTGCCAGGCGGCAACACCCGCACCTTGCTACACACTTCCCCGTTCCCCCTTTGCATGAAGCATGGAAAAGGCACTTTTGTGTGGGACGAAGATGGCCACAAGTGAGTGAAGTGTTATCACACCCTGCAGCGGGCATCAAACCCCCTCGCTCATCGCTGATACCTACCTACTTACCTCCCACATAGATACACCGACTTCGTGGGCGAGCTCTCCGCCGGCCTTTATGGGCATTCTCACCCTGTCATCCGCACCGCCATTCTCTCTACTTTTGACGAAATTGGTCTTTCCCTCGGCTCCACCACCACTTACGAAGCCCGCTACGCCTCCCTTTTGTGTCAACGCTTCAAGCTCGAGCGAGTACGCATGACCAACACCGGTACGGAAGCAAATCTCCATGCTCTGGCGGCTGCTAGGCACTACACAGGGAAGAAGAAAGTGGTGGTGTTCAACGGCGGGTATCACGGTGCTTGTTTCTCTTTCGGGGGAGGTAAGGCGGCACCGAATACGGCTGACAAAGGCGATTTTGTGGTTGTGCAGAATTACGGGGATGACGAGGCAGCTGCTGAGGCAAGAAGAGTCATTGAGGAGACGGCGAGGGAGGGTGACCTGGCTGCAGTGTTGGTAGAGGGAATGCAAGGTGCTGGGGGGTGCCTTCCGGGCAGCAAAGAGTTCCTGTTGGCGGCACAGGAAGCGGCAAAGAACACTGGAGCAGTCTTTATCCTGGATGAGGTGATGACTTCCCGGCTGGCACCCAATGGGTTAGGACAGGAGCTGGGACTGAGCCCGGATTTGGTCACGCTGGGCAAGTACCTGGGTGGTGGATTCAGTTTTGGAGCTTTCGGAGGAAGGAAGGAGATCATGGACTCAGTCTATGATCCGAGGGTGAAGGGCAGTTTGGCCCACTCGGGCACTTTCAATAACAATACCATGACGATGTGCGCTGGGTTTGCAGGGCTGAACCAGGTGTTTACGGAGGAAGTCTGTGTCGAACTTAATAGGGTGGGAGACGACTTGAGGGGCAGGTTGAATAGGTTGGCAAAGGGAACACGGTTGAGATTTACGGGGAGGGGCTCGTTGATTGGGTTGCACTTCAGGGAGAATGGGACATTCGAGAGCCAGGAGAAGGCGGATTTGAGAAATCTGTTTTGGTTTGAGATGCTGGAGGAGGGCTTTTGGATCACGAGAAGAGGGTTCATTGCCATGATATTGGATACCCCTAAAGACGAGTTGGATCGGTTTGTTGATGCTGTGGGTAGATTCTTGGAGAGGCATACTGGCATCATGATGGTGTAGACGTAGTGCGTCTACGTACTCTGTCGTTGTTTTCTGCTGGGCTTTCAGTGTGTTCCTTCTTCTCCTGTACTTTAGGTTAGGAACATGGTGGACGTGGACCGAGATTCCGACGCCGATCTGGCAGACTTGCCGAAGGAAGTTTGGAATTGAAACACTACACAGTTCGCTTGTTTCTGATACAGCATCCAATTAGGTAGGTTGCCTTCTTTTTGTGTCTCCACGTCTTCAGATAATAGCCGGCTTTTACGGCAGTTGATCCCACTTCCCAGCCCCTCACACCCCTCCCGCTGATGATAAGCCTCGGTCTAAGTGTACGGCGAGTGGCTACACTACCTATCGTCGAGTCGACATAACAATCGAGTTGAAGATAACATCGATTGCTCTTGCTTCTGATCCCGACTGTCTACGACATTCATCTGACTCTCAAGGCAACCAAAGGGACAAGGTCAAACAGCACAATGGCCAGCCAAGAAGAGCCCGGCAGCACTATCCCTCCCCACATTCTCTCCAAGTTGAATCCGGACTTCGTCCCGTTCTTTCGGGATGTCCTGTCAAAGCGACCACGAGACGTCACCATCGAGGAACTTCGAGCCCATCCCGAGAAGTATCGAGCACCAACTGCCATTGATACCTCAAAGTGCGAGCGAGTGACGGACTATAAGGTCATATCGGAAGACGGAGCCACAGTTCCTGTGAGGGTTTATCATCCGGACCCAGACAAGCATGGAGATGGGCCGTATCCTGTTCATATGAACCATCACGGTGGGTAACATAAACGAGCCGCAAGAAGGGTGCCGTTGAATGCATGTTGACCAGGAGTGAATGGACTAGGGGGTGGATTTGTGATTGGGGATTTGTTTACGGACGGTCACCTCTGTTTGAGTATGCGCGAGGCGGGTGTGGTGATTGTGGATGTGAATTATCGTCACTGTCCTGGTAAGAGTTCGACGACATTTCTCCTTCCGAAAGTCATCCGTTGACAACAGACAGAAACGATATTTGGCAAGGCCTTCCAAGATGCATGGGCGGCCTTGAACTGGGTGATCAACTCGGCCACCACCCTCAACATCAACCCGTCCTCCATTTCCGTGGGCGGTATCTCGGCTGGCGGGAACATCTCGTTCGTTTTACAGCACATGGCCCGCGACGCCGGTCTCCCGCTTAAGCTGTGCCTGGCCTCCGTCCCTCCCACAACCGACTGCATCAGCTACGACTCCCCTACTGACTCCCCCTATTCCTCCTTCAGCGAGTTTGCAAATGGACCTGTCCTCCCCTGGGACCGCATCAAGTACTTTGGGCAGTCTTGTTTTCCAGTTGAGAAGCGGGATAAAATCCGGAAAATGTGGCCAGAATGGTGGTTAGCACCGATCAAGGCCCCCAACTTCAAGGGGTTGTGTCCCACTTTCATTAGGACGGCGGAATGCGATATGCTGAGAGACGAGGGGGAGGCGTATGGACTAAAGTTGGTGGAGGGAGGGAACAAAGTCACCATCAAGCGGTATTTGGGCGCGGTGCATACGATGATGTATCTGCCGCTAGAGAACGAGCAGCGGAGGAGTTATGATGAGGATGCCATCAGGGCATTGAGGGAGGCGCATGGGCTGGCGAAGTGATTTCTTGAACTGGTGTTTTGTTTTGTTTTGTTGAATTGCTCAATTTCAACTTCAATTTTTCTTCTTCTTCTTTTCTTCTTTTTTTCCCTTTTTTTTTTTATTTTTCTTTTTTTTTTCCTTTTTTTCTTTTCTTTTTTCAACCCCGGGTCGTTCAAGGCTCATGACCACCAAAATTTCGTGGGGAGTAGGTACCTAGAAATACCTCTTAAAGGTACCCATGATGTCCCAAACTTCCCGACATTAGCGTCTCTTGAGCCCATAATCCGCTATCACCGGGCAGTCGCAGGGCCCCGAAGGTCTGGACCCGGGCCCCGCCTTCCGTCACCCACCAAGACAGATGTCTCGGATTCGGTGACCCTCCGTGGAAGATCTATTCGCTTATATCTTCATCTCAGTGGACCAAGCGGATTCGTCAGACTTTTGGAGGCGCATTGCCGCAGCTCATCGGAGTTGTGCTTGTGAGCGCCAAACGTCATTCTTCGCATTCGTTTACAGTTGTCGAATTGTGGACTTTTCCCGTCACGCTATCGATTTAAAGTAGAGGTATCGCGATGGCGACCCAGAGGCATGTTAAACCCCGTTCCCGATCGCCAAACCCGTGGCTTGGCGGCATCCATCGCATTCGTGTCTCTCATCGATCGGATCCTGCCGTCTCCATTCATCGGGCATGGCATCCGTGGGTGTCCCAGTCTAGGGTTCTAGTGGCCACAGTTGACGGAGTGCAGGTCGTTGCTTTCCTCTTATGGACATCTTGAATGGCGATTCCTTTTCCTTTATAAGTTTGCCCACCCTATGTCGACCTGCGTTGAAAATCCCCGCTCTTGCATCTCTGTCTGACCTGACAGCGGCTTGTTCATCAGCGCATACCCCCTGAAACCCACTGGAACGTTGGCCACCAAAACCGCTACGGTTGGATCACGATTGCATCGCCACCCCACGACAGTCCGACTTTATCTCCGTCATCCACGAAAGGATCAACAAATCACTGGGGAATCCAGCAGCTGACGGTGTTCAGAAAGTCGATCTTCCAGCCCAGCATGAGTCCGCACGAGGTGATCGGCACGGTGCCGGGGAACTCTACCACCTTCCGGACACAGGCCGATGAGCACGACGACCATGAGGAAGCCCTACAGAATCTAAGGACTGGCAAATATGAGGACTGGCCCAACGAAGCTGCTGTAAGTCAGATACTCCGCGCAATTCTGTCCTGCAAGAATTTCTCACTAACCTTCCCGCAGTTCGATGGCCTCACCGAGGAACGAGGGCCGATCAAAATCGCCGTGACAGGCAACATCCCGACATGGGCTGCCGGCTCGCTTTACCGCACCGGTCCCGGTTTGTACAAGATCGACACGGACGCCGGCACAACCTTCGAGATGAGCCATTGGTTCGATGGACTGGCTCATACCCATCGCTTCGACATTATTCCAAACGAAGAAGGGTCCGTTGACATCTTCTATTCGTCACGTCGCCAAGCCGAAGAAATGATGGACGTAATCAAGAAGCAGGGAACCTGGCCGTATTATAGCTTCGGTCAGAAGGCTGATCCCTGCCTCGGGTTCTTTGCCAAGGCCATGGCTGCGTTCAAGGGACTGAGAGAGCCGCCGGGGGAGAAGTGGCACAACAACATCAACGTCGCCGTGCATGTCAACCCTCCTGGACTTGAGGCTGTCAGAAACATTGTTGGGACAAGGAAACCAGCCGGGGCGGAGAACGATGCCAATGTGCTGGGTCATAGGCCTGAGTTGCCCAAGTCGATATGGGTCAGCACCGACAACAGCACCATGAAGCAGATTGACCCCCAAACACTGGAGCCAATCGGCTGGGCAACCCAAGACGTCCTTCACCCCGAGTTGACGGGCGCCATGTCCTGTGCTCATGCCCAGAGGGACCCTGAGACAGGTGATTTCTTCAACTTTAACCTAGAATTTGGACCGAAGCCCACCTATCGAGTCTTCCGTGTCGACGCGTCTAGTGGGAAGACGGAAATCCTGGCCACCATCCGCGAGCCCTCGGTTTCACCTGCCTACATACACAGCTTGTTCCTTTCACCCAGCTTCGTCATCCTCTGTATCCCAACCTCACACTTTGGCCTCAGCGGCACTCAGATCCCCTGGGAACGAAACCTCGTCGATGCAATCAAGCCCTATGACCCAAGCAGGAAGACCCAATGGATTGTCATCGACAGAAAACACAGCAAAGGCGTAGTGGCCCGCTTCGAGACTGACGGCCGTTTCTTCTTCCACACTGTCAACTCCTTTGAAGAAAAGGCGGCCTCTGATTCATCCGACATCAACCTCTATTGTGACGTCATCGATTTCGGCTCCCATGAGTTCATCCACTCCCTCTACCTCGACGTGATCCTCAATAGAGACTCCGCAGCCAAGAAGTTTTACGAAGACGAACAACGCGCCCGCAACTCCCTCGCTCACCTAACGCGCTACCACTTTATCATCAACCCTGACTCACCCGCCACCAATCTGCCTGTCACCCCCACCCCAGACCCCAAGAACCATGAAGCCTTCCGCATCCCTGCCCCGCACGCGGGCGAGATCCCAACCATCAACCCCCTTTACGCCACCAGAAAGCACCGCTATGTCTACAGTTTACCCTTCCGAGGCCGCGGCACTATCACCGATGCCATTGTCAAGACCGATACGGTGACGCGAGAGGCGCTCTTCTGGGATAACCCCAAGGGGCACACACCAGGTGAAGCCATCTTCGTTCCAAGGCCGGGGGGAGAAGAGGAAGATGATGGTGTGTTGCTGAGCTTGGTGCTGGATGGAGAGAAGGGTAAGAGCTATCTGCTCTGCTTGGATGCAAAGACGATGGCGGAAATGGGAAGAGCGGAGGTGGACTTTGCAATTGCTTTGGGTTTTCATGGGGCGCATGTGCCGTCGGGTAGGACATTGACGAGGGTTGAGGGCCCTGAGTACTAAATATGCCTATAGGATGAGGGCTCACTGTCTCGGTTCTATTGATGTGGGCGGTGATCTGGTGTGTGTTTCTATCTGTATATACTTTGTATGAATCATGCCTGGTAGGAATGGGAAAAGTCAAAGATCGGTTAGTTTGGTACACGCATCTCTTGTTTTTCCTCCTTCAGGTTTGCTTCCAGCGTGCTTCCTACCTGCAAGACTCACCATCGTCCCTTCCGCACTCGCTGCGACTCGGTTCGTGACATCGTACACCCTTCTGGGGCTAGTGATAGATAGGCACCGACGGCCAAGCCAGTGGCCCACTGATATGGTGCGGGGTTGAGCTGGTAGTTCCTGGCATTGATACCTCTACCGATTCCCACAAGGGAAGATCTTCCAAACCTTTCAATGCTCTTTCTTCTCTAGAGGTACCATCCATCTCATCAACGATCAGTCCTCAACAACTACCAATTGACGTTGTTTCCTCTTCCCGTATACCCCTACCATTGGGTCCATTGCAGATCCAAGCTTTCGCCGGAAGTCTCTCTCTACGTGTCGCCATTCCGAGCGGAAACATGACCACCCCGGAGCAAGATGGCGCCGCACGCCTTGCGGCACGGAAACCCATCCCGAAACCAGTTCCTGCCTATCTCCCCACAGCCGGATCTCCCCTCTCTGTCGACAAAAACCTCTACTCAACCATCCAACAAGCTCCCCGCATCCTCACCGACGAATTCACCATCCCTATCCGATCCGGCCGCGCCTGGACTGCCTCCGCCGGCTCCATCATCCGCATATCCACCCCCGAAGGTCCTCAAGTTGGCGATCTCAACATCTGGAATCTCCACAACCCCCGCGAGCGCTTCTGGGCCTCGCGTACCAAACAGCTCCATGCCTCGCACGTATCAACCTACGACCGGCTCTGGTCTAACTTACCCTTCATGCGGCCCATGCTAACCATCATCGCCGACACGCTGTCCTGGTACGGACAAGATGAGCATGGGGGCAGGGTGCATGACCTCTTGGGGACGAGATGTGATCCGTATATTAACAACGTGTTGAGTGGCGGCGAGTTTGACTTTCATTGCCACTCAAACCTAACAAGGGCGGTGATGGAGTATGGCCTGAACGAGGGGGATGTGCATGATGTTATCAACCTGTTCCAGGTTACGGGTTTGGACGAGAAGGGCAGATATTTTATGAGTCCTTGTCCGGCAAGTAAGGGAGATTTTGTTGAGTTTTTGGCGGAACAGGACGTTTTGATGGCGCTGAGTAGGGCCTCCGTTTCCTTACTATTCTTTGCACTTGGTGTCTCCCTTTCAGCTCATGTGTGCTCTTTGACCAAAACTTCTTACTGACTCGATTTTGACATAGGCACTTGCCCTGGTGGCGACCTCTCTCTCTGGGGTTTTGGGAGCGATAACGAAAAGGAGATGATTAAGTGCTGCCGGCCGTTAAAAGTTGAGGTCTTCCGTCTCAAAGATAATGAGCTGCTTCCACGGAGTGGGTGGAAGCTAGCGGAGAAAGCAAACTATGGCGGTCGGCACGGGCTAGTAGTTACGGAACGTGTAAGCTTAGATGTATAGAGGGTAGCTTGGATATTATAGGGCTAGCCTATAATTGTTATCTAGTCGCGGTATTACTATAGAGGTAATTATAATCCCCGGTTAATGTACGCACTCTAATTACTATAGCGGAAAAATGCGTTTTAAAATATTTAATATTTAGGCGGTACCGCCTCGACTTCTAATGTGGATTTAATATCCAATGTTGAATGTTCTATAATATAGGTAGTAAGTGCTATAAAAAAAAAAAAACTTAGAAAAAAATTCTTTTTTTTTACTTTTTTTTCTTTTTTCTTCCTTCAAACTACAACTCTCCCTATATAGGGCACGAGGTTAGAAGAAATTCTTAAAAATAATTTGGCCTGTAAGTTAAATTGTTAAAATAAGAGTCTTTTTCCCTTAACGTTTTAAGTTCGATTTCTATTTGTAATTATTTTTTTAATTTGAAAAATAATTTTTTTTCTTATTTTTAATCCTAAAATAAAAGACTTTAATTTATAAAATATAATCAAATTTATAAAGCCAATTTCCTTAATAATTATTTATTTTAATATAAATATATAAAGAAAAAACTCAATATTAATATTATTAAAAGTAAACGCAAAGGGTAAGAAGTAAAAGGACCAGGCGACCGAGGGTAGAAGCTGGAGGGGTTAGGGTTAGGGTTAGGGTTAGGGTTAGGGTTAGGGTTAGGGTTAGGGTTAGGGTTAGGGTTAGGGTTAGGGTTAGGGTTAGGGTTAGGGTTAGGGTTAGGGTTAGGGTTAGGGTTAGGGTTAGGGTTAGGGTTAGGGTTAGGGTTAGGGTTAGGGTTAGGGTTAGGGTTAGGGTTAG